TGGTTTTATGGTAAATTTATAACGAATTTATAATAAATTTATTAGGAAATAGTAATTCATTATAAATTTATAAATAATATTATAATAAATGCTTAAGGCATTAATATTTATAAATTAAAATTAGCTTTTATAAAAAATTAAAATTAAAAGATAAAGAAAATTTAATAATTATTATATTAAATTATTAAAATTAATTATATATATAAGGATATTATTATATAATAAATATAAAATTAAATAATTAAATATTTTATTATTTTAAATTATAATAAAATAATTAAAGAAATTAATTAAAAAATTTAAAATATATATTTTATTAAATTAAATAATTAATATAATTAAAATTATAAATTTAATTTATAAGTTAAAATTTATAAACTTAAATATTATTATTATTATTAAAAAAGGCTTTTTTTATAATTAAAAATTATAAAATATAAATTATATTATTAAAATTATCTTTAATATTATAAAAAATATTTATTTAATATATAATAATTAAATATAAAGTTTTATAATTATTATAATAATACTTTCTTATTTATACCTTATAAATTATATTATTTCTTTTCTTTCTTAAAAGCTTTTTTATATATAATAATATATAAGTTTAAAATTTATTTTCTTTAATTTTAAAAATTTAATTAAAATCTTTATATATTTATAAATATAATTCTTTTATTTTATTTATTTTATATTTAAATAATTAAATAATTAATATTTTCCTTTATTATATATAAAATATATCTTTATTTTAATTATTATATAAAATAATTTAAAGTTTATATAAAAAGTTTATATTTATAATTATATATAAATAAAAGATTATAATATAAAGTAATTTTTATTATATAATATTTTTAATAATATTTAAATGTTAAATTATATTTTTTATTTATAAAGTTAACTTTTAATTTTTAAGTATTATAATATTATATAAAATCTTTTTTATAGCTATTTAAATAAAAATATAAAGATTTATAAAAAGTATTTTATATATAAGCTTTTAATTAATTAAAGTTAACTTTAACTTTAAAATTACTTAATATATTTTAATTATTATTAAATAAAAAGAAATCTTATCTTAATATTTATTTTTAAGGCTTTTTATATAATTTAAAGCTTATTAAAAAGAATTTTAAAAACCTTTAATATTATTTTATTTAAGTTATTTCTTTTAATTTATATAAAAGATAAAATTATTTAATTTATTTAATTTTAATTATAATTAATATTAATATTAAAATATATATTTAATAAGTTATATAATTTATTTTTTTTCTTATTTAACTTAATATAAAAAATATAAAAGTTTTTTATATAATTTAAAAGAATATTTAAAAGAATTATATAATAATAAATAATAATAATTAATTATTATATATATAATTAATTTAGCTATAAGAATTAAGTATAAGTTATAATTAAGTTATAACTTATATTTATTTAATTATAAAATAATTAAGGTAGCTTATAAATTATTATATATAATTATTAATTAATAATTAATTAATATTAATTAATAATTATTATTAATAAAATTACTTTAAACCTTATACCTTTAAATTTAAATAATTAATATTATATATTTAATATAATTATATAAGCATATTATACTTATATATATTATTTTTATAAATTTAATAAATATTAACTTAAAGTAATATTTATATAATGGGCTTGGGCTAAAAGCCCAAGCCTTATATAGTGTGGCTAGATAATTCAAGGGAGCTTGGATTATTACGTACCTTTTGGCTTAATGGTTAAAAGGTTGTTGCTTTGCAGCTTATGGAAGAAGGCGCTAGCCAGCTTGTAGCCCCTTTGGGGCTAGCCCATAATAAATAATCTAAGCTTTAGGGTTAAGGGTTTGAGTTATATTTGCCGTAAATAAATGTGGGCACCCTTTTTGTAAAAAAGATCCTTGGCTTAAAAGGCAATGTTGTGGGTAAGCCTTAGGGGTAATTATATTATTATATAAGCTAAAGGAAGGGGCTATATAATGGGCTTGGGCTAAAAGCCTAAGCCTTATATAATGTAACTAGATAATCCAAGGGAGCTTGGATTATTATGTATCTTTTAGCTTAATGGTTAAAAGGTTGCTGCTTTACAGCTTATGGAAAAAGGCGCTAGCCAGCTTGCAGCCTCTTTGGGGCCAGCCCATAATAATTTAATTTAATAAATAATAAATAAATTAATAAGTTATAAAATAAGCTTATTATTAAAATTAAAAATATTAATAATAATTTTATAATATAATTTATTAATAAATTATAAATATTAATAAATAACGGATTTTTATAATATTTATTAATTTTTATTACTTATAATACTTATTTAATATAAAGAAATTAATTAAATTTAATATTAATTAATATTATTTATATTTAATTTCCTATTTTTATTTAATTTAATGAATTTAAATATATTAATATAAATATATTAAAATTTAAAGTAATTAACTTTTAATAAAGGGGTTTTATTTTAATATTAATTATATTTTAATTTTTTATATTAATCTTACTTTAATTTACTTACTTAAATATTTAATATATTAAAAATTAATAATTATTAATATATCTTTTTTTTAAAGATAATAAAGTTTTTTTATTATTTAAATAATTTAAAACTTTAAAATAAATAATATAAAACTTATATTTATAATTTAAATTATTATTATTTTTAATATATTTTAAATTATATATTATATTATAAAATAAATTAATAATATTTTTATATAAAATTATATATTAATATATATAAACTTAATTAAATTATAAATTAAATATTTATTAATATATTATTAAATAAAATATTTAAGAAATTTCTTTATAAACTTTTTATTAAAAAAAAATAATTAAGTTAATATTAAGCTTAATACTTTATAAATATATAACTTAACCTTAAAATTATTAAAAAGCTTTTTATAAAGATTTAAAGATTATTAAAAACTAATTTAAGTTGCTTTATAATATAATAATTAAGTATTAAATTATTAAAAATAATATTTATAACTTTAATTTTTTTATATTTATAATAAATATAATAATTATATTAATAATTAATTTATATATTAATAAATATAAAAAGATTAAATAAATTAAACTTAATAATTAAATATAAATAATTATTCTTAAATATATTAATATAAATAATTTATAAAATTTATTATTTTTAATTATTTAAAGTATTTATTATTTTATTAATTAAATAATAAAGTTAAGTCTTTTTAATAATTAAATTATTAAACTTACTTTTATTAAATAAATAAATAATAAAATTAATTTAAAATAAATTTAATATTTTAATAAATATATTAAATTTAAAAAAAGATTAATAATTAATTATTAATTATAAAAATAATTATAAAATTATATATTAATTAATTTTAATTAATATTATAATAATAATAAGTTTATTATTATTAATATATTATTATATTTATTTTGTTTATATTAATTATTAAATATTATATTATATTTATTTTTAAAATATATATATAATAATAAAATTAATCTTTTATTTAAACCTTAATTAATTATATTATTAAGTTTAAGTTTTCTTTTATATTTAAAATAACTTATGATAAAGTTTTTTTATATAAAATATTAAATTTATATTTAAAGAAATTAAAATTTATTTTTAAAATTTTAATTTTATTAATTTTAAGCTTAATATTTATTTATAAACTTTAATATAATTTATTTTTATTTTTTCTTAAATATATAAATTTTAAATATTATTAAATATTTAATAAATTATTTTATAATTAAATGTTATTAAAAATAAAACTTTTATTTATAAAAAAAATCTTTTTTATATTAATTATAAAGATTATTAATTAAATAATAAATAATATATAAATAATAATATATAAACTTATTATTTTAAAAAATTAAATTTATATTTTTAAAAATATTAATTTAATACTTATTAAATATTTAAAAGTTAAAAAAACCTAAGTATAGCTTAAAAAAGTACTTATAATTAAGAAATCTTAAGCTTTTATTTAAAAAAAATAAAAGGGAAAATAATTAATTAATAAAATAAGTAATAATATTAAGAAATTAATTTATAATAAATTATTTTAATAATAATATAATAATTATAATAAGATTAATTATAATATAAAAAATTATTAAAAAAATATAAAAACTTTTAATTAATTAAACTTTAAATAAATTATAAGCTTTTTAACTTTATTATTATTAATTAATATTAATATATATATTTTTATAATTTATAATAAATTATAATTTTAATAATATAAGTAATATTATTTAATATTAAATATATATTTCTTATAAAAAGTTAATTAATTTAAATTAATATTATATTTATATTAATACTTTAAAATTAATAAACTTAATTAAAAATAAAAAGTTTAATATAATTAATATTAATTAATGCTAACTTTTATTAAATTCTTTGCATTTAAATAGGTATTAAGGTTAATAAAACTTTATAAACCTTGCTAAAAAAATTATTTATTAATAATTATTATTTATTAATAAACTATATTAATTAAAATTAATATTATTTTTAAAAGTAAATTTTAACTTTTTTAATATTAAATTGTAAAGTTAATAATAATTATAAAAATTTAAAATTATTTTAAAATAAAAGTATTAATAAAATCTTTATAATAATAATATAATTATTAAAATTTAAATTTTATTAAATAGCTTATTATTGTTTTATAAATAATAATAAAGAATTAAAATTTTTTATTTTTATTCTTAAATTATTAAAAAAGTTATTTTATAAATATTTTTAAGTTTTTTATATGTATTACGCGCGGCAGAGATGCCTGATTAGGAAAGTTTGCGTGACTTCTCCACCCTGATGGACCGGCCCGCTTGTGGCGCAGCTCTGATGTCCTCTCGCCCGCATGTCATGTACCGGCGTCCCCGCACGCACTGGCCATGACCCATAATCAGGTGCACTCCACATCGCGGGTCAATTGCCGTCATCACGACTTTGCAACTACCTGCCGCGATGAAATGATGGCGGGCGCCCTGCCACGCGCTTTTCGGCCCCAGACCCTCGAGGAGTATGTCATGAGCTATGGCGAGGTGTCGCAGCACATCCAGTATGACTATCGACCACACACCACGACGAAGGGAGCTGTAGCCAGGCCCGAGCACCGGCTAGCACCCGAGATCATCAGGCCCTGGAGCAGCTTCGATGGAGAACGGGCCATCCTCTGGAACGCAGCCGTCCAGGCCCTGTCCGGAGGGTCGGCGACGTTTCCTTCCCAAGATCATATCCTCGAGACTGGCAGCGAGCTCGCCCTCATCGACTGCGAGGCGGCCGTCCACCTATGCGACACCGACCTTGTTCACAAACCCGTCTCTCGCATCCTGCGCCTCATCGGCAGGGATGCCGAGATCAACTCATCTCTTTCTCGTGCCATCGGTACAGCCCTTGGCACACGGCCGCTCGAGATGGGACATTTCTTCTTCTCCACGCACAGGAACCAGCTGAATGAGTAACGGTCCCCCTCCTCCCGAGCGCCGTTCTCATAACCTAGCTGATGATGGTCCGGACAGTGTTATCCCTCAGATCGCGGGGTCCAAAAGAAAGCTCGACAGCGATGCAACTCCCGATCGACATGGTACCGAGCAGCAATCTGGACATCAGGAGCAAGAGCGGGGAGAGGTATTACATCTACACATGTCCCGAGAAGCAGCCGAGCAACAGTTTCGCGCTGGGCCGACCGATGGTCTCTGCAACTTTAAGGGGGACACAGATACAAGGCGGATACTATTCGCGTACGAGCTCAAAGCACCACACAAACTTCCATGGCGAACATTACAAAGTGCAGGATTGGCAAACAATGACCGTGCCTTTGATGTCAGGCAAGATATCTGGGAGAAGCCAGACGATGAAGCAGCTGGCGATGCCAGCGACAATGACGCCGGCGGGAGCCGGGGCATCGAGCGCACCGGCCAGGACGAAGATGATGACTCAGACCCCCTCTCTGCGACGGCCGGCGTTATCACACAGCTGTATGATTTCATGATCAGGGAGAGGCTACGATATGGCTATATCAGCACATCGGACTGTTACATCTTCTTACGCATCGACCTGGAATCTCCCACAATTGTGGAATACTACACGGCCCGCCGGCCTCAACCGGCTGATGCTCTGCCGCCCATGCGAATGCTCCCTCTTGTGCGCATCTTGCTTCTGGCGCTGATTTCTCTAGTCCGTGGAGGTGCCATACCCGCAGATACCGCCCTGCGTGCGACGAAGGAGGGCAGTCGATGGCCGGTGATCAGGAGAGCGATGACCGAGACCACAGAGGGTACTTCATTGATCCACAATGTCGGCCGCGAGTCAACCGGCGACAAATCCTTCCGACAATCGACAGCATCGAACACATCAGGCTCCAATGATGACCATCTGGCCCCGAACTGCTTGCAAGCCGGCTACAGCAACACCGATAAGCCTTCCAAGAGAAAGCATGACGACGGAAATGGTTCATTTTGGGCTCCTGAGGCCGGGGACGGTGGATGGGACCCGGACGGGGACAGGGGAAAACCGAGTAAGCGCCTCAAGACCACTGCCGACCGTCTAGAGGCCTCAGCCGCAGGCTCCCTGCCGACCCCTCCTGCGTTTCCCCATTCTCCTGGGTTGTTGTTGCCTCCGCCTCCGACATCCATTGTCAAGCTGAACGACCCAAATGATCCCGAGGTGTTCAGGCGGGCGCCGTACTGTACTTTCCGCTGTATATTTGGAGTTGTTTGTGGTGGGTCCCTTGATCTGGACTGCCCAAACCGCTCCAGCCACCCTGTCCAACACCCTCCCACTTCGGTCTTCCGCGAGCTCCTCCGCCGCCAACTCGCTGAGGGCCCGTCTTGCCATGCCTTGTGGGTGGGATGGTCCGGGTCTACAGCAACCATCTTCAAGATTCGACTTGCGTCACTCGGCTATGTTCTCGTAGCCAAGGCTAGCAGCAACAGGGTGGCGCTCCGCACCGAAGAGCGAATCTATCGCAAATATCTGGTTCCAGCCCAGCAAAGCGGCGCTGTAGCCCCATGTCTTGGCTTACTTGATCTGCCTGAGCCGTGGCCTGATCCCGACGTGTACTCAGACCACCTAGGCCATGACCTCACTTGTTGCCTGTTGCTCGGCTGGATACCAGGCAAGCAACCACAAGACGCGCTCTGTTCCAGCGTAGGTTGGTCGGCAAACAATTTATCATTATCGCCCTCTCAGAAGGAGCAGAAGCAGCGGGCCAGAATGGCACTGCGTGCTTCGGTCAGGGCTGCCTTCGAGTATATCCACAGCCTCAGATTGGTTCATGGCGACGCAGCACTACGTAATTTACGCGTGGAGTCTTCACATCCAGAGGGGCCCTTCCGAGCTGTATTATTCGATTTTGAAGCGGCAGAGCATTGCGACATATGGTGGGAAAGGTTGCAACAGAAATCGCGGCGGCGGCGGAGACGCCGGCGGCAAATCTCGGCTGATGATAAGGAGGTTCTGTTCCAAGCGGCCTGCGAACAGGAGATCACACAGTGCCTTGCGGACGTCGATATGCTGTATTGAAGCAATGTCAGACCGTCTTGTCCGCCCGGACGAGCATGCTCAGATTAAGCGGCCATTCCACTGCTGGATTGTGTCAGTCACGATGACCTAGATGAGTCAAACATGTCAGATTCAATAACGTCAATTAAACTTGCAGTCCATTGTGAGCAGCCAAAACCCGATTCCTTGGAAGCCGGTCGACACAGTTGGCTGCAAGGTCCTCGGGCCAAGCACCTCCTTTCTCAGGCTTGCAGCGGTGCGAGCTGCGTGACGTTAGAGCGCATCCCGAAACAGCGAGTCACACGCATGTGTTGCTAGACAATTTGAGGGCACAGACAGGGGCTCGGGGGAAGTACCCAGCGATCCCTGCCTGTACATGTTCATCGCAGCGACAGACGCACATAATGTATGGCCATCTCGCGTCAAAATGTATCGCTTCACACTGTATCAGGAAAGGGCTGGAAAAGGTGCATTTGGTGCATATCGGGGCAAGGGCTGTCAGTTAGCCGGAGATGCCAAGTGGGTGTAATGCAGTTTGCTTCATCTGCAACTGTTCAGAAGACAGCGCACATGCGTGATGGCTGCACGCTAGTTCAAATATAGCGACGTTCGGTTTGACTAAAGTCAACCGACCTCGTGCAGTGTGTCTGCATTTGCTCACCTTCACGCTGTCCACTGACTTGACAGATTTGTCTATGGCCTTCCTTGTAGTGCCAACTTCCTCTTTGCAGTCTCATTACGTACCTTGTCAAGATGCCTAGAACCATCGAGGCCGACGAAAGTAGCTCATCATCATGTTCGGAGTCAGAATTGGAGTCCACTGGAGACGAGTACCAGGACTCTTCCCCGGACGTCGAAACTGAGGATGACGACGATGACTCAGAAGACGCCCCTGTTGCCGGGCATTCTGGGCATCTCCTAGGCTTTGGGACCCATCTAAACACAACCAACATTGCGCCCCAGGATGATGAAGCCATCCTTGAAGTTGAAGAGTGCATGGCGGAGTTCGAGGTCAACAAAAGTCAGGCAATCAATCCCAACAGCAATGAGGCATATACTAGTTCAGACGAGGATCGACTGTATGGTGGGGGAAACCGCAAGCCTGCCGAGAGGTACCGTCAGAGCATGAGGACATTCAATGAGGCCAGTTACAAGCGGACTCGCTACTCGAAGGGGACATTAAGGCTCCTGCAGACATGTGAAGACTTCTGGCAGATGTAATGATACCCACCTTTGTCTCAACAATGAATCTCAACGCTAACGACTTATTGCAGGTTCTGTCGGGAAGTCATGCAGGATAGAGATTGGAAGGCGTGCCACAGACGGCTCGATTTCAACACTATTTACCATTTCCTAGAGTGGTATCTGAACCAGATCAAAAGTCCTAATGGTCGAGCGAAGCGGCCTCTGTCAAAGTTTGGCTCTTTGATCACGTTCTGGTGCATATTCCGACTGTCATACGAGCGGTCTACACTCGAGAAGATCCACTCTATCTTGCCTCGTGGCGTTATGAACAATCTTCGCACCTCGAGATATTCCCGTTCTGGGGAAGTACAGAAGGGATGTACACAACAGCATGTGTCAAGGGTGACGCACTTGTCACGGACCACAATGATGCTGAAGGCAATATATCCGATACAGGGTCATCAGATCTTTTGGCGTGGGCCGAGCCTACAATGGCGGGCGCGTGAAGGTGGTAGACTCGAGTACGGGCACCACCTTACCACGGGGCTATGGTAACGAATGTGTCGGGGAGCTCCACTTCGGCGGCAACACAGTCATCAGGCAATATCTGGGTGGGCTATCTCCCGAAAGCTTCTACAAGGAGGATGGGTTCTCGTGGTTCAAGACTGGCGATCAGGGCCGCATGGCCACTGGCGGCTCGATCTTCATGGTAGGTCGGTACAAGGACATGATCAAGAGGGGTGGAGAGAACATCTTTCCACAGCAGCTGGAGTACACACTGCAAAGCGTCTGCCGGACCAAGGTATGTCTCAGCACGTACAACACACAGGTCTCATTGCTGACAACCTACGCAAGGCTCAAGTAATCGGTATTCCTGACCTCATCACCGGCGAGGCTTGTGTTGCTGTCGTCGACACTTCAAAGTCAGAACACTTCTCCAAGCTACAGCTACAACTTGACGTTTCCAAGCATATTGGACCGGAATTTGTCTTTGTACACATCCTCACACTGGAAGAGCTTGGACTCTCTGATTACCCTCTCGGCCCGGGTGGGAAGGTTCGCAAACCTGTCCTAAAGGAATTGGTCGTGGAACACTTGAACAAGACTAAACAACCGGACGCTCTCGCCAATGGCAACGCCAGATCCACCACAAAAGATCAAGGCAAGGATTATTGGATCGAATTTGTCAAGTCTGTTTGGGCAGACCTCCTCCACATTGATTCGTCCCAGTTCGACGAAGACTTTCGCCTTGAGCACTTCACGGACAGCCTTACAGCCATGAGATACTGCTTCGAGATCGAAAGGCTGACCTCCAAGCGCTTGACTGTCGCTGATGTCCGTGATGCTCCAACTATCAGAACCCAGGCCATCCTTGTGTCCGGGGCCAGCGTCGAGACATACGTCGCGGGCAAGACGGACCTCGATGTTCAGCAGGACACAGGGCCACCAACCCTAGCAGACGTGCTCGTCTGCAGGGGAAAAGAATCCAAGTTCAAAGAGATCCAGGAACTGGCGAAGCCGGTTCTGGAACATCTCGGCCTCACCTGGGAACACGATGTCCAGGAGTGCTTTGGCGCCTTACCGTTGTGGTGTGCAACCGTACTGCTCCCGCCGACGCGAACCTTCAACCTGCGCTTTGCATTCGAGGTGCGCGGCCTTGAGTTCTCGGAGATACGAGAGGCGCTTATAAACATTCTGAAGGTGCAGCCTATGCTGGTGAGCACTGGGGTCAAGGTGGATAACGGGCTTGTTTACCTCGAGCTACGACCAAGCGACCGTGTGCTCAGCAACGTCATTACAAGAGAGCCGGAGTTTGGCTCTGTTGACTCAGCAGTGGACTATGGTCTGCATGAACCATCCAAGCTCGTCCCTCACCCACCGGAGATGCTGTGCCGTTTCGGTATATCGCCGATCTCCGGTGAGGATGCAGGAGAGGGTCCGGTTCATGTCATCATCATCTCCCAAGCTCACTCTGTCTGCGACGGCATGACCAACTCGGTCTTGATCTCCGAGCTGGAAACCCAGGTCAACCTAATCCGGGCAAAGAAGGCTGGTGATGCACTGCCTCGCCATATTTCTCCACGATTCATCCCATACAAGCTCTTCTGCGAAATGTATGAGAATCTAGACTATAGCACGTCAGCTAAGTATTCCAGGGAACTCATAGCCTCCCGTTTCCACGGCGTCGCCAAAGAGGCCGTCACGGCATGGCCTTCATTCGACCCGACCAAGATCATGAGCATCTTTGGCGGCTCGGACGTAAGCAGCAGCAGTACAGACATCTGCCGCGGCGGCATCCTTCTGCAGCGGTCACGAAGGACGCCAGGTATCCTTTCCCTGCAAGACACACACGGCATCCCTCCCTCGGTGGCCCTCAAGGTCGCCTACGGCCTAGCAGTGATGCAGATGACAGGCAAGAAGACGGCCCGCTTCCTGCGCGTCGACGCGGCCCGCCACTGGCCCTTCCAGGGCGCCTGGACGCAGTCCCACCTGCCGAACCCCTTACTCGTCGGCGGCCCGACCCCCGTGCTGGCCTGGGAGCGCCTCAGGCTCGGCGGCGGCGGCGGCGGCGCCACCACCCTCCTGGACGTCTTCCGCCGCGCGCAGGCCGAGGACGCCGAGGTCGCCCCGCACACGCACGTCTTCAACTCGCACGGGGCCATCATCCAGCACCTCCCGCCCGAGGACGCCGCGTTCGTGCGCGGGGCGCGCCCCTTCGACCCCAAGATCGCCCTGAACCACGTCCCCGACGTGGGGCGCTTCACCGGCGCCGACGGCCTCCGCGCGCTCAAGCTGCGGGGGATCTCGTTCTTTGGCACCGGGGTCACGCCGCTGCAGTCCGGGTTCGACGTGGGCGACCGGGAGCTGTGTGTTATTGCTGGGCTGGTCGATGAGACAAAGTGGGATGATCCGGAGGGGGAGGTCGGTGGGTTCGAGGAGACGATTCTCAGGACGTTGGCTTGTATTGTCAAGCCGGAGAACTGGGACGCGCCGGTTGTTAGGTTTGCAGAACCTATTGAGGAGTAGTGTGGAGGTTTGTCACCAGGACTTTCGTCTCCGAGATTCATCCTGTCTTTACTGGAGGACGCTTGGGTATTGCCTCCTTTAGGTGCAAATAATTAACACCCCTCGTTTTATTTCCTACCTTGACTTTACCACCATTCGGATAATCAGTCACGTCTTCAATTGTCAATACATGTATGATGCCAGTACTAGTAGCCAATGGACAGGTTGTAGGGAGACTGTACAGGGCAGGATATCAAATGATGTGCTCACCGTCACCAATAAGCGCACGAAACTCTGCGCATATATGAGCTGGGCCGCCATCGTCATGGTAATGTGAAAGATGGTGATCATGACCATGGGTTTCGGGCGTAGTTTCCATGATTTGATAAATTCATTACCTTGAAATCTCACACGATCCGTGTTGTGTGTTTTCCGCGTCGGTGAAAGATAAACAGCGGCCTCATCGACGAGAATCTAGACTATGCCATTGCCGTAGTAAATGGGCACACAGGTGGATTCGCGTGGGGGCTTTTGCAAAATGCTTGCGACCAGGGCTGAAAAAAAAGTGATAGGTTTGTGTTTGGTTCCTTAGTGGGCTGTTGTGGTTCAGCCATCGGAGAGAGGCGGCCGACAATCAGGCAGCAGGAATTCGGACGGTGGACTTTCAAGAGCCAGTATGCATTGGTGGTGGCTTTGCTCCGGTGGTTCTGACTCTCACTCAGCACTTGAGCATCGATGGCATTGGCAACGTGGGTGGGTCTTCTCAATTTCTCCTAGCATTTCTGACTGTGCTGGTCCAGATGCCATGTCCTCCCATCAACAAGACAACGCAAATGTAAGCTCAGATCTGTAGGCAAGTTCCATAGAATCAGCCGTTACCGCATGTCTCAGAGATCGCAAGCCACCTCGCCGATCCTGTCGTGGAACGTCCGCCGTCCGTCGTCTTGGCTTCAGACTTGACGAGTAGACATACGGCCCGTCTCCACCTTCAGCCTCAACGTGTGCATGTGAGGTCTGGTCTGGGCAGCCACCTAGCCACACTGGTCAGCTTTCTTTCTGACCGGACAGCCTCAATGAGCAAAGCCAAGATCTTGGGTCAGATTCTCGTATCTCGCTACGGACCTGCTGGATTTGAAAGTGGTCCCATTGGACAACTGGCGGGAGCTGAGCCCGGCTGCAGCCAACGTGCATGACCACCACCAACACGCACAGCACAGTCGAACTTAAGGCTCAATGACATTGTCACAACCCAGTCCCCGCTCAACGTGCCCGCGTGAAATTCCTGGCCGTTCATTCTCTTCACGCTGCACGACGTTTTCTTTCCTGTTCACGCGGTCCCTGGGCCCCAATTTACCTGCCCCGTCTAACTAGCTTGTCGAACTGGTTAGGCCGTCATGTCCGAAGGCAACCCCATTGCAGACCTCGGCCTGTCCTGCCCCGACGGCGGGAAGTTCTACATCTGCAAGGACGCGGAGTACCGGTTCATCGGCTGCTGCACCGAGAACCCGTGCGCGGACGGCACTGGTCATTGTCCTCAATCCGCCCTCCGCTATTCCAGTTTCAACAAGGACGGCTACCGCGACATCCCGCAGGAGAACTGCGTGGCACCTCACGACGAGAGCACCTGGTACACCTGCAAGGGTATCAGTCCACCTTTTATGGGATGCTGTGCCTCGAACCCATGCGAAAATGACGGATGCCCGGCCCAAGATCTCCTCGCTGCCCGGTTGGACGACGAACCCACCAATGCTGCACCTTTCCTGACGTCGACTTCAACATCCTATGCCTCATCATCGAGTGACAATGACTCCGGGGGCTTGTCAACTGGAGACATCGTCGGCGTTGCAATTGGGAGCGTAGTGGCCGTGCTTATTGTGGTCGGCATCCTGTTCTTCATGTACAAAAGACGAGAGAAGAGGAGGAGGGACGAGCTGGCAGCCAAAGCCCAGCCAAATGCAGACGGAACGCCAGGTGTCTACATGCCTAGTCCTTACCAAGGTGAGCTGATGGCCGTCGCCCTTCTAGTTGTCTTCACTAACATCCCCTTAGATTCTATGGGTAGTCTCTCACACCCAGTGTTCCCGGGCTCGCCATACAACCCGAACCAGTACGCAGAGCATAATTCCCTCGGAATCGCCGGTTCGCCTGGCCATGCTCCCTACCAGCGGCCAGCCTCTGCTGCCCCATCCTGGCTCTCCGGACACACACATACACCAAGCGAGCATCCTTCAGTGAGCTCCGATGGGACCCATACCTGGATGTACCAGCAGCCGCGACCATACCTGAACCCCGTCTCTGAGATCGACGGCACGGAAGCCTCAAGACCAATGTCTGAGCTCGCGGGCTCCGCGCCACGGGGTCCCCCGATAACAGCGTACAAGTCGGGGTATGAAAAGGTTGCAACGGATGTGGATGATCATGAAGTTCGGGAAAAGAAATAGACTTTAAAAGCATTGTCTTGAATGGGAAACGTTGCTGGGGCAATGGATGGGGCGATGTTGGTAAATGGCACGGTTTTGCTTTTACGTCCCCGTCGACGGATGTGGATTGAACATCACTTGCACTAATCATCATTGCTTCAATAATGACTTCTCTAGCCTAGATTTAAGCATGTATCACCGATATATCAAGCCGACTGTTGAATGTTTTCTGTGTCAATATTGGCATTTATTTTACAGCTTCTGGTCTTGCAAAACCTGAAAGCCCTTCTCTCCGTCCAATTCATTGCTTCTCATTGTTGTTGTCCGACTCATTGGCCGTCTCATTAAGCATCTCATTGTTAAACACATTCTTTGCCTTTTTGCTAGCTTCCCACTTGAGACGGTAGTGAATAGCAAAGAAGATCAAGGTGGCTGCGATCGTGAAACCAAGATACAATTTTGATCCGATCCTCCAATTCGGGGCCTGGACTGCTCCGAAGAGCTGGCTATTGGATCGCCAATGGTGTGTAGATCATGAAGGCTTCGACGTGGCAAAGCCTAGACTCTACCCAATGGCGGCTTTCAGCGGTCGACTTTCCTCGATTCGGCTGCAGAGTATCCTGCAGTGGTCTCCTCGTTCTAAGTCATTGAGCCTCCTGCACAAGAACGGCAAGCCGTCGCCGGAGCTCTGTCAACCTAATGTCCTCCGCGCGCTGTTCTCGTAGCCTTGCTTCACGTTCGAGTTTCCATTCCACATACCACTTCCTTCCAACACTCCATAAAGACAGTGCCAGGATTACGCAACCAGTGGCCAGGGCCACCGCCTGGTCCAAGTCGCCGAGCCCGGCTGCAGTCTTGGGGAAGAACGCAGCCAGGAATCGCTGAATGGCGTGTCCCAACCCAGACCACCAGTCAGAAGACTCGGGGGTTTTGGCCCCCAGGCTTTGCACTCCGATGAAAATGGACATGTTTGTCGTCCCCACACTGGCAACCAGGGGAATGAGGGCGATCCAAAAGCTCAGGTACACGAAGCGGTCCTCTCTGGAGGCATGGCGCGTCCGGTTCCGTCTTATCTCTCGAAAGATTGCCTCTGGGGTATGCAATGCTTCGATCTCCAACATCGTTCTTGCAAATGTTGCTGTTTCTTCAGGATTTGCCTCCAGAGGTTGGAGCGGCGTGCTGTAAAACACATATAGGGCCAAGCAGAACGCGATGGCGATGCAGGCCAGTATCAGAGCGAGAATCACTGCGGTGATGATTGCGCTATCCGAAACAAATGATCTTGTGAAGCTTGCTCTAATGGTGCTAAGATGCTGGCTTGGTGACCTCGTCAACTGGCTGTAGACCACATATTCTGTGGCCAGACAAAACAGGCCAGTCAGAGCGATCAGAACAGCACGCTTGTAGCAGCGTGCAGGGAAGGCCACGAGGAAGAGAACCACGCTCAATATCATGAACGTTTCGGTTACAGTCAAAGAGGCCTCTATCGCTCTGGAAATTTGTTTGATTTTGACGGGCTTGATATCTGAGAAAGTCAGGCTCTTGAGGCATCGGATTTGGTATATCGTGTGTCCTGCAGCAACGGACGGGAGGGCTAGGATTCCAATGAAATCGGCGTCCAGAGTGTCAGATCTCCGCTTTCGCTTGTCACATGTCCATAGGATCAGACAAGCGAGGATTGTAAACAGCCAGCACACTGTGGTGCCTTTGCCGTAAAGGGAAGATACAAGGGCTAACTCGTCCTCATCCATGACCCGGAGCTCCCAGGAGCCTGTCAATTCGTAATAAGAGATGAATTGCCGTACGAAGTTGGTGGAGGTCTGGCTCGAAATGAAAAGAAGGAAATGGCATGGAATTGTATGATCGTCGCCGGTCCACCTGGAGCAGATTCGTTATGTATCAACTCTGAGAGCTGAACTCGACCTGCGAACAGCTGAAAGCTTAGATGGCTTTGATCCGACTGGACGCCAACGCAAGCCACATCTGAGCTGAAGTAGAAAAACTACTGTGACATAAGCGGCAGCACACGCTAAATTCCGAGCTATGACTGGCTTTAGCCGACTATTGCGAATCAGCATTCTAAATATGACCAATCCCAGCATATGGTTGTCTTGATGCTCGTGAATTAAGCCTCTAGTCCTAATTGCGGGCCTCATTTAGCGACTCGCTGCCTGCATGCATGCACGCTGCCAAAGCCAAGGTAACAATAGAAACCCATCATGCCTCCGCGGGATAGATGCAGGTGCCAGTCACACAACGTACCCAGAGATAATTCTCCGAGACCGGATAGTCAAGATAACATTTTAGCTCATTGGGGTTTGTACTCAGGCTACCAGAGGCATATACATGATGGTGTCATGGAGCCCCACAGTTGTGAAATACTGCAGTACAGAATTACGGCGGTAGTTCGTGGCGTCATTGCTCAAATGTAACGTAGGTCTGGACATGGTACATTTACGATGAGGGTCGGCTTTAAAATTGTCATTCTATTCGATATCAGTTAAAATTCAAAGATCAAGGGTGTCTACTGACTACGAACCTGGGCTAAACCAATCGCCCATCGCCAAGGTGCTTTTCCAAGATGCCCGAGAAAGAAGTTGTGATTTCGGGGGCGTCACCCAGTCCCTCACATACAACTGACAATGCCTTCCCAACATCGAAGACGCATACCGGAAATGCCTGGATCAAATTCATGACATACCTTCACTGGCATCCGCCTGACCAAGCCGAGGAAGAGAAGCAGCTCATCCTGAAACTGGATCTAAGCATCTTGATCTTCGGGTGCCTCTCATTCTTCACAAAATACCTGGATCAACAATCCATCACCAACGCCTATGTTAGGTGCGTCTCTTACGTTGAATTTTGCAACCCTTCTGGTCATTGCTAATTCAGTTCTGCGCAGTGGGATGAGAGAAGACATCGGATTAAAAGGCGATGACCTCAACTATATAACGGCAACCTTCTGGGCGTCATATTGCACATTCATGATTCCGGCATGCTATTTCATGACCCATTACCCGGCAAACGTTGTACTTCCAGCTTTGGAAGTCGGATGGGGTCTGTCAACATTTGGTCTCGCCTGGGCAAGAAATGTCGAAACTATCTATGCGATGCGGTTCTTCACAGGCGTGTTCGAATGCTGCTCGTTCACCGGAACAATCTATATCATCGGATCGTGGTACAAACCCGGAGAGATCGGCCGAAGAGTCGCACTTTTCTTCATTGCGAGTCCTCTTGGGATAATGTTCGCGGGATACCTCCAGGCTGCTGCATATACCAACCTAAACGGGACTCATGGCTTGGCTGGCTGGCGGTGAGTGAATGACCTTGCTGGATTTGTATCATGATACCCATGGAGCTGACAATTCACAAGATGGCTGTTCATTGTAGATGCAATTATCACGATACCTATTGCGCCCATGTAAGCTTCCCTAGAATCAGAAATTTCACTTGGTGAAGCTAGCCAACCATAGTACGCGAAAGTGGCTTTTTCGTCTTTCCGGATGTCCCATCACGGAAGAAGCCGCTCTTCCTCACGGAAACTGAGCACGATCTGGCCCAGAAGCGCCTCGAAGGCATCACCACCCCGCCACAGCTCCGCCTCTCCTGGGACATATTCCGTCGCGTCTTGACACGGTGGCATTGGTACCTCTTTGTTTTTCAGTGGACAATAATGGATCAGAACTTTGCTCCATCAGGTACACCCTTCTCGCTGTACCTCAAAGCAAAGAACAACATTTACTCAATCGTTCAGATCAACACCTTGCCAACAGTCGCAACCGCCATAAGTGTCGTTGTCGCCTTTTCAGCTGGTCTAATCGCTGACAAGACGGGTCGCTTCTGGCTACCATCATATGTGGTGACAATACCGCTGTTAATCGGTGTATCTCTCTTGGTCGCATGGAATGTTGGTGAGGCAGGTCGCCTAGCTGGCTTTATGTTGACTGGTTTCGTTGGAGGTGAGTAGCTCATTGCTCGTTGGCCCGGCCATCCTTTCACACTTGTGTTCGACCGTTTTGCACGAGGAATACTAGAGCTAATAATATCTATAGCAATCTCTCCCCTGACGATGGGATGGGCCACAGTCATTATGGCAAACGATGCTGAGGAGCGTGCCGTCGTTACAGCAAGCATGAACGCCATCGGCCAGGCCATTGCTGCCGGCACACAAATTGTCCAGTTCCCTGCTTCAAAAGCTCCAAACTTCCACGGAGGCTTCATTAGTATACTTGCGACCACCGTAGCACAGCTTGTCTCGATAACCCTAATCTTTGTCCTGAGCTCTAGGGACGGGAAAAAGGTTGTTGGAGGGTCTGGCAAAGTTTAAGTGGACTCTTGCTACGGTCATGATAATTTGTTCGTCTAGTGAGGAGGATTGATAGATTCACGGCCGGAAAGCAATCTCATACTGGATTTCATTGACTGCCGGCTTTGGGAGCCGAATGATAGGGAACAGAACACAATACCCTGATGTTTACACGGAAGGTACGAAAAGGTTTGAAACATCAGTGCAGTCGTAACAGACTCATCCAAGGTTATCTTGAATGGTCATCCCACAGTCGAGGCCTGTGTTTCTCCTACTTAAGCTTGAATAAACTCCGCTTGGCGCCACACGCCACCACATAATGTACGACCCATGGTGCATGCGGCGCAGCTGTTGCCTGGTGTGTGGGGACAGAAATTTGTAATTCGATAACAGCCTGAAACTGAGCCACGTGCCAACAGGTACCAACATGTACGTGGATCAGAGCGCAGACGCACGACCGTTGAGCGGGGCCGAATAGAGTACCAACAAGCACCGCAGCCCTGTCATTTCGTTTCTTCACAAGCCACAAGCCCAAACCGATCGTTTGGTCCACGACGTGAAATTTTGCTCTCTTGGATCGAGCGAACCTATGACTATGGGAGACCACTACTCCCGTTTACCACCTGCTCAAGGCATGCCTGGAAGACCAGCGACCTCCGGGCTCGTTCTGCTGGATGCCGAGCGCATGGCTGTGTTCCGCAACGCATTAGATAATATATTGCTTTCCGATATCGCCGAGACCACATTCTCAGAGATCCTTGACGGCCTGCCAACGGAGGGTTCTTGGCTTGAGTTTGACGTCTGGCAAGAGGGGCATCCCGTGGATGTATTGGGACACAATGAACTATGTGTTGGTACTCGAGAGAAGGCCAGGAAGCTTCGCGCTGACTTCGACGTTTACATTTTGTCTTTCCCCACTGCGGTATGTGTGTCCTCACGGGAGAATGTGTAAGATCCGTGGAGTCTATAAGCGTTAGATGTGTGCAACGCCGCCTATCTCGCACATCTCATTTGCAAAGAGTAACATACGCTGACATTCAGCACCTATCAGAACCTTCGCGACTTCCAAAAGGCTGTCCCAGGGACTAGGAGCTATCTACTCAGCCTTATTGAGTTACTAGCCAGGTCATGCCATGAGATCGCTGCCCGCTTATTTGAACTTGACGATGGTATCCACAACCACAGCGTTTACGAGGCATGGCGCGATGTACCGGTCGACCCCCTTTCGAACCCACTGATTCGCCCATTTCGGCGACCTTCCGTATTCTGCCACGGCTCATATAGTTTCCATGATCAATATCCTCGTGGCCTTGCTGATGTGGTCGGATATTGGGCGGAAACCAGGATCTTTGGGGGTGTTGTCGTGTTCGACAGAGGATCGACCGGTACCGAGGTGAGTCCGCCCCTGTTTTCTGGGCCTCGAAATAATTGACGTCCTCGTGGCTAACAATACTCTTCTGCCTTCCTCGACAGCGAAAAGAGATGTATATACACGGAGGTCACAAGAAAGCCCCGTTGACGCTGTTTCCCCCCACCTCAGATCAATTCGACGCACTGGCACAGTACCTGCTCCAAGGACAGTCAGCGGACACCCCATGTCCTCTACCCATCAAAGCGTCTCGTCTTAACGGCTATCGCTACCATCCGCATGACGCCATTTCTCGCTTCAACATATTCCGCGACCGGCACGAGAGGAAAGAGCCGCCTACCAGGAGCACACACCGCATGTATATGGATGGGCGGAACTGGCCTGAGATGGAGTATCTTTTCCAGGTCCTGGACCTTCACTCCAAACGTGCTGAAGGCGAGCAGATTGATGAGGCAGAGCTAGCTGCGGCGGAAGAAGGTAGGCGGCGTATCACGCCGTCGTCTCCGTACTGGCCGTACGGAGGGGAAATAGACCCTGAGGCAACGTGTACAGACAGCGAATGGATGTTTCAATAGCGTTGAATCCATAAATTCCCCCAGGTGAACTTATGTTCTTTGTTGAAGAGAGAACCAGCATCGCGTTTGGACATGTCAAGCTGTCAGCGGAGACCCGGGCGTCAAGTGCCAGATATGCTAAGGTAACCTACATCTGTTTCACTCACCAATTTGCACCTGACACACAATCCAGTGCTGCTTCAAAAGACATTCGCCCTAGATGGGTAGAGCATTGCTATCGGCTAGTATGATAACATGGACATTATCCCTATTCCCAAGGTCACCAAGTAATGTCACATATCAATGAGCCCTTGTGCAATTCTAGTTTATCCGCAATTCTCAACCTCTTTGTCGACTAGCTCGGCTGGCTTTGAGCACAAATCCATTATATTCGACCTCTCGCCCGTCCCATTGTCTGAACAAAGGCATTTTTGTGAGTTGTACCTGAGGCCCGAGCGCTGATCCTCACGAGATATAAATCGTGCCCGGTCTATAGAGGACTTAACCTTGAAGCGGCCGGCATTTCATGCTTCACCGGAATGTGCAACGAAGTACACCATCTTCTTCTTCAAGACACATCAAACAATCATCACCATCTGATACCAAGTCAACAGTTCTTATCCACTCACGATGGGTAACAAGGTGTCTACGGGCTCGCGCCACAATCAATATCTCGACAATCCGCGTTTGCCACTGGAGATAACGCTCATAATTGCGGCTGAGCTATGCCCCAGTTGCTCAATAGAAGAGGATGCGATTCCAGCCACGGAAGATGCACGGGAGCTACAACGCGCCTTAGGAAACTTGGCGGCTACTTGCAAGCATCTCCACGCTGTTGCAAATCAACATCGCTTTCATTCATTTATCATGCCCTACGACCCGGACTTCAAGGACCGTCAAGTGTGGCATGATGGCGTAGATGAGGACATCGCCTTGGCGCAGCGCTTCAACAACAGGGCCATCCCTGAGCTGTTGGATCGGATGATAACCCACGGCCGGCTAGGTGACCAGTTACAATACCTCTCTATTCGCGACTTCACACTCCAGTTCAAAGCTGGGGTTACTAAGCCGAGACTACAGCGCTTCATGGCTGCAAGCCTAAACCTTGGGATTCCAATACCGTCCTTTGTTCCTGGGTTACTGAGTGAGCCTGATCGAACCAGGGAAAGCCTCTCGTCGGTAGATATGGTCTTCTGGTTGGAAGGGCAGCTCTGGATAACGCAAACCCCATTAGCTTCATGGGGATGTAGAGAATTTGATGAATGGATGGTCAAATTGCTGCTCTTTGGGTCGACTCCTCGACTCCAAAAACTTCTGATGGACCCCGAAATTGCTAAAGATGTTTTCTACTCGCAGAGCCCCCCCGGAGCTACACTGTCCTCCGTCACTACCATGGGTATTCCACGATGGAAAGGGGATTTCCCGCATCTATTCATACACGAGTTCCCGAAGTTTCAGATGGAAGCTTTACTCCGCAGCTTTCCCAACCTCCGTGCCTTCCAGAATGACGAGGCTGCTTTTTCGTGGAGTCCGTACCGTCGTACTCCTGCCAACGGCCCGCCATTGTTCCCTAACCTTCGACGACTTGTGCTGGCTGCAGAGCAGCCTGGACGCCTACATCACCTGACACAAGTATTGAGAGAGTTTCCCCAACTAGAGGAGCTATATTACCATCGGCGGACAGGAGACGCCATTGGTGAGTTCGACCCTACTTTCTCGAACGCCAACGTGTTCAACAGCGTTCATCACTGCCTTCGGAGGCTGACGTACCTCAGCAACACCATCACGCAGTCCCCTAACCCGGAGAACTACTTTATAGCGATCGACTGCTACGAGGAGGAGAAATTCTCGGACGTTCCACACTTCGCTGTCTTCAAGGTATTGGAGGAACTGACTATTGAGCAAGGGCTCCTAGGTCGCTTGTCCACGGTCCACGACCGCGTCAACTCACCTACGGGCCCCTACTTTCCTGATCTTGACTACAGGCTCCCACAGTCTCTTCGCCGTCTGACTATCAAGTTTGTCTACGACTGGCCCAGACTTGCATCGCAGCTGATAGCTCTTGCTACTGCGAAGCAACGTGGCCAGTTCCCATCGTTGAGCGACGTCTTTGTTGTTATCGTGCGGTCTTGCACGGTCGAGAGTGACGGTGTGTGGCCCCCTCATATCCCGCTGACTCCCAGTAAGGATTTAATACGCGATTCCGGTGAGCTGATGAGGGCAGCCGGCATAAACCTCTGGACAAGCACCACTGAGATAGAGCCGCCTGATTCGGAAGACTACCCGCATGACATCGTCCCAGAAGGCACTCTCATCACTTTCGACGTCCAGCGGAGGTTCTTTAGCGATACCTGAGGACGCCATTCGGTATTTAGACAATGGTGGATTGGATTTCTGTTGGCCGGAGTTTGGAAGGTTGCAAGCTGGAAACAATTTGATTCCCATTTGTCATGATTCTATACATCACATCAGTAATTTGTTCAGTACATTTAATTGACATAATTCACCTCTTGACCTTGATCTTTTCGCTGCAAGTGATGCGACTTGGGAGAATTTGGCGACTGCGTCTTAGATTTAGCCACCTCGTGGCACATGTACACACCTGCTTATCCTTGCCCGATATATTGTGAGCCTCCGAAAGTGAATACTTCTCCATTTACTATGTAGTTCAAATTACTGCCCAAAACTGCGTCAAGCTCTGTCAACAAGTGACATATCTCGCAGAGGTGCATTTAACCCATGTCATGATTAATCTTAGACACCATCACAGAATGAACCTCGTAGTACGGAAGAGCCCGTCCCAACCCCTGAGGGAGAATGGCAAGAATGGCCCGATAACTCCGCGGTGTAAAGCTGTCATATCATCATGGAGTTGCATTGCTACATTCATGTCTAGCTAAAGGTCACGGTGCTCTCGGTACTCGTTATTCAATCATCTTTATGACGAGCTTGATCAAGCACGGACAGCACGTCTTTCCTCCCTCCAAGCTGCCCTTGCGATTCGCTTGGCTTGCTTCCTCTCTTTCCAAGCTTCGATTTTCATGGCTTTCTCTGCTCGTCTAGCATCCCTCCTGTCCTTTTTGTTGGTTGCCAGACACCTCACTTTCTCTTGCACCTCGATGAGCTTGGGAGGAGGGCGGACAAGTGCCTGTGTGGCAAGACTCGTACTGTGACTCGAATTGGAATCATTTATTTCTGACAGAGAAAGACTCGCGACTCGGTCTTCTGTTTCTGCCAGAGTTGTCACCAGACTATTGACTGTCGTCTTGTCTTGGTACAGGTCTGCGACTTGATATGCCGGTGGCGGCTCAGCTCCATTTACTGGCTGGACGAATACCACTGTATTATTCGTCTTTGGTTCTTCAGGCAGTGGTTGGCGATGTGCAATGAATGGGTCCCTGGGTAAACATTAGAAATCAGTGAGCAGAAAGACATGCCAGGCCTTGTGCGGGTGCTACTCACTGCGACCGCTCCCCGTCAAACAAGTGGACATTATGCAACAATAGGCTCAGCGTCAACTTGAGTGAATTGAGAGATGCCTGTCTTGCTGCAATTTTGGGTTTGTCAAACAGCCATTTCGCCTTCTGCTTCAGGTTTGCGGTGTCCCCTCTTTTATCATCATCCTTTAACGGCGCCAGGTTCTGATCCAGGTCCTCGATCTCATATCTGCATAGTTCCAGGACCTCAGTGAGCACATCTCGGGTATCTTCATTAAGTTCGCGAGAGGAGTCTTTGCCCATCAGCAGCTTGGCTTCGATGTCTCTCAGGATGATGGCCACGGCCTTGGTGTCCAGGGCAATCGACTTGATTTGACTGCTTGCTGTTCCGAGGTCGTCTGCCACTGTGGAGATCTTCCTTGCAACATGGAATCCAGCAGCGGCCAGAGTGGCGATTGAAGATGCCAAGCCTGCTAATTCAGCCATCTTGAATTTGTATGATCAGCTGCTAATTGGAAGAATGGGCGGAGACGTAGGCAAGCCGATGTGGTAGCGTGATCGTTCTGGTAATCAGGAAGCCGTGAGCTATATAAGAATTGTGGAGGGCGCAGCACTTTCACGCACGCGAATCGGATGTCGTTTCCATGCCGAGGCGACAGTAGCTCTGTCAGCTTGGTGGCCGATGTTTCAAGACACATGAGTACCACGACCAGGGCATTTGTGAAACAAGCCAATCGAACATCTCCCAGCGGGCCGAGCCTGGATTGCCTTGCGAACTGCACATTATTCCTGCAATCGCAACGAAAGGTTTGCCTCGGCACGTGTGACTCGACCGGCAGAGAACCGAAAGTTTACACAGACTTGACACAGCCATGTGTTTCTTCTGGGGAATAGCAGACAGTATTATCGTGCTGATTGATAACAAATTAACGCGTTATCTTCCGAATGTTCGAGCCAGCACTGTCTCAATTTACCGCGTTGTTGGACCAATATGTCTATGTTTCTGTGCAGTTGCTTCATCAAACCTCCCAAACGCAGTCATTTGTTCCTACCAGACATATACCTAATGAGTATGGCACCAAGTTTCAGTTAGTGAGGTATTGCTTACCTATGAGAGAATTAGTCCGCATCTCGTCATCCCTTGTGATTGGTCTTGATAACCTCGACCTGTGGTGGTGGTCAATGCGTCGGGTACCACGGGCAATCACCAGCAGCTCTAGTAAATCTCTCCACTGGAAAACCAACATGCTGACGACTCCCGGTCCCTCCGGCCCTCATTCTGTGCGGGCCGTCCCAGCTTCATCCTCGCAAACTTTTTTAACCATCACACAATGGCCAAGAAGGTCCAATCTCCCCTAGCAACATTGATACCGTTCATTTCAGCCGAGGAGGCTGCTATGATGGCGTACCCGCCCGATGCCATGCCGGGTGCTCGCGACGTAGACACATTTTATGGCTCTATGCGAGTCTATGAGTGGGGTCCAGTGGACGGAGAGAAGATCTTGTTTGTTCATGGAGATGCCACTCCTTCCTTGGTCTTTTCCAAGATTGCCCAAGGCCTCGTGGATGCTGGATACCGAGTGATGCTTTTCGGTCAGTCTTTTCGTCGTGGACATGGGCATGTTCACTCCGATAACGAGTTTGAGCCAACGGAACTGACCAGCCAATTGGTCACTAGATCTCTGGGGTCGAGGATACAGCGATACGCCACTCGATTGTCGGCATGACGTTCGTCTATTTGCGTCCCAGATTGTTTTGGCACTCACGTCCTCGCCACTCTCTTGGATGGGAAACGGCACGAAGTTCTCAATCATCGCGTTTTCTCTGGGCGCCCCCATCTCATTCGCATTTGCCGCTGCTTACCCCTCAGCAATTCAATCCTTCGTGCTTCTCGGTCCGGCAGGTCTTCTCCGCAAGCTGCCGGATGGCTATGATGACCAACTCATGCATCAGCCCGAGCTGGCCCCATCACCTGAAGCTCTTCGTGAGAAAGTCCGAGAAATCCTGGAAGTGGATCCTTCTGGCCCAGCTCTAGACGTTCGGCTGAATAAGAGGCGAGTGGTGCCAGTGGGGTCAGGCCCTTCCCGGATGGGAAAGAGTTTCGACATGGGAGGAGTTCTTCAGTGGCAGTTCGATCATCATCAAGGTCATGTTCATTCGTTCCAGGATACCGTTCGTTACGGCCCGCTGCAGACCAGAGACGAGTGGAGCAAGGTTTGCGACATAATTGCGGGCCGCGCACGACCGGATACTATCCTACATAATTCCAAGCTGCTCGTCTTCTTCGGCAAAGATGATGGCGTTGTCGTGGGAGGGGAGACGACTGAGGATATCCTGAAGTTGCTACCTGCCAGCCACTTGCAGACTGAATACCTACCAGGAGGACACGGGTTCCCATACCCCAACAGTGACACGATTACTCGAACAATTCTCGACTCATGGAAGTCTGGGCTCGCTGTAAACTAGAGGAATACTCCTCCGGGCTGTACTCATCACAACACGACGATGTCAAGTTTTGCCCGCTTGGAGGTTGGAGTCCACAGCTGCCGGGACTGCGGGCCAGCAGAACAAAACGTGTAGTTCTCAACAGGAACCTTGGCCTATGATGCTACCAGAGATTTCATATCCTGCTCTTCAATAACGGCACTCGCATGTGTTGACCAATTTTCTCAGTGAGCACCTGAAAAGATTGACTGCAAAGCACGGTACAAGGAACGCCGTGATCATTACAGTGGTCAATGACCAACCTTGGAGATAGACTTATTAATGCTAATTTCATTCGTCAAACCTGTCTCTCACACTCCATTATCAGTGCACCCTTTGTCGCCCATCGCATGAATCCGCCCTGCGTCGGTGGAGCTCAAGTGGACGAAGTGACGATCGTCTCCGGATCAACGTCATCGCTCTTGCCGCCGTCTTTTCGGTTTTGCGACTAACGTACTGAGGGTCGCAGCTGCCCGTCTCCTTAAGCACCACATAACTCCAGAATGATAGCCGAAAGATGACGTTACTATGGGGACAGCACCCGGGGTACATCCCACGCCGGCCGAAGGAGAGAAAATCCCCAGCTCCTGAGCAATTGACGTGCACCAGACATGGCCACAATTCCGTCTTGGCAGACTCTATATCACGGATGACCTTGCTCTAAGATCTCTGCTGTACCTGCCAAGAATACCAAGCTTTCTGATCGCATCCTTGTATTGTGAGATTTGCGCCCTGCAGCCATGGAGGCCGACCACCAGAGACTCGAGCATTCTGACCCGGCGACACTGGAGAAGCAGATAGACTCGGATCGTGCGTCGACTGCACCTTCACTCCACCACACCGACGTTCCGCCCGGCAGAGCACCACAGGCTATAACCACCCACCGCAAGTTTCTGTCAGAAGAGGAGGCCTTGCAGCATGCGAGGGAAAACCCCGACGACGAGGAACCTGTCTACCTCGCCTACTCGTTCAACGACGGAGACAACCCACGGAACTGGCCGAAATGGAAGAAATGGTACATCACATCCTTCGTCAGCATGCTCAACGTCCTCACGTACGTCACCTTCACCTTCACCGCCAGATGTATCAGAGGTTCGACAAATGTGCTAATCACAGGCGAGCAACAGCTGCCTTTGTGCTGGTGGGTACAGCTCGGGCAAGGAACAGCTCACGTCCACCTTCGGTGTGTCCTCTGAGGTCGGCACAGTCGGACTGTCCATGTACATCCTGGGTTTCGCCGTGGGACCGCTGATGCTCGCACCAATGTCCGAATACTTCGGTCGCAACCCCGTCTACATGCTGTCATGGCTTCTGCTGGTCATCTTCCAGATTCCACTGGCATTGGCGCCCAATATCGCCACCGTCATCGCGTGCCGTCTGCTCCAGGGCTTCTTCGGCAGTGCACCGTTGACTGTAGGATGGTTTCATACCCAGGTAGCAGGTCTCGAGGTACTATGACACTGTGACTGATGATTCACTGTCCAGAACACGGGCGGCACCGTCAGCGACCTTTGGGCGAGAGATGAATGCGGCCCAGCAATGGCCGTCTACGGCCTGTCAAGCACTGGAGGTCCACCGCTTGCACTCGTCATCAGCGGTTACGTCGCAATTAAAAAGGGGTGGAGATGGTTGTTCTGGGTCTACATGGCTGTCCTTGGTGGCTTCTGGATACTGCTTGTATTCACTGTTCCCGAGACCCGCCACACCATCATCCTTGGCAAGAAGACCAAACGCCTCCGCAAGCTCCTGCGGTCTGAAGGCCTCGCTGCCGCCAGAACCATACGGGACGCCAACTCTGATGAGAAGGCGGGGCTGGGCACACTGTTTGCTGTCACACTAACTCGGCCATTCAGATTCTTATTCACTGAGCCGTAAGCATTCCGACGTCTCATTTCACCTTTTTTGCCTTCATCACTGACCTCCTCCACAGAATCACATTGGCCGCCGCAATTTACAACGGCTTCATTTACGGAATCGTCTACTTATTCAATGAGGCCTTTCCACTCGTTTTCGGGCCCGGTGGACACGACTTCAATACAGGTGAATGGGGCGCGGCATTTGTCGGCCTCTTCATTGGAAGTGTCGTCGCCGTGATGCTCCATCCACTCCAAGAACGGTACTATCTGACACAGGTCGCTCGCAACGACGGCAAGGGTGTACCGGAGGCCCGCATGCACCTCGCCCGCTTCGGAACCTTCCTCCTGCCCATCTCGCTGTTCTGGTTTGCTTGGACGAGCTTCCCCAGCGTGCACTGGATTGTCCCCATCATCGCCAGCGCGCTCTTTGGAGCGGGCATCTACATCATCATCCTCGCCGTTCTCAACTATGTGGTCGATTCCTACCAGTCGTATGCCGCGTCTGCCCTGGCTGGTGTTATCCTGATCAGGAACTTGGTTGGAGCTGGTTTTCCCTTGTTTGGGACGCAGATGTATGACCACCTTGGTTTGGAGTGGGCCAGCAGCTTGCTTGCATTTTTGAGCTTGCCCATGTGTGTCATTCCGTTTCTCTTCTTCTATAAGGGAGAGTACCTGCGGCTCAAAAGTCCGTGGGCTAGGTACGTCGATCCTCCACATACATCTTATGTAAATGGAGTTCTGACACAGATTCCAGGGAACATTTTGCGCAGGATGAGGACATGCCTCACTGAGCTGAGTTGTCGGCTTGGGCTGGACTATGGATGAGGATACAGGGTGCGATGTCTTTCTATACTTTTGAAATGAAGCATATCTACGTACTTGTGCAGTAAAAATATAGACCGTTATGCTTCTTCTCTCAGTATATCATTGCGTCTATATAATCAACTTCTCTGTGATCTCATATTCACTTCACCACTGTAATTGCTTTCCCTGTCACATATGGTTACAGAGAATGACAGTCTAGCACCGGAGCTAGTCATCAAACTCATAGTCTTTCACTGGCTGTTGGAAACAAACAAGCATGCGAAACCATCCTTGCCCTCTCTGGAAAGGCACCCCTCTTGCGCGCCTAGTGGATTTTTCAAGTGAATTGCTCCCAGCAATGCTCCTTGGGCACCCAACCATGAAGTTCGGAGCAGCACTCCCACCTGACTAGTGAAGTGGTCTCGTCGACAAAGTGAATTGTTCCCTTCCTAGTGACAGAATTGGGACACTTGTTTATAATGCTTCCTTCCCACAGCCCGTCGACCACAGTCTTCTGATCTCAACGACTCAAGCTTGTTGTGTTCATGCCACACTGCTCACAACACCGGTCCTGCATTTCGTTCTATCTCTCCTTTCAGCGATCACCCCATACCACTCCTCCAGCTTGCTGTACACCTCAAGCCTGAGAAAGCACTACTCACTCAATTGTCTCAAGATGTCTTCCAACATTGTACCCAGGCACCCTGTATGGGGTCACTTTGATTACTTGCTTGGACAACAGATAGTCCAGGCTTGTAATTTGTGTGTGCCAACAATTGACATCGACGACAATGATTTGGCTGCTATGCTGTCTCCTCTCCTTGGCAATCTGGCCCGCGGACTCGGGCAGAAAGAGATGTACACAACAGCTTCTCCCTGCCTCAATACGCCCCAACAGCACGCCGTTTTCTTGGAACTCAGCAGTTGGACATTCTCCACCCAAGGTGTTCTCTCCTCTTTGTACCAGCCTCGTCTGTCTCAGGACAAGACACTGAAGATTGGAGTCAATGCCGATGATCGTAAGTACCGTGCCCAGCCTTCCGACATGGGACTTGACTAACAACCTTTGTGTGAGTAGACATGAGCCTAAGCGGACATGTATGGGTTGTTGCTCAGAATTCGCACCTGTTCCGTCTGCCGAACGAGCTGCTGGACTCTGTCCTCTCGAATCTGCCTCCTCAAGACATCAACGACTTGCGCTTGACCTGCCAACAAGCTCAAATGAGGACATTTCCATTCTGGTCGAGGGCTTGCTTCAGTACAAAGCAGTTCAGTGAGTTTTATCAGCCATTTGCCATTGTGGGACCTTCGGTGAGCTGACTATCATTGGAGTGATCGATGAGCACAGTCTCCAGACTCTTGTGGACATTTCCCTTCACCCGCAACTTTCCAAGGTCGTCAACCATCTTATTATCGGTGTTGATGAGATTGAGACCAAAGACACGCTCGCCTACATCAGGTCTTGCCATCCGAGAACTCCACCCAACCGTCCCTCATTGCTCCAGTACTGGCGAGACGCTGCATCAGCCCAACAAGCTCTGCTTAATACAGGAAGAGCTATCGATCTACTTTCATCGGCCATGTCGCGACTGCCAAACCTGGACATCGTCAGCGTTTCGGGCTCCAGGCTGTTCAGACAAGCCCCCTACTATTCCAAGATCTTCCAGTACCCGGACTTGGGAATGCGGAGCTACGGCTCCTCTGCGTACCAAATGCAGGCGAGACATACAACCAGTGGTTCGCCGAATTCGAAGGGTTTTATCGACCGGGTCTTCAATGTCGTCCTAAACTCCTTGGTACGCTCTATGCCTAGAATCACTTCCTTGCGGACAAACTTGAGCAAGGCCGACCTCCTCGAGCACCTAGACGACGAAGCATTCAACCTGCTTCCATCCGCACCCTTACATACCAATGCTGCCACTTTCATGGGTAGCCTTTCCGAGCTGCACCTCGACATCAGCTTGGAATCACAATTGGTCAACAAAGTCGAGAACCTCACCGACCATGACCACACTTTTGACACGTCCAATTTCGGCCTGCGGCGATTGCTCGCCATGACTTGCAGCCTCCAGAGTCTGACGTTGAACTTTTTCGGAGGAGAGACAATGGAAGGGCATTGCGAGTTCACGGCTTGGCTGTCCGAGCCCGCCAGCGGTTCCGCCACGGGAGCGGATGATGACGACAAGGAGACAGGCAACAAGTCTCATACCACAATTGCTTGGAATCCGCCGCCGATCGCCCTACCATTCCTCCGCAGGCTCGTACTCCAGGGATTATTCATCTCCCCTACCCAGCTTCGGTCTGTCTTCACCAAGTTCGGGAGCCTCAAGTCCGCCGCTCTCCACCGGGTCTACCTCAGGCGGTGCTTCATCGACGAACCGCCTGTTCCGGAGGATTCCGATGAGATGGAGAACCTCTGGGCAAGCTTCTTCCGTGGCTCATCCACTACCCTTGCGAAGCTGGAAAACCTCGAGTTGGACAGTCTGGCAGTCATGCAATACCGGGAAGACCCCAACGACGGCGTGTCTGTGTCCACGAAGGACGTCGACTTGGTGGTGTTTGCTCCCGACGAGGGCAGCGCGGAGCCGCCACCGAATTTCAAGACGGTCACGAACTTTAGGAAAGATGCGCTAAAGAAGCTCGCCAAAGAGACGTGGTTGGGGCGGGATGTGATTGCGGCCGTCGATCAGGGAAATTGACCGCTAATACTGGTGTCCCAGGCATTGGCCTTGTATGAGAATCGACATGGCTTCGGGTTCTACTGTTGAGGGTCGTGCGACCTTTGGTCCTTGCCTACTCATAGTGATACTTCCCTATCCTGTGGATTGTTTGGTGGATTGCTAAGAAGACTACGCAATATTCCTGTTCCGGGTCTTGTCTTCGAGAGGCAAGCCCCTTGTGTCGGTGCGAGCGAGTTTACAATGCACAGAGCGAGTTGCGTGCTGGATGGAAATAGAAAGTGGTCACTGGGAGCCGAGCCAGTTCATGGCCACACGTCACTTCGTTTGAGGAGTCCATTGAAAATGGGAGCATAGAATCAGACCTGTCCACATCAGGACAGGGCCGTTTAGACATTTAGATCCAGCTAGGCTAGCTAGCCAACCATGCTAGACGTCCTCCTATCATAATTCACGGTGATCGTCTCCATCTTGACAATACCACCCGCCGCGCCGCCGCGGATCCCGTCCGCAGGCGACCCGAAGCCCTCGAGGTCCTCAGACTCGGAGCTGCTGCGGCTGGCCCAGCCCAGGTCCGCGAGCTTGGCGGCGCGCCCGCGCTTGCTGCTCGCCTTGCGGACCATGTTGCTGCTGTTGCCGCCGCTCGTGATGGTGGTGGTGGTCGCCATGGTGCTCATCTTGGAGCGCTGCTGCTGCTGGTGGTTCAGGACGCCGCGCCCGTCGAAGGTCCCGTCCGTGGAGGAGAGGTGGTACCGCGAGTGCACGCTCACGGCGGTCTTGAGCCACAGGCGCAGCACGGTATCGAAGTTGCCATTATCGTCGTTGCGATCTCGGCGGCGGACCATATTGAGAGCTGGCCTGATTCGAAGGTGAAGTCGTCGGTTAGGAGTAGTGGTATTTTCAGGCAGCGCATTATGGAGGTCGCGCCGGCTCTGGAGAAGGTGTTAGCTCGTCTGATGTTTTTGACGTGTCCGAGCACAGACTTTGGTGGAGGTTGCTTTGGGATGGACGACTAGACTTACACTATGCCCAAGCTCATACAAATTCCCCACCCCAATCTTCTCCTTTAGGTTCATCTGCAAGTTCCAGATGAGCACCCACGGGATGATCGCCAACGCAAAGTCCGCAGCCGCCGAGTATGCCGCGCCGAAGACGGTCAACACCAGCACCAGTGTCCGGTCCCAGCACCTCCCCTCGATGTTCGGGTCGAAGCTCCGCCCTACCGGCGTGCACTGGAACAGCGGTAGGAAGGCGGCGAAGGTCAAGAAGATGTTCAGCGAGACGATGATGAACCAGACCAGGTAGCGGACGTGCGAGACGACGGCCAGCCGCAGCAGCGTCACGGCGAAAGAGATCTTGGACCAGGCTGCTCCGAGGATGGACAGTGTCTGCGCCACGGCGCTGAGGAGCATCGTCCGGATGAGCGTGTCGCCTGTCACGCTGTTGATGTGCTTGCCCAGGCCGGCGTCAACGGCCGCGGTGGTGACGATCACGTCTGCTAGGAGCATGATCTGTGCGTCCTCCGTGTTAGCCAACTAATGGATGTGCCCGGTCGTCGTGGCGTTCACGATAGTGGCCGTGGTATGGAATGGGCTCATGCTCACCCATGCTGCCAACACAATATAGTCATCCCACCAGAGCCCCTTCCGTGCGGATATCTTGGCCCATATCCTCGCGCCGACCACGATGCCTGCCAGCGACAAGAGCAACCACCCTATTGCGTTGATGTAGGCGCCGAACCCGTCATCGTTGGGCCGCGCCTGTTGTGGGTCCATGATTGGCGATCCTGTACCAAGATCGGACTCGCCTGTGCGAGTGTAGAGCACAGAGCCAGTGTTGAGGGTGATTCGGGGTGGATTCGGCGATCCGTGGCCCCAGGCCAACGCGGAGAGAAGATGAAGGAGGGCTGAATCGTAGATCTTCAACGAGTGGACTGGCCAGAGGAGGGGAGGAAGACTATATATTTCGGGTAGGCCGGAATGGGAAGGAAGAACTCCTCAAAAGAAGGGCAGTCCGACATGTCAGGGAACGGCCAAGAATGTCGAAAAAGAAGCTTAAAACTGCTGGGACGGGGTATACGGCACTTTGAGCATGTCAAGATCCCCTTCTGATGTAACAGGCGGACTGTTGCCAAACGAGTGGTGTGTCTGGCATTATACGAGTATGCACGACACCACGCGACCGTTTTCCCTTTTTTTTTTTCCGCCACCCGGGGTCAGAGGAACCGTCTCGAAGAAAGGGGATGGACGGGCTTGGGTGCTTGAAGAGGAGAGCAGCACGGCAGAAACGGCTATGAGATGGACAAGGTACACTGGGCAATTTACCTGACGGGCGCCAATGGCGTCGCAAGTGCCGTCCTCGCGCGGCGTCCAAGAAGGTGGGTTTGCGCCGAAACCTTGGACCGGACTGGGTTAGCCAGAAATATAAGTTGGCCGATTGGTCGGGCGGCCCGGCTGGGATGAGCGATCGAAGATCCAGAAGCCCTGACGGTGGAGCCCGGCAGAGTGCGCGCGCATGAATGAGGGTCTCCCGGTGGCCTGGACTGAAACAGAGGCGCGTGTGGAGAATTGCGTGTTCGAGGGCCGCGATGTGAGCCTGCACAGGCACACGAATCACCCCTCGCTGCTACGCACAATGGCAGGGCAGATCATCTAGGGGCAAGCAGGCATAGTTCACCGCGGAACCGCTTGCTAGCTGCAGATCATATAGCTCGAGAGGCCCTCGACGGAAACCACCGCGATGTTCACTGTGGTTGGTCGCACTGATTTCCTAATAAGGTATTCATTTTTTTGAGGCCGCAGCCACATGGGCTGACGAAGCCCTCTGCATCTAAGCGAACCCGGAACCACTGACCGCCTACCAAAATCATTTCTCCCTCATACAGTTCATTACATCCCAGTATTGGGGGTCCCCCTCCCGGCAAAGTCAAAGATGACCCTACCGGTTATGCACTCCAACATCAAACAACGAGACTTGCCCGGAAAAACACCCTGAGTCGAGAGCACGCTGCCATGAAGAAAACGTAATCGCGGGTCCGGGATCTCTCAGTGATAGTGCGGGCCTGCAAGCTTGCAAGGGTGTCTGGCCGGTGCTGAGGTGCCCCGTTCGCAGAAGAATGCCGGCAGTGCCTCCGAGCCGGGGTGTCGCCCTCCGCAGTCGTGCAAGATGGCAGTGCCGTGGCGCGCGGTGCTCGGAAACAGGGAATCAGCTCCGACAGCATCTCGAAAATCGTCCCTCTTCCCCCAAACCTTCCTGGCAGTATTCAACCGCCTGTCGCAACCAGTAGCCAGCGGGGGCCGATCCACAAGCCAACTATGGTGGACCGATGCTGAAAATGTCACGAAAACACCAACGTCCACAATTCTCAAGCCGTCTTCGTCCGGGATGCTCAACGACCACTCAAAACGCTGCTTCTGCAACGGCTGTGAATCGCGAAGCCAGGAGGTGGACTTTGTTCTGGCGGTAGTCATCCATGTCGTAGCAGAGGTCAATTTCCTCCAGGTGAGGGAAGTCAACGAGCAGGAGAGGTGCAACCTCTCGCAAAAATGGCCCAACCATGTTGGTAACCCTGGACATCTGCATGCTGCCTGTGCCCTCCCACGCCAGCCTCTCCTTACACTCATAATTTAGAAGCAGAGTGAGATGGCGGAGCGAATCGGGGAGGATTGTGGTCGTACGCTGGATCAGAGGCTTCAAGTCCTTGTCCTGTGTGAAACAAACAACAAGATCCACTGGCACCAGTAGAGTATGTAGCTTCGACAAGGCAGACAGCTTGAACAACTTGGACGGCCCTGAAGCTGTTACGTTGGCCGTGGTGAAAACTTCTGGGTTGTTCACGTCGAGAACAAATGTGTTGAAGTTCTCCAACTCCCCGAGCACGCGATAGAGGTTGTGGCCGTGCTCTGCAGACATGTTGTGTGGTTTGTCTTCGAAGTAGCAATTGTCGATCGTGAGAGACTCGAGGGAGGGAAAGGCTGAACCGACTCTGGCGATGTCCATGCTTGAGACACACTTGCTTCTAAGCTCCACATTCTTCACAGCTGTGGAGATCCAAGCGTAGCCTAGAATGGTAGGGTCGGTGTCAGACAGTCTCACAACTTTAATGGTAGAGGAGTTTGTGGGTTATACACACTAATTCTCGAGCCGATCGAGTACAGTTGCGCATTGCTGAGGGTGTGCTGCCATATTCCCCCATCCATGTCCTCAGGCGCTGCAGACTTTCCATCTACGCTGGACCAGAAGACGGTACGTACACTTGGCTGGCGGAACAACTTTGTGCAAAGATTCATGGCGAAGTAACGCGGTACACCACCCAGTATTCCCACTGTCTTCAGGTTGGAAAAGTCCGGGACAGTGTTTCCTTGGTAAAAGTCCCGGAACAAACGTTGGTGCAACATCAGCTGGTTGGTGAACTGAACCTTGTTCGAAAGGAGGGCCATGCATTCGGGTTGGATTTTGCCCAGAGCTGGGAGCCTGAAGGACAGTGACTCCAGAGCGGGAATCCGGGACAGGATCTTGGAGAAGAGTGTGCAGATCAGCTCGTCCCTGGTCCTTCGTGGCATCCGACACTCGGCCTTGCCCTTGCCTCTGATCCAGAATTTGTAGTCGTCGTCCTGGAACGGGCGCAGAGGTGTCAGGTCAATGGCACATATTTGCTGACCTCTCGGATCCTGATGAGGATTGAGTACGATGGATTTGACATGTCTTCCCAGCGTCGGGTTTGCACAGAGTGTTGCACAGAGATGGACCACAGCCATGTTCTCATGCAGACGCACGTCTCTGTAGAGAGCTGGCCTGACATTTCCTTCCACGGTCTTGGACACCAGACAGAGGCTGCGAAGGATTTCTTGGTTTGCTCTGTAGGCCTGTGTGCCATTGAGGCTGTGGTCGGCCGGGGCTACCTGTCCAATGACCATGGCGAGGAGCTCGTCGGGCAGTAACTCAAGCCTGCTCTTTCCTGACTGGGAGACCGTCACTGGCATGGCTTGAAGAATAGGATTGGCCCTTGGAGGGTCCAGAGGATCGTGAGTAAATTCCTGGTCAGCGGCGCCATCATGTTTGGCGGGATGATCTGTTTGTCTCATTAGCTATATGAGGGAGGGGAGGTAATCGGCCTGATCTGGGCCAAGATACTTTGGACTGGAGGTTGCTGTTTGTGTGACCAGCACGGTGGTAGCAACTCCTTACAGAAGATCATTTCCAGGTCGTATATGAGATTGGGGGCTCCACTTACTTTGATCTGAGACCATGATGGTTGGAGTCTTCATGACTGTGGCCTCTCTCGGCTGCTTGACAGGACGGTCCATTCCGATATTCCTACCGATGGGAAAGTGACCGAGGTTGGCTTGGTAATAGCTAGATAGTGCTCAAGAAATAAAGTTGATAAACGGGTTCCTCCCAAGACAACGATGTGGAGGTTGTGTCAAAGGTGGGAAGAGGCTGGACTGATGAGAGGAGGTGAGTAGAGCAAGGAGAGTGGTAGAAAGGGCAGCCAGGTCCAATGCTTTTAAAGCTTTAATCTACACCCATGTTTGATTTCACCCTATGAGAATTCACTGTAGCCTGTTGTTCATTCGAGTGACTTGGTGTGCACATGGGAAGGATCCAGTGATTGATGCTCGCTGTGAATGCATCGAAAAAGGATTTCTCCGATATGGCTTCACGTTGGTGGTTATGGGAGCCAGTCTTCCACATAGCAGATCCCTTGCCTGACCAAAGTCAGGCTTGTATGTCATCTGCGGTGACAATTAAGGGAATTGTTGTTCGGTCTTTACTGCCAAAGAGTCCTTGCAGAGGTGTCTTGCCTCACCAGGAGAATTTCAAACAGGTATTTCTATGAGCCGGATATATGGAAGAATCCACATGAACAATACAAAGAATTCACTGAGACATTCTATTACTGTGCTGCTAGAGAGGCATAGTAGTATCTTTTCGTTGCAAGAAGAGAGGAAAACTGGAAGTCTAGGAGACGCCGGACAAGCTCGGGCCTTTATATAGCGGGCTACCGTGGTGAAGATGTCGTGATTCATTCAGATTCATCCAAATCTCTCAAGAGGACAGCGACTCAGTCTAGGTATGTCAACAAAGCCATCAAACTGCGGTATGGAATGTATAATCATGATGAGTTAAATACAGCCAAACATGATATGATGCCTGCAAACAGCTTCCTGATCTGGCCTCAATGACCACCATGCAACATACTAACGCTAACGAGAAACAGGACATAAATCATGATCTAGCTATGGGTATAAATCTATCTAATGCAGGAAATATCAGAATACCACCAACTTGGATGCTTCCACCATCTTGCCCGCCAGGTCCGCCATGGGCATGCTCTTTAGAATATCACTGACGTGCACGATGCTTTGCATCTCCTTCATTGCCCACGCTCTAATGTCAACCGCAACCAAACTGTCGACGCCATACATGTTGATAGGTCTGCTGGCGTCCATGTCGTCCAACTCCATCATCAGGCCCCTTGCCAGCTTGGCCATGAGGCCCGATAACGCGATAGCCTTCGCCTCCTCAAAGCTCTTGGCCGAGGCCAATGCCGACTTGATATCCGCTCCGTTCGTACCCTTTGCTGTGCTCTCACTCTTCGACTGGTGCGTGTCATAGAGCCGCATGGCTGAGAACCTCGCATCTCTGAACCAGTACGGCTCGTCCCGGCCAGCGTGCCTGATCAGGCCGCCCGTCGCGAGACCAAGCACGGGCTGGCCCTTGGACACGGCCTCATCGTTGCGCAGAGCCGCCTCCATGATGGCGAAGAACTGGCTCGCCTTGAGGTCCCTGACTCCGTCCCGCACTACCTGCGGCACCTTGGCGCGGTCGGACTCTGCCACGAAACCGATCTCCCCCATCCAGCCCAGATTGATGCTGGTCCCCGCGAGGCCCAGCGACCTCCGGTGCGCACACAGCGCGTCCTGGTAGTTGTTTCCCGCGTTGTAGTTCCCCTGCGCGATGGAGCCGATCTGCCCGGCCGCGGAGGAGAGGCAGATGAAGAAGTCGAGATCCTTGGGGAGGTGCTTGTGCAGGTTGAGGGTGACGCTGTACTTGGGTCGAGTGGCGGCGACGAAGTCAGCGTGGGTCATGGTCTCGAACAACGTATCTTGCACGCTCATGGAGCAGATGATCGTGCCCCTGATCGGTGGGAAGCCTGAACTCGAGAGGTCTGACAACACAGCCTTGAGGGTGGTCTCGTCACTGACGTCGCTCGCAAAGACTTTGATATTCACTCCTCTCCCCGAGAGGTCCTGGACCACCGCCTGTGCTTTGGCATCGTGGCCACCAGACCGGGAGGTGGTCACAAGATGACGAGCACCCTTATCAGCCATCCAGCGGAGAAGAGGCCGGCCTAGGCCACCTAGACCACCAGGGATGAAGTAGGTTGCATCAGCATGAAGCTTAAGGGGCTCTCTTTGTTTCTCGCCGATGACAGGGACGATGTCGTCCTCCTCTACTTTGACAACCACGCGGCCTCCCCCAAGCTTGGACCTGGACTGCAAGGTCCGGAAACCCTCGGCCACTTCGGAAAGCTTCAACACATGCAACGGTGCGGCCTTGATGATGCCTGCCTCGAGGTACTGCATCGTATCTGCCAGAATGCGGCTGAACAGTTGAGGATTGGAGTACAGCATGCACTTCATATTGACGCCGGTGAAGGTGGTGTTGGACGCAAAGGGAACCATATCAAGACCGGTGTTCGATCTCATGTCCTTCATGCCAAGCTCGACGAATCGGCCAAAAGGAGCAAGGCAGTGCCACGACTGTCTCAGGGCTTCTCCAGTCACGGAGCTGTTTATCACAACATCGACTCCGCGATGTCCTGTAGCATGTCTGAGTGCCTGAGAGAACCCGGCAAATCCGAAAACGTGGTCAGGAGGCACACCGGTCGTCGCGACAAGATGTTTCCTCTCCTCGTCGCCGGCCACTGTTGCGTGGATCTCGGCTCCGATGTGCTGCGCCATGTTGACAGCTGCCATGCCTAGAGCCGTGGTGGCGTCATGGATCAAGACAGTCTCTCCTCTCTCGAGCCTCGCGACGTTGACCAGCCCGTACTTGACCGCGCCATATGACCTCATGACATTCGTGCCCTCCTCGAAGGTCATGCCCTCGGGCAGCTTGTGCACTGCCGCGCTACTGCTGCGGAGGTAGGTCTTGTACCAGTTCGGCTCGATCCCGAATGCTGCTACCCGGTCACCGACTGCGACGTTGGACACGCCGGCGCCAAGGCGGGTCACGACTCCGCTGTACTCGACGCCGAGCTGCGTGTCCCAGATCTGGCCCACGGCAATTGCCATATCGTACGGGTCGAGCCCGACGGCCTTCACCTCGATCTCGACCTGGTCGCTGCCGAGCGGCGCAGACGCTCCGTCGTCGTCCCGGAATACGAAGCTGTCCAGGTCGCCCGTCCTTGCGAGCTCCATCTTCAGCGGTCTACCTTCCTGTCTCGGAGACTGTGGCGTGGGCTCCTCGCCCTGGACTTTGGTTTTCTCACCCTCCACCGCAGAGGAAAGTAGCTTGCTAAGACGCTCATCCGGTACGACCCTGCCGACGTGCAGAGCACCGCCTCGCTCGACGACCTCGTGCTCGTCGTTGTGTTCCTGGGCCTGCAGCTTCATCACGCGCAGAATGCTGTCGACCCAGACAGACCCAGGGCTCTCTGGGTCTAGGTCAAGTGTCGCGAGGTTGATGCCCGGCTCCTCGCCGCGGATGGATCGCGCTAGACCGGTGAACATGGAGTTTTCTGGGGCGCTGCATTCGAGAGGTGCGCCGCCGCGAGTCAGCCAGAGCGTGCTGTGTGCTTTGAGGATTATGTGTTTGATGGCCTCAAACCCTTTGTGGTCGATGCGGCTGAACAGTGGTTGGTCGAGCTCGATAGCAACGACGCACTTGACTGTTGCGAAGTGTTCGGATCCGAGGTGAGCCATGTCGCTGAGTGAAACGTGCTGGATCGCACATGCAGACTGCACCAACTTCTTGGACAGCTCTTGGACGAGGGGTCCCACGGTCTGTGAAGTTACCACAATGACCCTGTCAGCCGAGGACGTCGTCTCTTGCTGCACCGTCGCCCGCGCCACCATCACGCTGCTCGACCACCCCTCGTCTTCACGGTCTCTGAAAGACCACTCGATACCGTCGAAGCCATTGCGTCTGAGCCTGCAATCCCACTCGCCCTCGAGCATCTCGGGTCCGTTCAGCCGACCGTCATTCTCACCAAGCCACCACCCGGGTAATACACCAAAGACGGCAGATCGGCGGGCCACCTTGCTGGTGAGCTCTGTGGCAACGAGGTACCCGCCAGGCCGGAGCAGCTTCCGGCAGTTGGCGATGGTCGCGTCCATCTTGCTCGTGGCGTGCAATACCTGGAAGGCAACGACAACGTCATAAGACCCGAGATCGAGCCCTTGGCTGCCGGGATCCAGCTCCGCGTTGAAGACCTTGAAGTCCATGACACCGGACTTGCTCCAGTCAGCGAACTCGGTCTCGGCCTGTTGGAAGAACGAGGCTGAGATGTCGGTGTAGGTATACCTCGCCACGTTCGCCTTGCCGAGCCTCTTCAGGATCTTGCTGGTCGCGGACCCGGTGCCGGCGCCAACCTCGAGGATCCTCAAGGGCCTCTTGTGCGAGAGCAGCGATATGAATTCGCACTGTACCGCAGGCGTCTTGTCTTCCGACAATCCTGAGCGGTAGACCTCCTCCAGAAGCCCGCCGCGCTTCATGAGCTCCCACGGCTCAATGGCGCCTGTCAGGACGTCCTCTAAGTTATCCAGAACGCGAACCAGCATTTCCCCCTCTGATGAAGCTGCAGCTGCGCGAGAGAGGACAGCGTTCTCTGTAGCCTCATCGGCCGACAGCCAGGCAGCTGTCTGACAAGGGAGAGAACTGTCCAGGGTCTTGGAGAGATCTATCTGACGCCTCAAGTAGCGGTAGAAGACTTGATGATGCTTGGCCATACTGCAGACATCTTCCAGTGTAAATCTCCGGGCTGCACGCTTGCACAAAATGTAAGCGGCCCATTCGAGATCCCTTATGGAGTCATACTCCGCATTGGAGGCCCGAGACCACGCCTTGTGCAGGATGGACTTGACCGCGTCGGCGGGAGAATTCTCGACGTCGATACCCCAGACGGGAATGGCGCCCAGCTTTGTCAGGGACTGAGCAGTAGCCTCGGCACTTTGTGCCTCACTTCCAGCTTCGCCGCCCATGTCTGTCGTCTTGAACCCTTCGAAGATTAGGAGAGGCTCCGAGAAGGAGGTGTCGGATACAACGACGGTCGAGTTGGTGCCGTCGGCCCACTTCTCGGTGACCGTGCCGAATGCATTGAGCATTGTGCCCGGTGCCAATGGAGAGAGCGACGCAGACACGAATATGCTCTCGATGTACTTGGGGACCCTGACTTGGTCGCGGGTCCCGCCGTCGCAGACGGAGAGGAGTTGGAACGCGCCCTCGAGCGTGGTCGGGTGTACCACGTGTTTAGACTCGTAGTTCTCGGGCATGAAGCTGGCTGTGTCTTGTACCCGGATAGAACCAGTGGCTGAACGACGACTGCCCGATATTTTCGTGGAGTGAAGGGATCGGTAGGCCTCTTGCCATTGCATGCCGAGGTCGGAGAACTGGTGAGAATCTGTCAGTGGTTTCGTCTTTCGAAGTGGCCAGAACGACAGAAACAAAGTACCTACCGTCTCGTAGAATTCTCCAATTGCCCTGGGCGTGGCACTCTCGTCGGCCTTAATACTGATCCAAGTTGACCTCCAGGCGTCTTTGCTGAGCTCGTCGAGGGCGTCATATTCTATCTGCACAAGTCCTGTGCTGTGTTGCGTCCAAACTCCGCTCCTATCTCGGCTGGACAGACTGAACTCACGCCAGTACGTTGTCAGACTACGACTCCCAGCCCGCCAAGCTCGCAGCGCCAGTCTCGTCTCGACACTGCTCTCCTCAATCTCACCAAGCACCAGCGGCGGACCAGGAAACACGTCGCGAAACCGGTACCCAACAACCGTCTTGAGCGGGTCGGCAGTCCGTCTAACCCCCTCGAGGACAAGCGCCAGCATGCCGGAAAAGCCAAGGACGGCCTGGCCCCGGAGCACATTGTGCTTGAGCCACGGCACCTCGGCCACGCGCAGGTAGTTCTTCCACACGGGCTCGCCGGCCGCGTCCGGGCACGACTCGTCCAGCGTGCCGAGGAGGTCGTGCCGCGGGTCGGCGCGCAGCCGGTACGCCCTCGTGCGGGGCGTCTCGTACCAGAAGCGGGAGTTGTGGTTCCACGCGAAGGGCGGCAGGTCGACGAGGTGGGCGAGGTCCCCCGGGGCCGAGCCCGGCGAGTTCACGACTGCGAGCTTGACTGGTAGCCCGTGCTGCCAGAGGGTCCCGGCGGCAGTCAGAGCGGTCGTGACGGCGTCCTCCTTGCGCTTCAGGAGACTTGTGTATGGTACCTTGGCCGGATCGATGGTTTTGTGCGCATTCAGGATCTGTTGGATGGGGCCTTTCAGTGCGCTGTGGGGACCGCACTCGACGAGGACGAGGGAGGATGAAAGTGAGTTGGCGCGGGCGTGGTCAAGAATCGCACTGACGGCGTGGTGGAACTTGACAGGAGACACCATATTGTCAACCCAGTACTGAGGATCTCTCAACACTTGGTCAGAAACCTCGGTACCAGTGACAGAGGAGAACATCTTGACAGTGTTCCTGGGCTGGTTTCTTTCGTAGTTGATGTCATCCAGGGAGTCCAAGTATGGCTTCGCAAGCTTCTCCATAAATGGACTGTGGTATGCCGTTTTCACGACCAGCCTCCTGCTGAAAGCTCGACTGCCAATCAAGCACTGCATTTCTTGCAGACCCTCCGCCGAACCTGACACCGTGACGCTAACGGGAGAGTTTATGCACGCCACAACAGGCTTAGGTTCAGCCCTGACACGGTCGATATACTCCTGTGTTTCCTCTTGCCCAAGCCCGACAGCTAACATTCCCATCTCCCTGCCACCTGCATCAAGGCTTGCAGAAAGCCTTCCACGGTGATATGCAATTGTCCACGCCGCAGCACGGGAGATGGCACCCTTCGCATACGCAGCCGCGATCTCGCCACTGCTGTGTCCAACCACCAGCCCAGGCCTGACGCCCCAGTCCGCCAGCAGGTCGACGAGCGCGACCTGGACCGCCGTGCAAGCGGGCTGGCTGACCTGAGGCTCGTTGACGCGTGGGCTGCCCATCTCCTCGACCAGGTCCCACCCGCAGCCGAGGGCCCTCAGGTGCGCGGCCGCCTCAGCCATGCGGTGCCTGAAGGTTTTGTAGGCCATCAGCTCGAGTCCCATGCCCGTCCATTGCGCGCCTTGTCCTGTGAAGATGAAGAGGGCGGTGGGACTCTCGGAGGAAGGGCGGATAGGTCTCGCTGGGCTGGCAAGGGCGGATGGGGCGGATGCCACGCATTTGGCAACGGTGAAGGATGTGAACGGAAGGCGACTGCGGCGTTCTGAGAGGGTGTAAGCAAGACGCGGGAGAAGGGAGGCGTCTGGCGGGAACTGGCGCTCGCTGAGGTACGATGCGAGATTTGTGGCTGTCCTGCTGATGCCGCCCTGCTCGTGAGAGGACCAGACAAGTAGCTTTGGCGTACTTGGCTCAGTGGCTGCTTCGCTCAGGACGGAGCCCAGGGAGAGCCCGCTGTCCGGCTCCGAGTTGGGTGTGCTGGACCCTGAAGACGAGGAGGCCAAGTCAGAACACAGACCCGGGCTTGATGGTTCATATGGGACGAGCGGACTAGTATTGTGGCGCCCGGAGAGGCCATGGCTGGCCAGGTAGTGATATGCATCATCCAGCACACAGTGTGCGTTTGTCCCACCGTAGCCGAAGGAATTGACGCTGATACGGCGAAGCCCACTGGTGGGCCAGGGCGTCAGCGACGTGGGAACCTGTGTGGCTGTAAGTAGACTGTGGTGTGATTCGTTGCTTTGTAAGAGTAGCAGTAGACTGATAAAATACTCACGGCAAGTCCCCAGCCATCCAGATTGATTTTGGGATTTACTTTCTGCAGCCACAGGTTCGCAGGGATTTGTCCCCGTTCCAACATGTACAAAGCCTTGACAAGACCAGCTAGTCCAGCGCCGCCTTCCAAGTGACCAATGTTACTCTTCACAGAGCCGATGTACAATGGCTGGCCCGGCTTCCTACTTGATGCGAAGACACGGCCCACAGCGGCCGCCTCCAGGGGATCACCCGCTGCGGTACCAGTACCGTGTGCCTCAAAGTAACCTGTTTCAGAGAACCCAAGGCCCGCGTTGGCATACGCGGATCGGATCATGGCCTCCTGCGCAGTGCTGGAGGGCAGATTGATCCCTGGCGTCCGACCGTCGTGGTTGACGGCGGTGCCGCGGATCACGGCACGGATTGAATCCCCATCCTCGAGAGCCTTTGCCAGGGATTTGACAAGGATGACACAGACCCCCTCGCCTCGGGCGTATCCGTTTGCTGCAACAATTGAGTCAGATTTCTATATTGCTTAGCGGCAGGGCTTGCGCCGTTTTGGGGGGTTTGAGTGGTGTGAGGCGTCCAATGGCAATGTCTGGCCTGTCACTCCCGAGAATGCGACGGTAAGACTATCTACCTATAGGGTTGCGGAAGCAATCTGGCAGCTTCCGCGGTCATCAGAGGGTGGGATCGTGATACGGGTGCCTGCTTACCGCTCGCATCAAATGCTTTGGACTTGGCGTCCGGGCTGAGGAACGTCAACGTGCTAAGGTGGTTTGACGTCTCGGGCATGAGAATCAGATTCGTCGCCCCTACAAGTGCCTGCATGGGTGGTCAATCTCTGCCTGCCTTGAAGTGATCGACGGTGCATTGTTGCCTGACCTGAGTGGATTCTCCAGAGCGGATACCTTGGACAGCCAGATGTAGGGCCACGAGCGATGAGGAACATGCCGTGTCAAGACTCAGACTCGGGCCATTCAGATCAAAGAACCAAGAGATACGGTTCGAGATCATGGCGGTACCCATGCTTCCATTGGCTTCATAGCGACTAGTTATAGCGTCAATTGTCACTGAGTGTTTGTTTCTTTTGTCTTCTCTCTGTCAACTGTTCCAACGGCCCAATCAAGCTTACGGGTACTCATGCGGGTCTGTGGCACGTAAATTGGCGTAGTCGCGCAGGCATGTTGCCATGTAGCATCCAGTCTGTGAGCCGGCTATGGCCTGGACCGAGACGCCAGCTGCGGATGATCAGCACTCGGTATCCAGGGGGGGGGGCTGGTGTGGATCCGTTACCATTCTCCAGGGCTTCGTAACTCAGTTCGAGTGCCAGCCTCTGCGAAGGATCCATGGCCTGGGCCTCCTGGGCGGTGATTCTGAAGAAGGGGGCGTCGAATGTCGCAACATCTTCCTTGACTTGAGAGAGGAACTGCATTAGCAGCGTCACAGAGGAGCAGGCCGGTCAGTGGGCGCCCACTCACCGAAGTAACCGCCCCGCGCATTGTGTGTGCCCTGGTGTTCGGCACTTGGGTGATAAAAAGCATCGACGTTGTATCGGTCCCTCGGCACCTCGGTCAGGGCTGATCGTCCCTTGGACACCAACTCCCACAGCCCGTCTGGCGATGAGGCGTCCCCGGGGAACCGCCCGGAGACACCCACAATGGCAATGGGTGCAGTGGCATCGCCAAAGGTGTGCCCCATGCCGCCAAGTGGGATCCGTGCCCGGAATCACCCAGAATGGTTGGTTCGTGGTATTGAGTGGGAGTGGGAAGTGTGTGTTTGTGTGTGTGTGCACACAGAACACCCAAGTCCGTGCCTTTTTTGTATGCATGAAACGATGTAATTTTGCCGCTGTGTTCAACGCTCGCGATGCAATGCACAAAAAAAAACACACGTGGCCGGACAAGGATTGCAAAACAAGAAGAGAACGACTTGACAATATAATAACAATAGCAGAAAGACGTTGAGCGATGGGGCGAGGGCCAGTGGCACGATTTCCCAGGGCCATGCATGTAATAAGAGCTCGAGCATTATGCTCAATACCCACGCCCGCCGGTCAGTCTATCAGAGTAGCCTACCCGCGGTAGCCATGCCCCGAGCCATGGCACCGTGGCTTGTGAGCATCGTGGACCCATGATCCTTTCACTCTTTACCCCTCGCGGTTGCATCCTGATCGCCTCGGAAACCTGCTAGCTGCGACTTTGTAATAATGACCTGTCCCACGGGCCGCCATCTCCAGCCCAGCCAGCCAGCTGCAAGCCCGCAGACATGTCGGCCACGGTGCATGACTGCATTGGGTATCGGCCAGCTACCGGCGGGGTGGATGCGTTCCTGGAGGGCAAGTGGAAATGTACGTAGCAAGGTTACATCGTACACCAACTCGCCATCCGGCCAGGCCGGTCCACATGGAACAACCATCTCGTCGGGGGGTGGGGGATGGGAACGAGGAGGAGGGCCAGGGGGTGCGGGAGAAAGCGAGGTACATAGTATGTACAGTACGGAGTGTACTTCGTACATGCAGCATAAGCCAAGCGGCGAACAAGGAGGCCATCGACAGCCGCGACAGCCTGACAGCCACACATCGCGGAAGCTACCGGCGCAGTGGATGTGGGTCCGTTGCGTAGTTTGGATCAGGCTAGCATTGTTTGATAGTGGCTTGGAACCTTGAATCTGTTTTTGTGGGGGTGCAGAGGGCAGAAAGGGGGGGGGGAGGTGATCTTGCTTGGGCGGAAAGGATTCCCGGCACTGAGCCCCGGCTGGGTAGAGCTTCCAAGCTTGGGAAAATCTTGCCGTTCGCGCTTCTCCTCTCCTCTCCGCTCAGCTCGCCCGTGGCCTATGCTCCTCTGGGGTAATCTCCCACTGGCGCCCGAGCCCGAAGCAGGCCTAGGGCAGCAGAGTCTGTTCTCCTCCGCTGGCGTCCGCCTAGCTTTACCTCGCTTCACTCGCTTCACTTCACTTCACCTCACCTCACCTCACCTCACCTTACCTTACCATCTCATCCCATTCCATATCAACCTGTCAACGCCTGGTGCCTGTGCGGTCCGTGTCTTTTTTCTGTTTCCGCAACTAGGATGACCTCGTTGGGATCCCTCACGCTCCTTACCATAGCAGCACGCTGACACACGATCCTGGGGGGCGCGTAACGTTGGAACTTCTCTCTCATGTGCTGCAGGCTCACTGGCACGCAATCCCGGTTGTGATCCGCCGTCCTCAACAACGAGCTGAGACATCTCCACCCCGGGGCCAACTGGAAGCTGGACACACCGGCACACGCGCCTTAGCAGCACCACATTAGTCTAGAGCATCTTGCTCGTCATCCCCAGAAAAATCTAGAACACCCGCATCAAGATGCTCGAAGAAGACATCCACCTCATCACCCAGCTGCCCCAGAATGCCTGGTTCGAGGGGTTTGCCATCCGGCCCAACGGCTACATACTAGTGTCGCGGCTGGACGAGCCGGTCCTTTACACCTTTGACGCCGAGGACAGGGAAGCCGATCCACAGGAGGTGCACACCTTCTCCGACGCCACCGGCCTCATCAACCTGTGCCCGATCCCGGGCCGAAACGACGAGTATGCCGTCATCAGCGGGAGGCCAGACATAGACGCAATGCAGTTCAACAACATGGACTACACCGTGTGGCGCGTCGCATTCACCTCAAAAACAGACTTCACCGTCACCAAGATGGCGGACCTCGGCGACTACGGCTTTTCCATCGGCATCATCCCGGCCAGCGAGCACACCCTCCTGGTGGCCGACACCTTCCTCAACCGCATCTGCAGCCTGGACATCGCCACCGGCGCCAGCACGGTGCTGGTCCAGGACCAGAGCATGGCAGCGGTGGACGGGGCCCCCTTCGGGCTCAACCGGCTGCGCGTCGCCCTGGGGTTCGTGTGGTTCACCAACACCAGCGCGGGGACCCTCTGCCGCTTCCCAATCTCCATAGAGGGCCCCAAGGTCACGGCCACCGGCCCGGTGCAGGTCCTCTGCGACGACGTGGAGCACTGCGACGGCCTGGCCATCGCCGCCGACGCGAGCGCCGCGTGGACCGCCAGCATGTCCAACGACTGGCTGTGGCGGATAGACCTCGACAAGGACGGCGACGACATCATCGCCAGCACGACGGTCGTCAAGGAGAACCTGTACAGCCCCACGGCGGTCGAGCCGTTCTATGTCGGCGACACGCTGAGGCTGTACGTCGTGTGCAACGGGGACAGGGAGGAGCAGCAGGCGTGGATCAAGAAGGGCGACTCGAACCCCTGGCCTGATTTCCACAACGTCACGGTCACGGAGAGCGTATCGGTGTCCGTTTCAAGGGGCGAATGAGAGAAGGGGGCAAACCAAGGGCATCGTTCTATCTCTCTTTGTCTACTGTGTATAATTGGGAGTCATCAGGAGTTCTTTTCCTTGTACGGGGCGAGTCATCAGTATCCATGGCTGTCTCCATTTTTTTAAAGGTAATACCCAGCAATATCTTTCACAATTTTGTGTCGCCTTTTTTGTGTGCTACGTGAGCTTGCATCGAGGGTCATGTCACTTCTCCCACGCACCAAATCTCGCTCGCGAAGATAAGCGAGGATGCCGCCTTGCATGCGCAAATTGGATGCGCTACTGAGGCAGTAAGCAGGCTATCGAAAAGCCAATGCCGGAACTTGCCATCGGGAAATACCCTGCCTGCGTCAGATGAAACCTGGCCCTAGGTCAATTTTTTCAGCTGGGCGATTGTGTAACCCCCCCGATCGTCATCTTCTCATCGGGGCGCCGCATTTTCGCGACTTTCGGCCCTACGTGCCTATGTAGACTACATCCAGCTTCGCCGATGTGGTGTTGGTGAGTTGCGATGTGGCTTTAATGTAATGCACGTCGGTGACACGACATCAACCAGTGGTCCACGTGTAGTTTTATCAGCCGTCGTCTGCGTGTACGTGTCACAAAGCCTCGCCATCCAATTAGACCGCATCCGAAGCGCCCTTGTATGCCTATTGCAGCTAGATGGACCGAGCCTCATGTGTGCTACGTACACGGTACGGTGCTTCTCGTGCATGCAGGCGGATGCTGTGTCGGCGCCGAGGGATCCGTGGCGCCGGTTCAGCGACCCACAGGACGTCGTCCGTGAGGCCCACACCTGTGGAGCAATATAGCACGTGGGAGGTGGAGGGAAATATGGATGCACCGAGGTGGTATCCTCCCAACTGAGGATCAATAGACAGCCTCAGTGGAGAACGGGGGCCACGTCAAGGGGGCAGACACCACGCCGCCGACCCGCATGCTGTCGTGGGGATTGTATGCACGCGGTCATGCAACCGCGAAGCTGGCAATGACGATCTCGTGTCACGATGGAGATACGGATGAACGGAGCGTCGGTCTGGGTGTTCAACCTGTGGGGGTCCTTATGCATATCGAGTCGGCAGTTGCGTGTATGGGTCATTATCTTGCGGCCCAACATCATCGTCGACGCTGATCGCCATCACCTGGTATACGAGAAAAGGGGATCAACCATCAGGCGCGGCATCCGAAAGCAAGTTTTCGTGGACAAAGTCTCTGTCACTTCTCAGCTCTTGGCGGAGACGAAACCACGTGTGCCACGTTCTTTTGCGAATAGAGTGTGTGGGCTTCAGATAGCATTGAGAGGAAAACAAGGAGAGGGAGGGAACGCTCGCCGCTGTCTCTGAACCGGCTCTTATCCATGAGCTGCTACGGATACTGAGCGTGGATGTTGTTTAGAATCACTCTGTCCCTCTCAAAGAGCTTGTTCGCAGTTATGCAGTGCGAGGTTGGCTCAGCTTCAAGAGCTAGGGGTAAATGGTAGAATGTGAAAAGCACAACAATGAAAGCATAAACCTATACCCTCATTCCGCTCGTTTGAGTGAGCTTCGTAAAGGCTTTGCTGCAGACAACAACGACAGTTGATCGCTCATGCCCAATGGCATGCTTATTCTCGGGTCAATGGGTCCTCAGCCCTCGTTGGTGTTTATGAGCAGCGGAATAAATTATGGCCCATTGCATTGGCTTCGACAGCCTCCGTCGTAAATACCTACGCCTCATTCATCTGCCAAGTGGACCATCGCCAGCTCGCGCCAACGAAGCACATCCATTAAGTCTTCGCCACGACAGGTGTACCGTTGGGAAAGGCCCTGAGAACGTGCCTCTGTCTTCCTTCTCAAGTTAGCGACCTTGAAACGTGGCTCTGCAGACCTCCATCACATGTCTTCGTTGACGTAATGGTTGTAGTTAGCTGTCTTGCACTACTTGCTTTAGGATTTAGTTAGGCTGAATAGTGAGCACTTCCTGCAGCTACCGTGGTCGGCCCCGGGCATGTTTTCCGACATGTCATTTCCGACATGTCATCCAGTTTAGAAGTGGGGAAGACGAAATGACGACCAGTTGGCTTTCAATATGCTGATGAACCTCCAGTTCTGAGCACAAGATACACCGAGGTCGGGTAACAAATGTGAGACGATTGCTACGGCTTCTGAGCCTAGGTACAAAAAGGGTCAAGTGACAAGTTAGCGTACCGTATAATCTCGAGCACCTAGTGTTATGGCAATCTAGTACAGTTGAGCCTTGGGCCATGCTTAGATCAGATCACCAAGATTTCCTTCCGCTTTTGCTAAGACTCATCGATCCCGAATCTCACACCTTTCCTATCCTGAGCAAGACCGTGGTCTTTAGTTCCCTGGCATCGCCGTAAGCCCTATGATCATTTGAACGAGCGCACACGCCACGCCCGCTTGATACTTGTCACGCCGAGGCTGTCACCATCAGCGTTCTCGTTTCTCATGGTAATGTCCAACGCCTTGTGGCCTGTAAAGCGAACATGCCATACTGGCATTGAGGACGAGGATCTCTGGACATTTTGACTACACAGCAATCAGGGCCAAAACGTCTCCATACACAAGCTCAGGTGTAGTCTTATCTATGTAATATGTAAAATCCGGGATGAGGTATTTATCTTAGGTCGTTGTTTGGTGACTTGCTTCGCGACCTCTGTTTAACTTGAAGATTGCCTACAACGTGGAACCCCATGGACTGCTAACTCTAAGGTAGAGGGAACTAGAGGATACTGTCTATTGAATTCCAATCATTCTAAGAGCACCCATCACCTAACTTCATCATTCTTCTCTTCTTTTTTGTCAGTTAACCGACCCCTGGTATAACTTCCATGAGACGTTCTTGTTTGTCCGTCTGGAACTCTCCTTCAATCTCTAATAAAATCCACACAGAGAAGGCCGTCATGTGCCTTCGGCACGCAATGTCATCCTCCGCAAGGACTCTCTGGAGTTGGACCGATTGTGCTTTGAAATTGACACGATGGATTGTTCACATGTTTCCCGCATGCTGTGGTTCCTAACTACTGCTCCGACAGAACGCATCCAGCGAACATTTAGCACCGAGTAAGTTCATGACTCGTCTAGCGGGCCCCAATCGTTCGCGATAAATTTGAACCGGCGCTAGAAAATGAAAAGATAAAGCAGACTTCGATCCGGCCGACCGATTTAGCAATTGGCATGGCCTAGGCCAGGGCGGGCGGGAATCGTGGTTTCGGGTTGACTCCCGGGAAATGACTGAAAAAAGCTAATTTTCCCACACGGTGGAGACTAGCAACTCGGCTCCGGTGTGGCTTGTGTCGAGCGAGATGAGATGATGCCCAACGAATTGGCTAGACCTCACGGGCAATGATAATCCCATTGAGGTCTCCACATTGGCAACATGGTGTACCTGGGTATGGAATTCCCAGTAAGGTATTCCGGAATCATGTTCCCCTCCTTCTCTGCCGCCAATGTGATCCTCGTAGTTATGCGGTGAGTGTTCATCCGAATGCAAGACAACAAATAAGTCTTCGCAAAAGCAAGCTAAAGTCTGTTTTTTAGGTGCAACAGGCTACATCCCTAAAGCTTGATCCACGTGCCGCAGTGGTAATACATCATTGCCGTGACGGCGGATTGCACATTACATGCAATGCAACTTTCAGCCTCGAGGAGCCTTGGCTGAACCAGGACCAGGGGTTTGCTTGTGTCACATGTGATCCCTTACTTCCCAACTCATTGGAAGATCCATTGTCCTTGGGGACAATCACCTCTCTGAATGAGAGCTAGACGGCTGCGGGAAGTCGATGCTAACAAACCACCTGGATCAGCATTTTACTTTTTAATTTCCCAATTGTCATGAACACCATTTTTCCCCGGCAGTAAAATCGAGAACAGGTATTTTGAAGATAGTAGCCCTTATTCAGCGATTGATTCCTCCTCGTGGCTTTTTTAAGCATTTGTTATAATTTGGAACATACTTCACGATTGCCATGCATTAGCCCTAGAAGGCCTAGCAATAGTTGAGATGGGAGACATGGCCATCGCTGCTCGCTATAGTTGATGTTTTAGATGACCCATTAACTGGTCCTCGTGTCCTTCTTGGCCCCTGGTAGGGGCGGTACTAGAGTATTCGACGGGACAGATGTTATCGTACAACTACTCGGCCGATGCTGGGCGGACGGTGAGTGGCATAGAGTTTCTGAAGCTTAGCGATGACCTCCTTCCCAGGATGAAGGGTCGTGAGTGCAGCAACGGCCTGTACTCAATTTTTCTTTCACGTGGGAGTCCAAACACAAAATCGCAGTATAGTTGATCGCGTTGTTGTCGGGTGCAGGGAATGCATAGTAAGCATTTCGGCCATTCTTTTTCTCCGATAGCTATTATAAGAGCTTCGGCTTCCTCTCGTTGCTTTAGATCCTTTTCTGATCAGAACAATCAACTCCCCTCTATTATTTTTGAAGACAGAATTTTGTGAATATTTTGACCCTATGCATTATGACGCTCTTTTATTCCTCCTCGCGTTAGAGTGCCCTTCGGCATAGCACTGGGGCTTCCAGCAGAACTACGCTCCACTACATGTGTGGTGCCCGTTTTCAGCGTGATCGCGTGTCATACGAGACTCTGGAGAACTCGGACCCTTGAGCCCGATGCGTTGTTGGAAGCGGTTCTGCAGATGAGAAACTTCCTACAACTCTACAGGTATCACAGAAGAACTACACATGTCTTATCAGATGCCAGCTTCCAGTCCCCCCAAAGCCATATGGCCCCTCCGTCGGTGCTCAATCGGGCTCAAAGTCGCCATGTTGCATCGTTCTGACCTCGCCGACCATTTCCAGCCGGCCTGCAGTCATGAACGGAAGGTCAGTGGTTGCATCATTACGGCGTTCAGTTACAGCACGTTAGAAAGAAACAAAAGAGGGTTTGATAGCTGATGTCAACGTGCAGCAGCCGGCTGTCGTCCGTCCTGCCGTCGTGGTCAGCACACATGTGACATGAGGTTGCATGCCCACATCTCACGGGCGTGGGGAAGATGCAAGCTGAATGCAGGCTGCGCCGCAAAACTGGCCCACTGGCCCCCTTGGGCCAACGGGAGGCGGCCCCAGCCACACAGAAAGCGACATCGATGCACGCAATCGTCCCAATCGGAAGACCTGACAGTCGATGGCGCACCTCACGTCTCGTTCGGTTGGCGGCAGATGGTGCTGACATGGGCGGGCCACGACCACCCACTCAGTTTCGTGCTCCACCAACTGCTTGCGGGTGGTGTTGCTGCGCCGGCAGCCTGCATGATGAGGGATGGTGGTGATGAGGGGGATACCGACCGTGCCAACCATCATCAGCTCACTGCCCGTCACACTCGAGCGCGCCAATGCGAGGGCCGTCCCTCCGGCCCTCCGGTCTTGGCCCAGGCATTCTAGGCAGACATGCTCACCCTTCCGCGGCCCCAAGACTGCCTGGACGGCCCTACTTTCGAGGCCCTGAATGGCCAGGGGGCCGGCCTCTTCGCGAGTCTGCCTATTCTGACAGCTAGAGCTGCTGTGTTCCACGAGGCGCAGCCTCGATCTTCCCTGCAGTGTCCAATGTGGGCGGTTGCATCCGGATGACATGTTGGCAAAGAGATGGATGGAGGGGTGAGCAGAGCCTCACTTGGCCCCAGTTCTTCGACCCCAGCCAGCCCTTCTACTTAAGGCTGACGGGCTCACGTCACATCACCTCCTCGCTTCCCCTCTTCCTCACCCTCCTCATCCTTTCGGAGCCCAGGACCACTTCTCTGGCTCTTCTGCACCTCCGAAAGCAGGCCTGGTCATTGTGAAAGGGTCGCGCAATGTCGGTAATGTCGGAGTTCAAAGAGCGGGCTGCACGCCCTGCCCAGGATAACGACGACGCGTACTCGGGCAGCAGCTACATGTCGGACGAATACACCCTCCCGGGGGGCAGCGTGGACGACGATGCCCGCAGCATCGCCAGCGCCTCGTCGTATGAGTCCTACGACTCCTTCTGCCCCCGCGAGCGCCTCCCCTCGTACCGCGTCCCCAGGGACCAGGGCACGTCGCAGCCCGTCTACGAGGCCTGGGTGCTGTGCATGTCCCACGAGAACGACCACGAGGTCACGAAGCTGACGTCCTGCGGCTTCGACATCCTGTCCGCCCACGACGAGGAGAGGCCCTTCGTGGTCTCCCGCACGGAGGCCTACGAGCAGCAGGAGCTGAGCGGCATGACCCTCGCCTCTGTCAACAGCTACCACGCCGCCAACAAGCGCGGGTTTGCCGCGCGCCTCCTCCGCGGCAGGCCAAAGACGTACGAGCAGGACCTGGACGAGCGCCTCCGCAAGCTGCCCGTCTCTCTCCAGTCCAACCTCAACGGCCTCCTCCGCAACCGCGAGGAGGCCACCTCCAACCGCTTCCGCCGCCGCGATTGGACCGTCGCCATGATGCGCGAGCAGTACCGCTACCGTTTCGCGAGCGCGGCGCCCGAGCCGGTCAAGAAGAAGGGCCTGTGGAAGGGGAAGGACTCCCGGCGGGTCGAGTACCTCTTCGTCATCCGGGGCGCCGAGGGCAGGGTGGCCGCCGATGACAAGGGCATGTACCAGCCGCGGGAGTTTGGCAACCCCTGGAAGAGGGTCGACGAGGAGGAGAGGCAGCTGCGCGAGCGCTCCAAGGACATCCGGCGATTCGGCAAGGAGTGCGTCCGTGATGGGTGGTTTCCCAGGCCCCGAGGGCGGTCGCTGTCTCCCATGCCCAACGCCCCCGGTCCTGTGCCACGATTCCAGGACTGTCCACCTCAACCCCGCGAGGTGGTCACGGTATGTGAGCGCGGCAGGCCTTTCAGTCGCAGCCGAAGCCAGAGCCGCAGCCGCAGCCGCAGCCCATCATACCCACCTCCGAAGAACGAGTGTCTCCCTCACCTGAACCCATTCGTGCCCCTGCCCGTGCCCATGGGCGGCATGCCTCCTCTGCCGCCTACGCCGGGGCCGTACCTGTGCCCGACGCCTGGTCGGTACATGGCCCCCCCTTACGTGCCCGCAGGAAATCATCTTCCACCGTTCGCACTGCCTCCCTTTGAGCCCTGCATGCGCTCACAACTCCACGGCCCACCGCACCCGAGCGACCTGGCCCCAGAGCCCTGCGAATGGCCACAGCCCTACGCAATCCCCCAGGCCTACGCAAACGCAGAGCCCCTCCCACGGGCCGACCAGCTCCCCATCCCCATCCCCATCCCCGTGCACCACGCCGCCGCCGCCCCGTACCCCTTCGAGATGTCCTCCCCGCCGCAGTCCCCGCGCGCATCATCCTTCCACTGCGTGGGAGGCGCCCCTCCCGCGGCGCCGCCGCCAGGGGGCTTCCCGACCATGGAGGCCTGCCACCGTTTGTTTGACGCCGAATTCGCGCATGACAGTGACGACGAGGGCGACGAGGGCGATGACGAAAAGACCGCCGCCGCCGCCGCCCAAGCCCAGCAACCTGACCACGCCGACCGAGTTCTCGCCCGCGTCGTCCCACCACACCGGGTCGACCGTGCAGAGCACGGACGGTGCCACGACGACGCCCGGGGGCCCTGGCATGGAAGTCTTCTGGGAGTAGGGGCCCTCGTGTGTATGTGTGTGTGTGTGTGTGCTGCGAATCGTGTCCTTCGGATGATGGGTGGGAGTTTGCCGGGCCTGCGGGTGGGTGGGAAGCAGTTCGTGCGAGACGTGCTGCTCATGCCTGCTGCGAGAAGAGGGCTCGGTTGCTTGAGACGCAAGAGGGTTTGTTCTGACTTTGGGACGGCGTGGCGCTTAGACTGGCCGTCGGGAAGTGTCGTGGGCGGCTGTGACGTGACTTTGCATGTGAACTGTTCTGGAATATGCGGGCTTGACACGTCACCCTGGTTGAGTGCGTTTGTCTGTCCATACGTTTGATGATATCTCTAAACCCCGTTCGGGTCTTTCCTCGGCAGATCAGAGCTTAATACTACCAACTTTCGGAGTTTTCCTAGATTTGCGACTCTCCGGGGCTGACCAGGAGCTTTCTTGTCGCTTTGATGTGCTTGAATAGTGCCGTCTCATCGGGCATCCTAGGAGGAAAGCACGATATGCAGGACGAGTAGCTTTGCATGACATAGAACCCATCGACTAGGGCGAGATCATCGAGTCTTGTTCGTTCCCACGACGGATAAAGAATGGTCTGGCCCAGTGCATCGTGATCGTAATCTATCCCGTGGCTCGATCAGTGTATCAAATAATGCGTTAATGGTCAAGGAGTGAATCTGATTCGATGCAGACCTGGGTATGTGTTGAGGGTACAGCGGTGTGATAATCCCAGCTCTACGGTATTCCCCCCCCCCCCCCCCCAGCCCGGAAAGCTTCAGGTCATTAAGCTTTTGTTCGTGGGGTTCGAAACCTAAGTTTATATGGATAGGATTCTAGGTGTGTGGTCCATTTGTTCCGAGGGCACAGGTACGAAACCGAGCGGTCAACAATGCGAATACTAGGTCTCAGCAAATCTAGCGTTCTCTTCTCTGCTCTTCATTAAACTTCGAGCCCCACACAAGTCGTCGATCTTCCTACTTTAGAAAGTCCAGAAGACTGTAATGACTCTACGTGGATGTTGAGGGAGATGGAGCACTGGGCGACCCCAGGCTCCAAGTCAAGTCTATCACATGCTTCGTCGACCTCATGCTATCTGAGCCGTCGCTTCAATTCAGATTCAGAGATGGGTGTTATACAGAGATGGACGTTACACCAGGACTTCCCCTGTCTAGTTGATACGGTCTAGGTCCGCCACATCCCGCGACATGCGGCCTTGTTTCCTCTACAGATACACACGAGCAGCATCAGATGCAAATCCGGTGGCCGGGCGCCGTCGTTCCTTTGACTCGCCAACGTACACGGCATAAGGTTGAACCCCTTGATTAGAGAGTAGGCGCGCCTGTGTCGTGCATGGCACGTGAGCGGCCCTGAGTAAGGACTCGTCGTACGCAAGCAAATAGCATAAGTTAAGCGGACTTCGAACAGGGTCCCGCATTCGCCTATGCAAGACTGCGAGCTTAATGTGCTTGTGAGACGGTGAGGCTGCCTGCGCTTTGGGAACCGCGCTGAAGTAGCTTTTCTGGCCCCCCTACGAGCTGCATTTTCTGGGTCACGAACACCCATGCGCCCAAGAATCTACCAGCCGAGATACAGTTTTCTGTTCTGTGCGATGTCTTACATGCCAAGTCAAAATGCCAAGTGAATATGCCAAGAATCCAAGACGGGAGATTTACGATCGAGGCCTTAAGCCAGATCGAGCGGGCATTTATTAAAAGCTCCCATCTAAGATGCGGTTCGTAATCGTTAATCTACGTCAGGAAAGGGTTTAATACTGGTGAATGTCATGAATGTTAAATGTGTTTCCAATTTTCTCCCGTGCTCCCAAAACCATGACTCGTCCGTCCAATTATGACCTCCTATTCCAAGCCTCCACCTCCAACTCAATCCTCATCTCAGGAAACGCCAGCCTCGGGACCGCCACCGCGGTCCAGACAGGCCGATGCCCCGGAATCTGCTTCCTCAGCTTCGCGGCGACGTAGTTGTACGAGTGGTCCATCCCGACGTGGTATGGCCGGACAGAGTAGACGTCCTCCCAGCCCCTGAGGCCCGCCGCCTGGAGCACACGGTCTACGTTGTCGAAGGCGAGGTTCACCTGGCCGCGGATGTCGTAAGGGTCGACCTCGCCGCCGATCGTCCACCCGCCCTGACCGGAGCACTTGACGGTGTCGCCGAGGACGACGGCTTGAGAATAGTGGCAGATGTCGCTGAGCTGCTGGCCGGCGCCTCGGTCGTTGTGGTACTGCAGGGAAGACATGGTTGGGCGAGTGCCTCAAGTTGGGCTTGGGAGTGATGTGACTGGGTTTGGAATGCACCAAGGCGTGCTGCCTCAGCGCGAGATCGTTGGTAGTATCGATGAAAGGTTCGGTTTTCTGAAGTGTAATGTTTGCAGGTGAGCATGGCCGACATGAGGCTTCCTGGGATGAGACCCCGCGGCGCTTTATATCTACGCAATTTCTACGACTGTCGAACATGACCCACATAGATATGCGTCGAATGTCCGTCCGACAGCCAGGTACCCAGACAACGCCCAAGCTGAGTACCACAGACATCGTGGCCGCGGCCTCCAGTATACCACGATTTGCGATGAGCTGCGGTCAGACATCCGGGGCCATATAGGCAGCCGAAGCGCGACAGAACCTGTGGAGACAGCACAGCTGCATATGTGGGAAGCGAGAAAGTGTGTCCCAGAACTTCAAGCCCACCGACAGCATAATTTATATTTTGAAGCACTCGGAACGGTACTGACTCGTTCTGACGAGAACAGGGAAATGGAAACTATATTGATCAACAGTGACATTTACACAATCTACCCAGGCGGCCTGGTTTTGTTATGTCAGCTTCCGCACTTTAACCTTGGCCCTGAGGCCTTCTCGCCGTGGGTTGGCAGCTCGCCCAGTCTCCCGGTACTCATCCGAAAACAACCTCTCATACTCAAATTCATCGACCCTCTTCCTCTTACCTCGAGATGTCGCAGATCGGCAGTCCTTGGAGCGACACTTGCATTCCAGGCTCTGGAAGTAGTCCCTGCCGTAGTCCACAAACAGCTGCTCGCCGGCCTGGATCTGCCGCCTGGCGCGCACGTAGATGACCCTCGTGTGGCCGCAGCGCAGCGCCCTCGCGAACGAGCAATTCGGCCCACAGGAGTGGTTCAGGAACCGCGTCCAGTTGCCCCCAGCCGATGCGTCTAGGTAAAGCTCTCCGTGTTGCGGGTGCTTGAAGAGAAAGTTAGAGTACCGCTTCTGCGCCGGGGAAAGCTGGTCATAGAGGCGCAATGCGCCGCTGTATAACCCCAGCACCGTTCCTTTGGGAATGGCTTGCTTTGTGAAAACGCCTATTCCTATCTCCCTTGTCTCTCGGAGTTCAAGGTTGCTGTGGTGGTCCTTCTCAGCATGGAACACCCCGGGGCTGCAGAGTGGACCGCATACCTGGCCGTGACCTGCATCGGCATGGAAGAGACACCTGCCCTTTTTTGTCCACAAGAGATCGCCAAGAGATGCATCTCCAAAGCTGAGTTGCGACGGACTGTAGCTATGTTCGTTAGTAAACCTTACTTTTACCCCGTCGTCGTCTTCAATCCACGCCGTTGCCTTGGACAATGTTTGATATCGAAAGTACTCTGGGTACCCTTCTATCGCCATTTCGTCGGTTTGGCGTGCAATGATGGAGACGTTTTCTTTGAACGACAGATTTCCTTTTTGGGTTGCCAGGGAAAGCCTATGGATAGGCGATGCAAGAGCTTTATTAAGCGGTCGATGTCTTCCGATAGAAGACGGTACCAAAATCATCCAAGCCCCGCGTACGACTGTGAAATCTCCGCTGTTAAATATCACTTTACATCCACTGTCTGTTGTGGGATGAACTCTTCGCAAAGAAAGACAGACTCATAGCCCAGTACAATGAATTATCACCCTCGGCACAATAGGTACCTTACACGTACCAATAAGACACGGTTGATTAAAGATTGGCTAACAATGGCCTTGATCATGATGCTTTGTTAGTTACTTCCGTCCTTGTCCTTTGAAGGCTTAAGAATGGAAGGTAAGTGGCCATGACACCACATTATACAGCCGAATAGAGACTAGACGCCTAAAAGCTTGAACTTCAACGAGTCACTTGGTCTCTATGTTTGTGCTGATGCAATAGAGGGCAACCAGAACTGGTTGGTGGAAGACCATGGGGCCTTATACGGGCACCTTTGCTACGAGTAGAGGACAATTGCACGTAGTGGACTGCAGGAGCCCTCATGATTCAGCTAATTATGCGTGTTAAATCCTGATTATAATCATGTCTGAGTCGGTGGACTCAAAGATGCTCAGCTCTCTTCAAGTTCGATGCTCATAATTCGTCAACGGTCCCAGTCGTGACCTTTCCCACTCACAATGGCCAAGCGCCCTTCTTTTCTAACTCTTCTCTCACGCTGATCCAGGTTTCTCTGTCCACATTGTAGTTAATGGCCTTCGACGCAAAGCTGAAAGCAGTATCCTCCAAGGGCTCGCTGTCATCGCCTTCAACGCCTTCTATCCCGAGACCACTCATCAACGCCTTCATAGGCTCATTCGACTTCTGTGTGTCAAGATGCGCATAGGCGCATCCAAACTTTTCAAAGCCATGCTCCACGACAGCACAGACTGCTTCCCTGGCATAACCCTTTCGCTGGTAATGATGATCAATGCTGACGCCAACATCAGCCGCCAACACCGTTCCCTCTCTGCTGCCTTTCCTGATCTTCCAGGGGGGCTGGTCGCTCAGGGGCTCTGTCCGAGGCAGGCTGTTGAAACCGCCGAAGCCAATGAGCTGGTCCGTCTCGCGCAGGGTGATGACCATGAAAGCGCTGCTGCCTTTTGCCGTTGCCTCTGCCCATTTGTCGACTCGTGGCAGCATCTTCTCGAGGGTGAGATCCTCCTCAACCGGCCAGGGGAAATTGGCGTGGTCGCTGAAGTAGGCCACGAGAGCCTCGCCGTCTGAGGGGACGGCGGTGCGGATCGTCAGGCGGGGGCTGGTGATTTTGAGGCCGGTGGCCGCCGAGGTGGCGGGTTCGGACGACATGATTGCAAGTTATGGGGCGGGTTGGCCAGATTCTGGTTGGGGCCTTGGGCTGCTGTGATTATGCCCCTTTTATCAAGAACAATTGCACTGCTGAGTTCTCTCGCAGGACACAGGATTCGAGTTGTGGATGAGTCACACAGCCAGAGGTGAGACACCCGATAAGCAGTGTAACTCGGCGAAACTGTGGCTTCACGTTAGCCCCAAATCCTTCGACGTCTCGTAAGCGAGCTAGTAACTGGCCTACCATGCACAAAGATAATTAAGAGAGAAAATATCAGAGAACGAGATGCAAGCAACTAATTACCAGCTGACCTGGGAAGCATTTTAGTGGAGACTGCACGTTCAGGTCAGGGAGAAAAAGGAAGGTGAGAAAGTGGGGAAGACTGGTGCCTTGACGGTGTCACTCTCCGTTATCTTGCGAAGGATCATTAAACAAATCGTCCATAATCACACATAAGGTAGTCGGCATTGACTACCGAGGCCACTGCAAATTTTGGGGGTAATTTTCAATTATGGTCCGGTCCAGCTAGCTAATTTGTCTCAAAGTCGACGTCAAAGGCGGAGTTATGCAGCTGCTCATGTTTGCATTTACAACAACAATATTTACCTTGACATTGTAAACGACGACACTATTCTAGTTGTGACATAACCTCGAGTTGTGTGCCCGTAGTTCTATGAAGCATTGGGATTCGATGGTGGAAGCTCTTTGCTACTTCCATCCACTGCAACACCCCCCGTCTCGTAGTAGTGAGCTGCAGCGGTAAGGTTGGTGTCGCAATTGCTGCTCAGGTCGACAGCAACGGTGATCCACGCCAGCAACCCATCCTCCAGGTCCTCACCAAGCTGCACGTACTCCACGAACGGGTCGTAGTCCGTAGTGGCTTCCTCCAACATCCAGCCGTTCACCTCCCACGTGGTAAAAGGAATCGTGTTGGTGTTATACGGGGTCTGGCGTGACGAACCGGAATCTTCCGCGGAATATGAAGCACAACGGCGCAGAGTCTACACCTTACGCGTCCCAAACCGCTATCCTCTGGCCATCGTCCGTCCCCGCAACGTTTCTGAGGTGGTATCTGCTGTGAAGCTAGCAATCGAAAAGGATATGCGGGTCGCGATCCGCTCGGGCGGACACAGCTGGGCCTGTTGGAGTCTGCGGCAGGACAGCGTGCTCATAGATTTCGTCGACTTCAAGCATCCGGACTACGACGAGGCCACCGATACCTTGAAGGCGAGTCCGGGAACAATCGGCACGGAGTTAGTGGAATACCTGTCACCCAAGGGAAGGTTCTTGCCAGCTGGCCATTGCGCCACGGTGGCTTTGGGCGGGTTCCTCTTACAAGGGGGGATGGGTTTAAACGCGAGGGTAAGACTCGTTTCCAAAGGGATTTTTCTTAAAGAAAAGTCCTTGCTGACATCACAAGGGATTTGGCTGGGCTGCTTCCTACCTCCAGGCCGTTGATGTTGTTACGGCAAAAGGCGAGGTACTGCACTGCGACAAAGAGCAGCACGACGATCTGTTCTGGGCAGCAAGAGGTGCCAGTCCAGGTGATTACTTCATACAAGATTCTAGGTTCGAGTAAGGCTGCTGACAGCCATTTCAGGATTCCCTGCAATTGTCACACGGTTCTACTTGAGAACCATGGCAAATTTCCCTGTACAGCTGAACAGCGCCTACGTCTATCCCATCCAGGAGTATGATGCGCTCAAGACGTGGATGAACAAGGTGCTTTCCTCCACGTCCCTGCTGGCATCGCGAGTTCTCACATTGACGCTTACTAGACCCTTCCAACACTCCATCGCGATACAGAGCCAGTGGTCCACGCCGCCAACGACCGGACAAAGGACTACATCGCCGTCATGGTTGTCGCTCGCGCCGACACGGAGGCGCAGGCTAAATCGTACCTCCAGGTCCTGGCAGACACTCGTCCTCCAAACGCTCTCGAAGTCATGGAGCAGCAACGTTCTGATCAGGCCCAAGACTACGCGGAGTCCTTGAGGCTGATGCCACCCCACCACCGGTGGGTTGCGGACAACCTATATCTGGAAAACAAGGTGGACTTCGCGGAGACCGTCAAGGAAGCGTTCACATCGCTCCCCAAAGGAGGTATTGCCTTCTGGGAGCCAATGAACCCTGTCTCGCGCGAGCCGCTTGAAGACACGGCGCTCAGTCTGCACACTGATCACTACGTTGCCCTCTATGCGGCATACAAGTGTTGGAAGGTGCGAGGGTCGTATGCCCATACGCTAGCGCTAGCCTCAAATAGGCTCCTTCTGAGCGTTTGATAGCGGGAGATTTCTCTCCTTAATATATAATAATCAACTATTATTTACTTAATTGCTTTATTAAGTTATAAGCTTAGCATTACTTAAGATATCTTAAAACGTTAGGAAATATTAATACCCCTATTTTTATAATTATTTTTATATTTAAATTATTAAGATTTTAATATTACTAACCTTTACTTATATATTATTATTATACCTTATAATAGCTATTATAACTAATAATAATTTATAATAATTTAGCATTCCTACCTTATTTAATATTTTAATTACTTACTCCTTTTTATTTATTTATTTATATTAATTAATGCTAATTATTATAAATAAATAAATATATAAATATTATTTAAAATATATTTAAAAATATATAAATATTATTTAAAAAATATTAAATATACTTAACTTTAAGCTTAACTTATTATTTCTCTTAAAGTTAAATTTAAAAGAGGAAAGCTTCTTAAATTAAAGGGTAGTATAAAGTTACGATTTTTAATTTATTAGCCTTAATAAATATATTATAAGCATTAAGAAATAACTAAATAAGGGTATGGCTTTTATAAAATAAAAAAAGCTTAATAATTAAGCCTTTATTATATTTCTAAGCTTAATATATTTAAGCCTTATAATATTTATTATATTATATAAAAAATCTTTTAATATTTAAAAAATATTAGTTAATTAATTTAATTATAATATTAATAACTTAATTATTTACCTTTTTTATTAATTAATAAATTTATAATATAAAAATAACTTTAACTTATAAAGCTATTTAAATATCTTTTAAAACCTTTAAATAAAACTTTATATTAAAATTTTAATATTAAAATAATTAATTAAGAAATTAATAAAATTACTTTTTAAAAGTAATAAGGTTAAAAGCTCCTTTTTTTAATAATATTATTAAATATTATAAATAATATTATTAATAACTTAAGTAACTAAAACCTTATAATATTTTTTAAAATTAAACTTAAGATAATAAATATTATTTTTTATATAAAAGTTAAATAATTTAAAGCCTACTTTACCTTTATTTAAAAAAGGTTAATATTAAAAAATATAAAAAAAGCTATAAAGTTTATATTAATAAGTATTAACTTTATATTAAGTAATAAAGAATGTACTTAATGCTGCATATAAAACTTTATATTTATTAACTATTTATATATTAATTATATAAAGCTTGCTAAATATAAAGCTAATTAAGAATAAAAGAAAAGTAAGAAATAAGTTATTATAAATTAAGCTATAAATAAAGAAGTTATTAAAATTTTTAATAATAATAAGAAAGATATAATAATATTATATATTAATATTTTAATATATATAATAAAGCTATTAATAATTATAAATACTTTAATATTATAGATTTTTAATTTTAATGCTTTAAAATATATAATAAAATATATAAAAAACTTTAGCTTTTTATAATTATATTTAAATATAATTATTATTATAAGTAATAATTAACTTATTATAAAAGGCATTAACTTTATGGAAATCTTTTTATAATTATTAAATAAATTAATTATTAAAAGCATTTTTATTAATATTTTATATAATTATATATTAAGGAATACTTATTTATTTAGCTAAACTATAATTTAAAAAAGGTTTTAATTAAATATATAGGAAAATAATATCTTCTTATTATTAAAAGATAATAAATTTTATAAGATATTATAAGCAAAGTTTTAATATAGAAATTTTAAAATTTAAATAATAGAAAATAACTTTATAATATTTGCAATATATAGTAACTTTTATAAAGCTTTTAGCTATAATAATTTATTAAAATTAATTACTTAATGCTTATATAAAAATGGAAACGTTATGCTAAATAAATTAATGGATTTTTATTATAAATCATGCCAACTTATAAAGTTTATTAAGAAATACTTATAATTATTATTAAAATAATAATTTATATAACTATTTAAGTATATTTAATTTAATTTATTAAATAAATTTATAATAAAATTATTAAAAGGTTCTTAATACTTTATTTTATTTATTAATAACTATACTTAATTTTATTAAATTTATTTTATTGCTTAAAAGAATAATATTTTAAATATTATTAAGAAATTTTTAAATATAATTAAAACTTAATTTAGCATAAAAGTTAAGATATTTAGTTTAAATAACGGGGGTAAATATATAAATAAAATAAATATTGTAATATTTTAAAAATGCAGAATTATTTATAAGAAATTACTTTTTTATCATTATAAGTTAAATGGCATGCTTAAAAGGTTTATATATATCATTATTATTAATGCTTATATAATAATTTGTAATAAAGATTACTTATTTTTATAGCTTAAAGTAATTTCCTATGTAATATACTTATTGTGGTTATGGACGTGCCATAGGGGGATAGCAGCACTGGGCACGATAGGCACTATGGGCAATTGGCACTAGAGCACCGGCAGGCAAGGGTTACGTGCGGCAGCACGTGACCACCCCTAGATAGTTTATAGCCAGAGGGAGGTTCTGCAGCCTATGGCCGCAACCCTCCTTCCTTCTATATAGCCGATTTGAATACAACCAGTTTGCTATTAACCAACGTACGTTAACCCAACCAATACTTATGGAATTAAAAACTATATTTAACCTTATTATATTAAATAACGCTATTTAAGGTACTTTATAAATAAAAGCCTAATATTAAATATTTTTAATTATACTTTTATATTATATACCTTTATATTTTTATTAAGGCTTATAAACTAAGAATGAAATTATTAAATAAAGCTAAAAAGGCATACTTTATAAGATTTAAGGCTAAAAGTAAAACTATTTTTTATTTATTTATGCTGCTTTAAAAAGTTATTATAATTATAATATTAAGCTATATTACTTAGTTTAATTTAATAATAAAGATTATATAAATAATTAATTAATTAAATAAGAATATGCTATTTAAAATAAAGGTATTATTAGCGTTTTAGCTAATAAAACTTATTAATAATATAAAACCTATAAATAAACTTATAAATAAACTGCTTAAACTTATAAAACCTATTAATAAACTACTTAAATCTACGGAACTTATATAATTATATAATTTTTAAAAATAATGAATTTAGCCTTTATAAAAAGCAAAAGAAAATATAAACATTATTATAAAATATTTTAAAGATTTTAATAACTTAGCATTAATTAATATAAATCTTATATTAAATTTTACTTAATTAGTATTAATTAATGCTAATTACCTTAATTAAATCTTTGCTTAAACATTACTTATTAGCATAATAAATATTAATAATATTCTTAATATATATATATAAATTATAAAGAGTAATAAAAGAAATGCTTAATAATAAGCTATTAAAAGAAAACTTAAATTACTTTTAAATATAAGTATATAAGTTAAAGTGCTTATTATTATAAATTAATATATTATTAATTCTTATTAAGTATATATAAAGAAGTTTAATGCTTTTAATAAGCTTATTTGCTATAAAGCTTAACTTATTGCTTATAAATATATATAAATTTATAATATAAATTATAATAATACTTATAGCTTAATAATGCATTATAATAATTTAAAATTAATTATTATTATTATTATTATAATAAACTAATAGCTTTAGTAATTTAATATTAAAACAATATACTTATATAATTATTTAAAATATAATATTTATATATAATTATTGCAAGGATATTAAGTATTATTTAAGAATTAATAAGTTATTTTAAAACTTTTTAATGCCCTATATGAATTTAAATAATTAGGCTATAAATAATTTAATACTTTTAAAAAGGAATTAATTAAATATTTAATAAAAATAATATTTAACCCTTATATTTTTATTAAAGATTATATTATTATTATTATTTATATTAATAATATTTCTATTATTAAGAGTTTTTTTTAAGTTAATAAATTTTGCATTAAGCTTATATAATATTTTAAGTATAAAGATTTTAATTTTTATAAATACCTACTTAAATTAAAAATTATATAAATTAATAATAAGATTTATATTTTTTAAAAAGGATATGCTTAATGGATTTTAAAACGCTTTAATATATTTAATTATAATTAAAAATAAATTCCTATAAATTTAAATTTATTTTTATAATAAGAAGAACTTAATAATATTATAATAAATTTAATAATATATTAATTACTTATTAAATTTATTAATTTTCTTATTATTAAAATAAGACTTAATTTTGCATTTTTATATATAATGCTTTTAATATTTAATATAAAGCCTATAATTTATCATTTAAATATTATAAAGGGGGTGCTTTAATATATTTAATATATATTAAATTATACCTTGTAATTTTTAAAATAAACATTATTATTTTAATTTACTATACTTAATATATATATTAATGCTTTTTATAATATTAATTTAAATAATTTAAAAGTATTTAATAAATATATATAACTTTTTAATAATAACCTAATTACTTAATTATTAAAGTATTAATTTATCATTACAAAATTTACTTATAAGATAAAATATGTAATATATTTCTTAGCATTATTATATTTTTATTAAATAATTTAAGCATTAAAAGATTTAAATATTAAATATATTAAGCATTTATTTATTTTATATATTAATAATTAATTAATATTAAACCTTATTTAAAATTATAAAGTTAATGCTTAATTAAAATATATTGCTATTTATTATTACTTTATTTATAAAGGAATTAAAGAAATATATAATATTTATTACATTATATTTAAAGATAATTTTATTAATATTTATATAAAAGCATTACTTTGCCTTATTTTTAAAAAGGCTTATATAAAATTAAAACTAAGATAAGTATAAAATTTATATTGCTAAATAAGTATTTAAATAATTAACTTAAAATAATATAAGCAAAATATATAAATATAAAATAATATTTATATAATGGTTTTAATATAAATTATAATGAAATATTTAAATTATATTTTTTAATTATTAAAATAGGATATTTCTTATTATCATTAAGGCAATGATATTTATAATAAGGGGTGTATTAAAAGGTGCGAGGGTTGTATGCCTATACATTAGCGCTAGCCTATAAATAGGCTCCTTCTAAGCGTTTAATAACGGGAGATTTCTCTCCTTAACACACAACAATCAACTATCGTTTGCTTAATTGCTTCATTAACAAGGACGCGGCCGAGGATATATGGCATGATACCTGGGTGAGAAGGACTATGGATGGCCTGCGTAAAAAACAGCGTGGAGCGTGTCTGGGTGACAAGGACTTTCCGTTTCACGATACCAAGTACTGGAGTGACGAGGCAGGCAAGAAGTTAATGTCGATCCGGAAGACATGGGACCCCGAAGGACGTATCTGTGGGTACCTTACTAAAGGTGATAAGAGTGGAGCTAATGGCGTGTCGAATGAGCTCCATTGAGTGAGTTTTGGAGTTCATACCTGGTATAAACGATTGTCGTTGATTCGGCCTGGGCGCGGTTGTGATGGAAATTCAGTAACAATAAGTCTTCCATTGTGACCGAAGCAATTCGTGTGATATTTGTGTCCTCTATAGTGCACTACAGTATTCTCTACTGGTGTGCTACGAATGGATGACCTCACTCCTTCGTGTCTCGTCACCATGAAGTGAGGGCAAGAGCCATTTCCACATTGTTGTTAGTAAGTAATTGAAAGTCTCAGAGTCTTCGTAAGCTGATTTGTTTCCGGTATCTAAAGTCTACTGCGGCCTACAGTTACAATAACTTGTCCACAATAATGCTATTTACGCGCTTGGCATAATTGGAATAAAGGATTACATACACGGACTTGTATTACCCATCAAAGACATGGATTGTGATCCAGAAATGTCTTCTGTAAGAACAATAAAACACAAAGCCCGGGGTTATGAAGACCATTCATGTTCTTTGTGTGGCGGATCAGAACTCAAGATAGGGATATGGCAGCCACGGCATTATAAAGTATGACCTAAAGCTTCGAGGATAGCGTCGACTTTTGAAACACATCACCATCCGCTTCATTACCACTCAATCGTCTTCAAAACCTGCAGAACACAAGAACTTGTCACAGCACCTTTACGAAAATAGCTCAGCAGAACACCATGGACCAAACCACCATTGATTCCCTGACGCATCGATTAATCAACAGGGAAGTCTCACCTTCCTCTAATATTGTCATGGAGCAGGTGTTGCAGGCCCAGATGGAGACAGATTATCAGGTTGAAAGGTTGAAGCTGCAGGCCGCGAGCGCCAAGACAGCGCCCGAGAGGATGAGTTGCAACCTTCGAGTGAAGGCACTCAAGATTCTCACTGCTCGGCTCCAAGGCGTTTGTGGCATCAACACTGACATCCCCACTAATGAGGAGGTCGAATGGGCCAGGAAGCACTTTGGCCTGCAACAGTAGGTGTTTTTAGATCTATAATTCCACCAGTTCAACGCGGATGGTAGGTAGGATTGGAATCTGTGGTAAGATTGTCTCTATTCTTTATCTAAATAAACTTTTTAAAAAAAATGTCACTGATTTCTGCTCGTACTCTTCTATTTGACTATGTCTTGCTTTTGCTTCACTCTAAACTTAACAAAACTTCGATAAAATATGTTGCATTTGTTACTCGTCTTCCTTGCTGATGTCCGTCTATCCTGTTCTCCGTATGTTGTGGCATGACTGAAGAGAGATGGCGTTCTTATTCATCTCAAGGCAAGTGGCAGACTCGTCCTTATCGCACGGCGGCTGACAATCTTCGAGCCAAGTACAACGTAAGTTTTCCTTGATCCCAATCCATACACACCCTTGGCTTGCCAACTCACCAGTAATCTGTGTCCTGCACACATAGCCATGCGCACAAAAAGCCCCGGCGTAAGCGGAAAAGCCGGGGCCAATAGACTGCAAATATTCGATGTGGTGTCCTCAGCGATGGTGGCAGATCAGCCGTATTGGCGTTCGTCACAAGTCTGCGGCCTATAATAGCCGGTCATTTAGATGAGCTGACACTAGGACATCCGAGCTGCCGGTAATATCCACGTGGGGCCACCAAGCCTCGACACAAAAAAGTGCTCTTTAGACGAAAAGCATTAGCTTGATAAGCAAGGGCGGCACATACGTCTGAAAGCTTTGCCTCCACAGAACTAATGGGTGGCTGCACCTGAAGATCACAAGAACCAAGCCAAAGTATTCGTTGGCTTTGCTGCTTGTGATTACCCCGCCCCCCAGTGGACAGCTGTAGGGTGGCACATAGCTCACATGCGGTCAGCATTTCGCGCTGCAATGCAAGAATGACTCCCAGGGCGCGGCAGCCACAATGGGAATGATCGTCCCCCGAAGCCATCAAGATATCACTCGGTTCTGGGCAGAATGCAACCAGCCCAGCTTACACAGCATCGGCTGGATATGAGTAGTAAGCCATTTATGACACAATCCATTGTCATATGAAATGAGATGTATAAGAAGAGGAGAAGACACTGTCCGTACCTCAGGTTAAAGTTTTTTTCTGCGAGACTTGACTCACAGTTCAACTTCCAAACGCTACGGACAAAATCTGTTCTCTTACTTTCAAGGTTGCAATGGCGATAACGGATATAGCCACCCCTACTGCATGGCTAGGAATCATCGCAACGGCCCTCTTGATCTATTATTTAGCCTCGACAATTTACTCCTGGAGTCGGCTTCGGAGCGTTCCAGGTCCTTTTATCGCCGGCATCTCATCACTTTATGAAATTTCAAGCACCGCCACTGGCCAAGAAGGATGGCTGTACAACGACCTGGCCAAGAAATACGGCCACCTCGTCAGGATCAGCCCCAACACTATCCTGACAGACGACCCAGACGTCCTGCGCAGAATGTGCGGCGCCCGGGGAACCTATGGCAAAGATGCTTTCTACAGCGGCTCGTTCAAGCACCCGGATCATGACACCATGTTCTCAACGACGGAAATACCAGCTCACGATGCCATCAAGGCCAAATTAGCAGGTCCCTATGGCGGCCGCGAGACATTAGCTATGGAGCCGATAGTAGACGACATCATCAGGGCACTCAACCAGCACATCCGAGACGAGCTGTCCCAAGGCCCGGGCCGGGCGCGCATTGTCAACTTTGCCGATATTGCTAACTTCTTCACCATGGACGTCATCACTCGTGTCGCGTTTGGGAGTGAGCTGGGATTCCTGAGGACCCACTCTGACGTCCATGGGCTCATGGCTGCGCTTCGGGCGACTATGAGGACCTATACCATTCCGATGAACGTCCCCTGGCTGCGGTCTATAACAACCTCAAACTACTTTCTCAAAGCATTTGGTCCCAAGAGTACGGACAAAGAGGGGCCCGGGGTATTGATACGGTGAGGGTCAGACTCGGCTGATATGACTCTGGCGACAGTCAAGGTTGATGCGTACTCTGTGACAGAATCATGGAAGAAGAACTCAAAAAACGATTCAAGCCTGGAGCCCCTGACGAGAAAGACCTACTGGTAAGTATAACCCCGCCTTGGAACATGCTCTTCCTGTCGGGAAGTGGCTGCTGAATTACTTAGGGTGCATTCATACGAGCTGGGCTCCCCATGGGTGCTTGCGTCAGCGAGGCTTTGTTCGCCATGTCGGCTGGGTCGGACACAACAGCTGCGACTATACGCTGCACAATGCTGTATCTTATGACAAATCCGCGCGTGTACCATAAGCTCAAACAGGTCGTCAGAGAGGCCGTCGACGAGGGACGGGTATCAAGCCCAATCAAGCACGACGAGGCCAAGCAGTTTCCCTATCTTCAGGTTCGTGATCCAAATGGCGGGTCCCAGCCTGCCACCAGCAAGGCCGCGTGCTCACCTCTGCTATGTAGGCTGTCATATACGAGGGGCTCCGCATGCGGCCACCTACACCGATCAAATTCCCCAAGGTGGTTCCCCCCCAAGGTGATGAGATCGACGGCAAGTTCATACCTGGCGGCACCGCCGTCGGATGGAACTTGATACCCATGATGCGCTCACCCCGCCACTGGGGCCACGACGGCGAACTCTTCCGCCCCGAACGCTTCACGGAGGCGGACGAGGACAAACGCGCGTCAATGGAACGGCTGGTCGAGATGGTCTTTGGCCACGGCCGGTTCGGCTGCGCTGGGAAACCGCTGGCGTTCATGGAGCTGAACAAGGTCTATTTTGAGGTGAGCGCTCCGCCTTACCAGAATCCATCCAGGCGTAGGAGCTGCGTGGCGCTAACAGAGGGACGGGCAGCTTTTCCGGTACTTTGACTTCCAGCTTGTTAACCCGATGAAGCCGTGGCACTCGGAGCTTTGGAGTATATGGATGGACGACGCCTTCATGGTGCAGATCAGTGAAAGTGTCGCAGATTGAGAGTACGGCTTGGTTCGATGAATGATGCTGTGTTCGTCCCGGGCCCTTTCTGCTGAGGCAGATTTGCTAGCTTCGAAGACTCGAATTGCCGAGTCAGGCAAAGTGGTATAGTGTCGGGTGTAAAGGCTTTGTTGAGAGGGTGGTATTGTTCGGTACCACGGCACCCTTATGCAACTAGTATGCCTGAGAATACGTCCTCGCGGTCTCGGCCAGTCGGGAGTCTCCTACCTTCTATTTCTTTGATGGTGCCCGTCGTGAGGCCGCATATCGGCACTTTTAGAGCTCGGGTTCTTTGAGTAATGCCGACGAAATGTGTAACTAGCAATACTTGTTCCCCGTGTCTCCATTGTAGGTGACAGAAAAGATCGTGCGATCCCATGCAACGGCTGCTTGACAGACAAGAAGCTTGCTTAGCCGGACAGTCTCGGTATGATTTATCGTCCGTTGTATTTATGGCTTCCCACAACATCTTCAGTGAGCGGAACAGGCCGATCAAGAAATGGGCACAAACTGTGTGGAGAGCAGGGGTCCCGCGGCCAAATGCCGGGTTCCACTTGCTTGCGCGTATCTTGAACTTCGGCATGTTCTAAGAAACAAAGTTCCAAGCCGAGAGCGTTCTGAATGTAGGCAACATAAACCCTTGGTTCTTCTCAAAGACAAGCATCGAAGAACGGAAATCTACCGTGAAGCATACAGTGTTTGCTTTCTCGAACAGCTGAAAAGCGCGTGACACCTTTTCTATGTCACTTGTCCATTTAGTCAGTAACTGCCGGGGTTGTTTGGTCCCATCAATCTGTGCATGATTCACAGATGGACTTTGGTCCAAGTATTCGAACAATGATGGTGCTATGATTCACAGGCACTCCTTGAGATCTGTTTAAGCTTCTTTTAGGGACGGCATCGATACGAATTGAGTTTCGAAATCAGTAGCTTGGCACCGTAGACTTCAGGTTCATTGAAACGAAACGCCGGGGGCAAACAGTCAATGTGACCCTGACGCAGGCATAAACGCTGACGGCAGGGATCAGGTACCGTTCCAACCGGGTTGGGACGAGCAGTCGGAGATGGGCATATGCATTTCAAGACCCGTTCTGGCTTGTCAGTCCACTCAGATACCCCAGAACATGCGGCTTTAGTAGATCTTGTGGTCTTCGATATCCACACCCAGGAAAAGCCGGCGGCGACGACATATGTGATGGAATTCCCGAGTCCTGATTCTGCGCTGCACTGCTGGTAGGTTGATCGTGACGAGACCCTCCAGATATTACATGTAGGGCCATGGACTTCGATTTTCAAGTGTTCGGGTCGTAGATGCCACACCATCACCGGTGAATTCACCCGTTTCCCCATCACCGACTCACCATGCAGCTCTCAGCTCTCAGCACCCTTCTCGGGCTCTCTGCCTCGGTCATTGCGACGATACCTCCCCCTCCTGGCCGTGCACCTCTTCGTCGCCAGGCTTCGGCCGATACCACTTCGTCCCTGTGGGTGTCTGAGGTGCCGTCCTCACCTCGCCCCTACGCCGTCCGTCACTATGGCATCCCCGGGGTCGTCGTCGTCGCGCAGACATATCGCTTCCCAGTGACAGGTCCCAGCTCTGACAACGCCTTCACCCTGATCTCAGCCGGCGCGCCGGCGTCAGGCTCGCTCGGCGCCCTGCCACACGCCCATCTCAGCCACTACGAGAACTTTTTCTGTCTCAAGGGCCGCTTCCAGCTCTGGGCAGCCTCCGCAGCGACATACGACAACGAGGAGGCACGGCTCCTGACCCCGGGCGACTATGGCGCCGTGCCTCACAACACAACCCACACCTTCCAGGTCCTCGACCCAGACACCGACATGGTCGGCGTTATCCAGACTGGCGGGTTTGAGGACCTCTTCTACGCGCTGGCCAACGCCAACTATACTTCCCCGCTGCAGAGCCCATACGACATCAACGACGCGAGCCCCTACAACGCCACCAGCAGCTCGCCGCCGGCCGAGGTCATCGCGGCGCTCGAGTCCTTCGACGTCTACGCCCAGCTCAACTTCACGCCCTCGCGTGAGCTAGTCAACGGCTCGTACTCCGCGGCCAAGGGGTCTGGTGACGTGAATGGCTGGCACGCCGCTGCGGCCGAGTTGGGTGCCGATGAGAAGACGCCGTACTTCGTGGCCAAGGACTTTGGGCCCAAGTGGCTCAGTGATGAGGCTGGGTTCTACCAGATCGTCCAACCGCTCGTCACGCCCACGCAGGCAGCTGGGGACTTCACCCTCGCTACTATCATCCTCTCCCAGAAGCTGTCTAACGAATCGGCCATGAGCATCCCCGGTACTAATGATACCTCCACGGCCACCGGCAGCAGCGCGAGTGGCAGCACAGCTTTGACCGGCCACTCTGCGTTCGAAGTGCTGGAGGGCTTGCTGAGCTTCGAGATCAACGGAGAGACTATTCAGCTGGCAACTGGCGACGTGGTCTTTGTACCCGCCGGAACTGCCTTCCAGTACTACAGCGTAGTGCCTTTCACCAAGGTGTACTACATCTCACAGGGCGCCGATGGCCTGGACACGAGGCTGATGGCGAACGGAGTCAGCGGATGGGAGTACCCAGCATGGCCATCTGATGCTTGATAGATTCATTTGGTTGAGAAGTGGCATTCGACAACCAATTTGTACACATGTACACAGATATAGGCATCAGTTCATCACATTCTGCTATTTCATGCCGCGCCTGACTTCTTGCATAACTTGGTCCCATAATCGATGACCTCCCAATCCTCCGTCCCCGGTGTGGCGATGGCGTAAAAGACACCATTTGGGTCCCATTTCTTGCGGATGTCAAGTAACCGAGGGTAATTAGTTCCATAGAAAGCGGTCTGCCAGTCAGGCTGGTTCGAGTCGCCCTGCAAAGCGTGGCATATCATTGTCAGCCCTTCACCTGGATCCAGCACAAGTCGGTGGCCAGAGGTAATCCTGAAACTCACCTCATTCACGTACCCGAACCCACTCGGGCCAGCTTCCCTCATCTTTTGGTTGATGTCAAATGTCAGCGTCTTCTGTGCCGCCATCTTCTGCTCCCACGTCGCACTGCTTGAAACAGACATCGCGGCGATAACATGAACACTTGCGTCCCGAAACCTTGGATTCAGCGCGTTGTTCGAGTTTGGCATGCCATAGGCCGGGTTCCACATGTGCCCGATCGCGCTTGCCCCCTTACTTTGTAGGTTCTTGAATGAGTTGATGATGTTCGTGTTGTTTCTTGCGATGTCTTGGTGCGCGAAGACCCAACCGCCAGTCAGAGCCGAGATACCCGCGCCCTCGGGCTCGAAGAGGTCATTGTAAAGCGCGAAGAATGTTTGGTATTGCTTGGTGGAGGTGCTGTATCTGATCCCGATGCCGTCCAAGTCGCGAAGCACAGGGGCAATGATTGCATCGAGTTGTGCCGAGGTTTGGTCCACGGCCAAGAAGGGCTGGACGTGAAGGCCGAAAACACCCGCTTCGAAGTATACGTAGAGCCCGTTGTCGACGAAGTGATTCGAGTAGCTGTGGAAGATGGTGATAGCCTCCCAGAGCAACGTCCGATTGTCTGTATGGCTGGGGTTGATGTCGAGGGTTGCGCCGGCCGAGGGAACATCAACGAACGTTTGGAAGGTAGCCGAGAGGATCACACCGAAGGCCGAGGGACCTCCGCCCCTGAGCGCCCAGAACAGGTCCAAGTTCGTATCGGAATTCGCGGTGACAATGTCGCCTGCTGCTGTCAAGACTTCGAATTCGAGCACTGTATCTGCGGCCATCCCTTTCACGGTGGTCCAGGGGCCATGGCCGCCACCCTGCACGAAACCGCCTGCTGGTCCAACCGTCTAGATCTTGTAAGCCATACCGAAACTTGTAAACTCGTTTCTGGGGGTGTACATACTGAGCATTCCCCGACCACAACTGTCACAGGTGGGTTTTGCGCGCTGCCCAACTTAAGCAATTCACCCCCTTGTATTCCAGCTCCAACGGTGACTGCTGATCCATGGTAGTCTCCTGGACCAGCATAGGACTCTATGAACGTTGCGTTCTTGAAGCCATGGGTATTGATGACCAGTGCTCCCCAGCCAGTGCTCCTGCCCAAAAAGTCATGCCCGGTGTTGCGGATGACCAGCCGCAGATCGTGAGTGCGAGCGAAGTCAACGCCTGCTTTTACGTGTTCGTAGGTCTTTGCAAGGATGACGTAGACTCCATAGTACCCGAGCATACAAGGCGTGTTGGGGTTATTTGTCGGTCGGCAGGTCTCGTTGGTATAGTAGGTCCACAAAGCTGCGGCGGGTTGATCGGTTCTGTGCATGGTATCAGTGCGTAGTCGTGCGTCTCCATCTTGGGTGCAACTCACGCCCATTGTGCGCTTTGGAAGTTCATCGAGACACTCGAGCATGCAGCGTCATTGTATGTACTGATGTTCCCGAGTGGGCCCTGATAGGTGTTGTGGCAGACAGCGCCAGGAGGAATATGGACGGCGAGGTTACCGTTCAGGGTGGCGTTGAGAGCGGACCATTCCTCGGATTTGGGCCAGCATTCATCGCCGACATAGCATTTGCACTCGTAGGAACCCCCGTTCCATGTAGTCGGCACGAGTGCAGCCACAAGATCTCTGAACAGAAGTGCAACCAATATTGCCTGCATTATGGGAAATGTGCAGAGATGTGGTGTTGAGGACTTGTCACTTGGAGCGATCGAAATGGCAGAATATGGGAAGCTTCAAACGATTCACAGGGGAAGCATTCTCCGATGTATAATATAAATCAAATGAGGAGAATTGCGACTTACAGAGGGCACAACTTTGTGCCTGATATGGCCCAAGCCCCGCCCTGGGAGTCCCATTTGAGTATACAGGTAGGACTAGGAGCACCAGGCCAAGAGCTTATTTGCCGATACTACATGAGTGTGTAAATTGTCTAAGCTCTCGGATGCAAAGGCAATCACCGAGTAAGCAGAGTTCAGGCCTGGTTCAATGGCTATTTAGCCGATATTATGACGTCTTGAACCAAAGGCTGCACACTCATTACTCTCCACGTCGCAGTTGTTTACATTTGCACCGGCCGCCTGTCGTGTGATCCTGCAAATTGCTACCGCCTGCTCAATATATATTATCCTCTTTTCAGGGAGAGCAGCTTCATTGTGCCGGCGTAAGTGAGCTCGGTACAGAAGCTGGATTGAACAACATCCAGCTATCACAAATCTCCACCTCGAAGACTTGGCGACGTCCGGAATGGTAATCTGCGGTGTAATCTGTCGACGATTGTGTCGTAGTCCTTCTCATTCTCAGCGGTGATTAGGCCGTGCCTGATGAAAAAATCCAGCATGACCATCGCACAGCTCGGCTTGAAGTCGCCCCGGCGCAAAGACTCCCCCACCTCATCGACTCCCATCAACGAGAAGCCCTCGATGTCGTCTTCCACCGGTTTGAACACGACGTCTTCTCCGACCTGCAAGTCGTACACGTAGAGGATGCCCGGGTTCATCAAACCGGGCTCGCCACCAGCTCCCTCGTCCGAGATGTTGAACCACGTCACCGTCCCGGCAGATACCACTTTCTCCCTCACTATATCAGCAGAGAGCGCCGCCTCCTCGCCTGCTTCGCGGACGATACACTCCAGGGGCGACTCGCCTCGCGCAACGCCGCCCGCAACAGCCTGGTCAAGCATGCCTGGGTAGGTCGACTTGGTGGCGCTGCGCCTTGGAATCCAGAATTTGAGACCTTGCTGCGTCTGGACGTAGACGGTCATGTGGGCGCCTCGACCAATGATCCCAAACATGCTGAATGCCGAGCGCTCGATGCCGATGTCAAAGTTACCGCCGACGATGGGAAACTGCTCCTCTGTCTTCTTCCCCAGCCGGGGGAACACCTTTCGCTCGCGGGCGAGGTCGACAAGTTCCTGCACCGCATCTCTGCAGCCTTGTTGCCAGTCCTCTGTACCCTCGCGCCTGAGAAGGTGAACTTCTTTGCGCGGACTGGTTGTCAGGCGGAAGTCGGATGTCCAAGGCATCCGCTCCACGACCGAGTCGATCAGGCAGCCGTGAGGGTTTGGGTCGTCCGGCAGGTAGAACAGCCACAACGACTCGACCATCCGATCGTAGGCTTCCGATCGGGTGAAGTCATTCTGTGGGAAGCTTTGAAAATGTGTTAGCTTGAGTCTGATGCGCGGAATGTGGTCTACGGTGCGAAACGCAGACAGGAATCTCCATGGACAAAAAATAGGGTTTTTTTGGTGAGCCAACAGTCCCACTTAACTTACTTGTCACACTGCTCTATTATGTCCAAGAGCTCAGGCATCTTGAATTATCTGCGAGATAAGCTGTGGCAGATGCCTGGGGATCAGATCAAAATATAAGACAACTCATTAAGTTGGGGGGTTCTGCAGAAGAAAGAAGGAAAGGAAGCTATCTATGACCTCAGGGCTGAAGAAGGGTTGCAGGGGAGGCCCGTGCAAGGGTTGCCTGCCCAGGGATAACCCTATCCCTGTGCATCCCTTGGTGCCTGCCACAGAAGCGATTCAGTGTTCTGGGATTCTTCAATTACGACAAAAGCGTCCTGGAGAAAATGGGTCATGGTCGGCAGGAGTGAACAACCATGCCAAACAGTATTTGACCACATATTAAAGTTAAAAGTATATGCGAAGCCGAGAAGGGCTGGGCGCACGGTGACGACGCGCAGGGAGAAACAACTTATCCGGAGAGCAGTGGTACTCAAATTGCGAGCAAAGAGGAGGAGGCTTGTCAGCACGGGGGTAATGGGGGGAGATTAGATTCGAATCCCTTTGATTACGCAGGGGACGATAAGGCTTATGAACATGGATCGCAATAAGACGTGTTAGACGCACAGTTACAACGGTCTTCTCGCAGTTGATACGTGCTGGACGCAAAAACAGCTCCAAACATGAATCCATGATAGCATCGGAGCCAGCATAGACGTAGACTCCCTGGGGCATTAGACTTCCAGTCAAATCATAGACACCTTGCCTGAGATATAATGCATGAAAAATCGCAGCATTCATTAAAGAAATTCCGGGCGTCCGTTGTAGAGCGCTACAGTTCGAATGCTTGAGTGCCCGCAACTCTGATTTCGTATGACGCTGATGGGGTGCATTTCGGTCAGGCGGTCGGCTGGTGCTGAGTCAGAGATGAATCATGGGAAAGTATTTCTTGCCAGCTCGAGGTCAGATGGTTGATAGGTGCTTACGTTGTGGCTTTTGGCTGGTGTGGTTATTCTGGTGGTCAGATGGCCAGTGGCTGCTGAGTCTAGAATCGTTAATAGTGTACTTAAAGGATCCATACCAACCTTAAGGTGTGTATGGACGCCTGTGATGGCCAATCAAGGCCGTGAGGCATTTAAGAACTTCCAAACGATCGGGGAGCCTCTAGATATCACACGAGCAATTGGGCAAATAGATTCTAGCTCTCCGAGAGAGCCGGACGCCATGCCACAGTGTGGCTGCCTTGAACTTTAGCTTGAAGTTCTTTTCATGGGAATACTCTCAGCATAGCATGGACACCCACGAGCTTCACTGGATGCCCACATGAGCATGGGCGCTCGCGCATGTGCCCTATCTTTTTCTTGCCAAGATAAACCATGGATGACTGTCTCACTCGGCTACATGAGGCCGTGATGGAAACAATCGTGACTTCAGCGCTTTGATATGGCAATATTCCACAGTGCCATTCACAGGAGGGCCTCGAAATGCATTTTTCCACTGTTTGAAGTGAAAAGTTTTAAAGACAGGATGAGTACATGTATATTATGATGCTCCCAACTCGCTCCAGGTCCATGGGCAATTGTTTAACAGCTCAAGCAATACCCGACAGTCACTTTCAGAACGCCAAAATGAAGGTCCCACTTGCTCTTTTTGCTCTTGGAGCGGTACTCCGATCAGCCTATGCTCAGGACGCGCCCCCAGCCTCGTATGGTGAAGCGTTTCCTGACGGCCTGTCTGTTCTGAACCCTAATGGTTTAAACAACATTCCGTCCCCGAGCTACACTCTCAATCGGTGGGCTTGGGGCACAATTCCTCAAGCCTGCTATGATGTAGCCAACGGTAATGTGAGTCACCTAGCTCCGGTCTATGTGGAGAGTTTCGCCTCTCCTGGTTTCCCTGGCCAGAAAGGGTTGTCTATAAGACAAGTAGGGTTGGGCTGACCGAACGCAGGGCTACTGCAACCCGTACGATGTCGAGGTTTACGATGTGACGTACTCAGATGCAAGTCTAATCTTTCACGCATGTCAGGGAGAGTCCGCGACTGACCTTACAACCCGTGCATGGCTACAGTGCGGCGCCTCTTTCCAAATTTGCAGATGCAATAATGCTGGAATGACCATCGCCCAGGTAGCAGATAGGTTTGGGTGAGTGCAAAAATCGTGACGCTGGATCCTGAAAAATTCCAACAGAAACGCATTGGCTAATAGCGAGAAAATAAAAGCCGCGTCCCAGTTGCCGCTCGTCAATGGGTCCGGATCGTGAATGCATACAGTGCAAGCTCCTGCTCGGCCTGGGCCAATACCGTGGATCTGACCTTCTTCGGAGATTGCTCAGGCGCCGAGTCGGTTTTCCTCCACGAGACTTCACACAACCTCGACTACCGTGTCGTAGGCGCCGGCTTGTGGTATTCCCAGACAGCCGACTGGAAGAACAAGGTCGCACAAGGGTCGTGCGTTGCGGACAACTACGCTAAAACCAGTATGTTCCGTTGCTTTCATTCCCATTTAGTATCTACGTATTATGGACGATAGATGGCTGACATGATGCTCTACTCAGCCTACACTGAGGCCTTTGCTCAGGTTGGCGTGATGGCTTTCTACAACGCCAACGTGGGATCAATTTGGAACTGGAATGTGGGTTGCATGGCTGATCAGGTCGGCCGCACCATTGAGTTGCTTGGAGATAGTGTTGTCTATAGTTCTTCGCGGACCTGCAACAGATTCTGGGCTCACAGGTATGTGTGGAAGTCCACTTAGTACACGGGTTGGAATCATTGCTAACTTGGACTTCGTTGCAGCCCGGCAATTTGTATGGGGCCTGCGGCTAGGGATAGTGGCAACTGTCCCAACCTCAAGACTGCACCGGCTGTTACAGACCCGAGCATTACCGTTGTGGAGGGTGAGGCTGTTATGGATGAGGTCGTTGAGTCTCTGAAGCGTGAAGCTGAGGTCAGCGCTGGACTTTTGACGAAACGTCGGTTTTCAGCCTAGAATACTGGCTACTGTTCTTCAAAGTCGAGTGTGTTTGAGTATATAGACAGTGTGTGCCTTCGCTTAAGTCAGCTAGGAGCTCAGTCCAACAAAGCACCTGGGCAACGAGCTGCCAGTCACAATCTTTACAACCCAGGGTTCTAGCCCCCAGATTTGACCAAGAAACAAAATTCCCATGGATCGAACTCCACAAATCAAGAGCACTTTTGACTATTGCCCGATAACAAAGAATGCTCAAGCCTCGGGTGGCCCGAAACTTAACATTGCCAAATTGATTCGCTTGGCTGAGGCCAGTGAAGGAATCACACCAGTAAACGGGATGTATATGAATAGTGGCATTGATAAATATCGTCCATCATTAGCCTTCGTCTTTCCCATCCACAGTTCAGCAATGAGCAGTATGCGAGTGGACTATCACGGGACTACAGAACCACAGCAGATCAATTTGATGTCAGTACATGAAGCCCAGCAAATAGCAGCACTGCAAGAAGTTTTGCAGGATTGAGGCAGATAAACCATGGCAAAGAATCGTCGAAACATTGCAGATTTTCGACTTAACCGACAACAAGACACAATTACCTTGCCGCAGGTGTATGTGACTACGACATCCAGGACTGCGTCATTGTCCCAGCTACCAACAGCCTGAAGCAGTGGAATGAATTTGGTATCAACGACGTATTCGAAGAGGTATAGTTCGATTATGCAATCAGTCTTCCACTGCGGACTCTGGATGAAAAAAGTGGGAAGCGCTTCACCGAAGTGAGAACATCGGAAATCATTATAGATTCGTGGCTAAATGGCCAACCCGAGCAATCTCCGCCGACGGCCGCTGGCTTCAGGTACGTCGCTTTTCACGATGTGACAGAGAAGGAAAGGAACGTGGACAAGTTGGACCTCGGATCTGCCTCGCACAGGATGGGCCATCATGGGGGAGAAACGTGTGGATACGATGTGCGAACGTGTCGCGGAGAAGTTGAGCTTGTACACTAGCAAGCCAATCAAGGTTATCGATGCGCTGGCGCTGTACGGAGCGGTCAATGATCCGCCTCACCTCATTGTGGAATTTGGTCAAATCCATGATATCAACGGTTTCGAAGCCCCAGCGGCGGACAGCTGTGAACAAGCTACAACATCAATAGAACTTGCACTGGCATCAATTGCTTTTTTACACAAGACTGGGCACCTCCGGGGGCTTTTGATGAACTTGACGGCGTTTCTACCAAGATATTGCACATACAGAGCAACCTCAAAATATGGCCCCCCTCCCCTCCCGCGCAAGCTTGCTAACCAGTCAGAGGCTGCCCCCACCCGAGGTTCAGTGGCGCAGCTCTACTGCGCCTGCTTTGGCTCCACAATGACGAACCACGCGAAGTGACCAGCCTGTCGTAAGAGGCCTCTGTCCAAGTCGACGTGGCGCTCTGTCTATAAGTTCAACAACCTTGAGACAGCATCGACAACGTCCTCAGAAAGCCTGAGAATATCAGAACTTTCCTGGGGAATCACCCCTTTCCACACCCAGCGCATCACTTACACAAAGCTTCAGGTTTCACAATGTTCAAAAGGCTACTGAAGAAGGAAGAGAAGCACGATGACGACATGACAGTTTGGGTGCCCAAAGGCGTCTACAACTCAGTGGCACCGATATGGGACGAACGATATTCATGGCACCCCATGGCGGTCGACGATTCGCTGCCAATGGACCAGACCTCGTTCATCCAGGTGGACAACAAGGACAAGGACCACGAGGAAGACTCAGAAAGTCACAAGCAAGCAGCCGCCAGCCCCAGTAACGAGAACCTGGCCCCCGAGGCCGCATTGGCAGATGACAATGCCTCGGTCCACTCCGCCGTCTCGACCGTGCCGAGCATCTCGGGCCCTAGCACGCAAGGTCTCTCTGCGCAACGGCCGCGGCAACTCGACAAGCGGACGTCGTTCGGGTTCCCGGTCAGGCAGATGTCCTGGAACACAAGCAGGAGGAAGCGGGAGGCGCTGCTGCAGCGGCAGCGGTCCCGGGACAAGTACGGCGTCCCGGGCAAGAGGAGATCGTCACTGGCGCCGGCGGCTCCGGCTCCCAACCAGGGGCCACCGGGGCCCGGAACACGTCCGGGCTCCTCCGGAGCTGTTCCCTACGGTTTGGCCGGAGAGTTCGTCATGTTCGCCCTGTGATCTGTGGGTGGTCCTAGGCCCAATCCGGTATGTTCTTTGGGCCCAGGCGCTGACTCGTCTACGGGTTCTTGTTCAGGTTACGCTTGGAACATCGGTGAGGCCTACTTTCCGTGAAGGTATGAGAATCACACCCTCTCTGCTTTGCGCAGCGTGTATGACTTGAGCTCGGCCAGTCGAGACCTGCGCGTTGCGATCCCTCAAAATGTATATTCCTCAGTTCGCCTGGACCGCTGGCCTTGTCCTCGGCGCTACGACCGAGACATTACCTTTTCCGCCCTGGACGGCCAGCGACTAGATGTCCCAAGACGACAGCGTTCGAGGCAACGGCACCAGCTACCCATCGCTCGACATCCTCCCGCCAAAGCCTGCCGAGAATCCTTTCGACGACAGCATAGTCAAGTTCCACGGAAACCTAGACTACGAGTCGCTCGGGGGTGCTGGGTTTGCGTCGCGGAGAACCGTGGACGAGACTGGCCCGAGCTCGACATTTCAGCATACAACCAGCTCGAGCTGGAGATCCCGTATACGGATGGGAAGAAGTACACGTTCTCAACCTGAAGGACACGGTCCCCCCGGCGGGCACCAGCGATCGGGCCTCGGTGAGCTGGGGCTACGATTTCCAGCTCCTGGCTACGACGCAAACGGAGGATTGGAGTGTCTCTGCTGATCTACAGCGAGTGGTGGTGCCTATCAAGGACTTGGTCCCAACACTTCAGCGGCAGATTGGTGAACAAGTCGGCGCCTCTCAACGTGACGGGGATCAAGAGAATCAGCATCATGATTAAAAGGTGAGCAGACTTCTCGCCGCGAGATGTCTACTTGTAAAACTGATTCTAACATGAGTTTAGTTTCTTTGCGGAACAAGAGGGTGGTTTTGAAGCACATATCAAATCTGTAGTTGCGAGGAATGTCGGAGAATCTCAACTCTGAAATGGCAAGCTAATAGATTAATGAGCGGGCCCTGCTGGCTGGGCAGAATGATAACTGCTGCCAGGACGTTTGTAGCACCTACCTATAGGTAATGGCCACACTAACATCAGTATGAGCTTCCCACAGTCCGTACACTTGTCGAGACTCCAGATGCCCGGTGTCGCGGCTCTGTGCTCCCTCATGTTACCGTGCAACTGCCACTCTCTCTCTCTTGGCTGCTGAGGACAAAAGTGCGGTAGCAAGGTCAGGTGACCATTGACGGGCAGGGAGCGCGGAAGGTATTGAGGCAACAAAACAATAAACTCAGTAGCATATATTATATTTTTCAAAGTAAATGCTTTCTACAACTTATTAAGCTTATTTGATTTTAATTTTTATACAAACTTGATCACTGAACATTTCATTTCGCCGACTTATGAGTAAGCCGACCCTAACCCGTGCCTTCAAGAGGACTGCTTGGGGCTCACCATGGGGTGTCTGGCTACAAGCACTTGAGACTATTTGTGACACAGGTATTGACCGGTAGATGCTTAATTATTCTCGTCAACCGTGGCTGAGATGTGATTCACAAACCCGCTCATTGGGTCGTGGATAAGCCATCTCGCATCATACCTAGGCACACACGATCAGGCGAAATGTTACCACTTGTGCGCCTTGTAGAGCGCAGGGTTCCGCCGTGGACACCACCTGTTTCATTCGCGTCGTAAGACCATTGACGAAGATACAACCGTTGTACTATCTGTGCCCGAGCAGCTTCTGCGGCCTTCGGCTCTGATCATCTCGTGGGACATGATTTCTGTATCCAGACTCCACATCTTTGTTCGACAGACACGAGGGCAACTTTATACTACGTTACAAACTCAAGATACAACAATTTCCTCGCTAAATGTTGCAATTGATGGTTGCTTCCGCGGATGCCACTAGTGTTGTGTTGAGGGTTCCCGTGGGCAGTGTTGCAACTCGATAAGGCCACTGAACCCTGCCAAGACCTCGACGTCGAGCAGTGCGTTGCATTTGGCAGGTCGAAACCCGTTTTGGGAATCACCTTCTTCTCTGGGGACATAAGCCGGCCCGCAATAAGTGGGACTGCAACATGGCGGAAGAGCCGGTGGCTGTTGTAAATCTTGTGACCCGTTGGAATGTGTCGGCTGGGGTGCCAAAAGGCTGGCTTTTATAAGCCAAGGACCCCAGCCAGCCCTCTGGCATTTTGCTACCGCTGGCCCTTTCCATCACCTTCGCAACGCCAGCCATCATGGTGCAGTTCAACGCCGACGTCGTAGCTGCTGCAGCCGCCGCCCTCAACTTCACCCAGGTGGCGCTGACACCTCCTCTCGATTGGATTGCTGGAGGCTCCCTGTTCCCATCTCGGATTATCGCTGGGTATAACGCCCCGTTGGACGAGTACACTGCCGAAGAGTGGTCCGCCCATATCTTGGACGCCTGTAAGGGTTTTGAGGCTTGCACTTCAGCCGATGGTTTCCAAGGTATGTTCAGTATGAATTGTTTGGCGGCGCGGAGAGATCCGCCGGCATTCGCCCAGGCTGACAGTCAGTAATAGCAACGAACAGTGGCAGCACGGGTGGGCGCTTTTGGTTCGGGTATGTCTACCGGGGTGGTGCCACGGACGAATCATTTTACGTCCGCAGTGAGGGAGTGACCGATGCGTTCGCGTGGACTATCGCCGAGTAATATTTCAAATTCCTTGTCTTGTGGCTCGCCTCTGCGGAAATAGTAAGAGAATTGAAGTCTTCAGATTGGGACGATTTAGGTCGTTGGGAATGGATTCGTCTCGGCGATTGACTACTCCATTAGGCCTATCAATCTACCAAGACAGAGTCCACAAAGACAGGGTCCGAAGATAGGGTCCATGTCGAATCATATCCAAATTAAACCAGTGAGCTGTGTCTTGCACAACTTGATGTAGGGACGTTCGTGTATCTTGTAAGAGTCTGAAGCTGTATTCGTGCCGTTATATAGAACCGGTTTCAGTACAGCTGCTTATCGCTGATGATTGTGACCTACGAGGTCCATGGGCCATATCAACGACTGCCTTGATTGCATCCATGTCCGCCATGAGACCGTCATCGGCAGAAGATGAGAGAACACAGTTCAGCTTGTATTATTATCGTGAGTTCTGTCAGCATCTACCACTCCGTCGCTATTACTAATGCTCTAACAATGATGGCCTCACCAACGGTCTCATCAAATTCAACCCTCACAAATACATAGAGTACCCGAGGCGAGCTACATGTTCATCATCGCAGCAGCACCGCCCAGCAGCGCCCCAATCATCACAGCCCCAGTCGCCCGCGCGGCCTCGCCCACCGTCACGACCGGCCTCGTCGACGTCGGGCGGCCCGTGCCGCTCGGGCCCGGCCCCGTCTGGCTCCCCCTGCCAGTGCTTGTCCTCCTAGACGACTCCGAGGGCCGACCCGTCTGGATTGACGACGACGTCCTGGGGGGCTGGGTCTGGCTGGTCGGCCTGGGCGGTTCCTTCGAGGTCTCCTTGGATGGCGTCGGGGGCGGCTGGACTACCGTCTGCGTCGACCCCGGCGGGGACTCGGTGATGGTCTTGGTCGTCTCCTGCCCGGGCTGCGTGACCGTCGTCGGCTGCGGGCGCTCCGTCACCGTCGAGGGCTTCGGCTGCTCGGGCGGCTGTGGTGGCGGCGGCGTCGGTTTCGGGGGCTCCTTGTCGGTGTAGGTGACTGTGACTGTCTGGCCCACGGTGACGGTCCGCGTCTGGCCCCCGCTTGTCTCGACGGAGATGACCGTCTGTGTTGTTATCGACGTCTTCTCTTTCGGGGGTTTGGGCTTGTCCGGCGGGTTCAGGCAGAGCTCTTTGTGCAGGAGGCAGAGGGTGTCGGACGGGGCCGGAGCAGTGCCATCGGGCCCGACTGGGGCGGGAGCTGGAGCAGGAACTGGGTCAGGGGGTGCTTGAGCCTCGGCCTATATTTGTCAGATTTTGACCACTTATCTGTTGCATACATGAAGCGTTGGTGGTAGACTTACGGTGGCCAGACCGCTGAGGAGTAGGACGAAGCGAAGCCCGTTAGTACGCATCCTGCAAAATCAAAACGAGTGTAAAGGAACTAGTATTGCCCGATCATTATTCATGGAGGTCGAGGCCGAGCTGGCTCTCGATTTGCGAGGACTGAGTATCCTTATACGCAGTAGTCAAAGGGATGAAGCGCGTTCATCTCGACGCAGATCAAGCATCTCGGTTCCCAAAACCCAGTGCTTGTGACAGCAGCCAAGGCAGCCAAATCGCATCTTGGAAACCTGCGACTATGTTCCATCTCAACGGAGATGCAACGGGATGAATCCAAAGTTAGAACGATGCAGAAGGCATCTGAAGCAGAGCCGCAGTCGATCTGGCGGCCAGGAGGCATGTGGCGCGGGCGAGGTCATGCGATGTCAACCTCCTCGAAAAGCCAACATCGAAAGCAGTGCAAGGTCGCTCTCGTCAAAAGTCACATTTGAGTAGGCTGAGCTGGGATGTCAAACCAGCCTAGACCGCAGCTGTTCGTCCGAAGTGGCCGAGAAGATCGTATTCGCGGGGACCAGCCCAGATGGGAATCGCCAGTAAGGTCTCCGTGTTTCGCGATGGCCGCAAAGATTGGGCTGGCGATGAAGGCGGCTCTAGCGTCCTCTTCTCCGCTCCGGATGCACAACCGTTAGGGCCCCTCTGCGGTGCAGCGACATCGTCGATGGCACCATCTTGTGAGGCTGTGCTTGACTTCAGTTGAACGGAATCCGGGGTAGCTGACACCTCGTGCTGATTTCGAGATTGCCATTTCAAATTACTGAGCTCGGTCTCGCTGTCCATTCCAGTTGAGCCCGTGGCGCCGCATATTAGCATCTGGCGGTCTCAGGTCTTCTCAGCGACCTTACAAATGATCTCGATCATTTGCTCTGGTATTGTCAAAAAAGGGGAATGGCCTGACTGGACTCTTATGACGTCCTCGTACCCTCCCACTCCTATGAAGTAGGCCTGATACTCCGTAGGGAGGGCGATGTCATTTTCGCAAAAGACATAGGTCTTTGGAACTGTGATCTCCTCATCAATAAATATTGGACGGCTGTTCCAGTTCATCTGGCTATGCGTCTTCATCATAGTGGGCCATATTTTCTCGATTTTCTCTATGGGGAGGTCATTGTAGAAGGTTGGCTTAGCACTGTCGAGTAGGTGTATTATGCCGTCCTGTGGCTATGATCAACTGCTGGATTCTCATAATTTTTGTTGTCAAAGTGCTCACCTCGACATAATGAAATTCCTGCAGTGGCGTGTCATCTCCTCTTCCGAGGAAATTCTTTCCTCGTCTCGGATAGGCCAAACCCACACACGTTGATATAATGTCGGATCCCGCCTTTCAGGTCACACTCTGCTCTCTCGGCCACAGATTCGCCTTCTATGCAGTGGCTCGCAGGAAGGGTCCCCGAGCTGTGGGCCACCATGATGACTTCTCTACCGGCGTCTAGGATCGGTAGCAGTGTCTCGTTGATGACCTCGACGTCGTCCACGTATGTGAGTTCGGGATTCGTCCCCGTTGTGGGTAGCGCCGGGGCCTCCACTGTGAACCCTCTGTCTCTTAGTTGATCCAGCACTTCCTGGTAGTGGACCGGTTGGTAGAACGCCCCATGTACAAGCAGGATGACTGGCTTGTCTGCAGCCATGTCTGCGTTGATGGTCCTCGGGTAGTTGAAGGCTCATTGACGGACAGGACGAAGTAGCCCGACCAGCCTCGGTGGACGAGGTCGATGGTGCGTTATCAATCGATCAAAATGAGAAACTACGTTCACTCGGAAGTGGATGTCGTCGCCTTGTTTTCTCTTACATAAAGCGACACTCGGATAAGGCGGCAAGGGCCGGGGCCGCAGCGCGTTGGAAGCTCCGCTGCCTGACAACGTGGTCCACGCTGACACGTGCCAACGATATATCGTGACGTGGGGGCAAGGTGACTGGATTGGTCGTCTTTTGAACCCCCCAATATCTCGGCCGTGCCGCGTACTGAGGTGCCTGACCTGGATGACTGGGCTTGTTGGGGTTGAAGAAAGCTTATCTTGCAGATCGGCAGTGATGTGTGTGCAGGACGTTGGTACAACCTTCCAACTTCAGGTACTCGGCTGTGCTGTCTCTTCGTCTGACGTCGATGCGTGGGTTCGACGCGTTTCACATGGCAAGATTCACCCCTGAAACTCCCGAGGTGAGGACTACTGGGTCACCCATGCGAAGCGGGGCCAAGGCCGGTGTTCTTGACTGCAACTCTGAGCAGACGGCCAAATCAAGCTGCGACTGAATGCTACATTGCTTGCCGTCCGCAATGGTTTGATATTCAAGCTTCCATCAAATACCATCCGTGCATCTTCTCGCTTCCGTCCAACTCGCCCAGCCCGTCGAGAATGCTTGATGCAATGAAGCCACCATGCTGAAGGCGACCAGACCCAGGCAGATTGAGTACATGATTCTATATGCATCGTCTGCGGGTGGTCCTGTTATGAGATGGCTCGAAGCAAGTATGATAACACAGACGGTATACAGTACCCCCGGAATCAGAGAGAAAAGGGTGCGTAGGCAGTACACCCGAGACGGCGTTGAGATGCGATCCATGAGAGATCCTGGGGAGTATTTGATCGTCCAGTACCTGTGCGTGAAGTTTCAGCATGGCGGTCACCGAACTTTGTCAGAGATGTTGTTAGGATACTCACGTCGGTTTTCCAACTGGGATGGCTAGCAATGATGTCCGAACCAGACTGAAGGAGCCGGCCACCGTGAGGATGTAGGTCCAGGAGTATAGGAGCCGGCACTGGGAGTGAAATCGGTCCAGACTTTCATCATTTCCCAGCCACAGATCATCAGGCTCTGCGATATAATCCGAGCCACACGTAATGTCATCATTGCTAAACAAAGTGTCAATTTGTGTCAATCAACAAGGACATGGTACTTGAGGTACTCGTAACGTAGCTCATCCATTGCGAGGAGTGCGAAAGCCATCACTACTCCTGCGACGACGAACATAATCCAGACTGTGACGTTACAAATGAACAGATTTACTTGCAACGTGCGGCTCGCTGATTCTTGGCGCATTGCTGAATGGGAAATGGTGCTGCCTTGCAAGTGCGTGGCTTGCGGGGTCTTGAGCTGTGCCGTCGGGGTGTTCTCTTTCGTCACGAACATGGTGGTCAAAACAGAAACAAATGTATTTCGCCCTGTCAAATTCTAAGCTGCAGTCGAGATTGTTCGTATATTCTGGCAAATCCTCCACCAAGTGTGAATGAGTGAACTAATCATAGTCGTCCCTGTGTGCTGAAGCGAGGCGGGGGAAAACACCGAATCAGCTGAGGCAGCCAAACAAAAGATCAACCACGTTATCAGCCTAGACTAGCTACAACTTAACTAGCTCAACGCCTCATGGCAGTGAAATTACGGCCTAGAGCGGACTATTGCGCCACTCATAAAACCATAAAACCATATGTGGATAAAACCTGTCAATCACTGCCCGAACACGTCGCTCCAGATAAGGTGGGCAACCGTGGCCCGGAAATTCAATCGTCCGAGGCCTGACATCACGAAATATAAGAAGCATATTAATCAAGCCACGTGTGACTTGTAAAAGCGACTCGTGGGGAGAGAATTAAAATAAAAAAAGAAAGTACCCGGCTGTCACAACTTATTTCCGAACCCGGAGGAGGAAGATGAGGAAACCAGAGAGCCACAATTGCTTTGCGAGAAGGTAACATATCCTAAGGCCATTTCTTAGGAATAGTGCCGCCTGGTGTTATTGATCTCTGCAAAACTCGTCAGTTGCCATGGTATAGCAGCAGTGAATCGACATCTTGACACGTAAATATCAAGTCGAGTGAGCCATTCCCGAAGACAGACATAAATCCACGTATCAAAACAAAGATCACGAGAAAAGAAACAGGATCTTTGGGAGTCTTTCACACAATTTAGAGAAGAGCCTTGGACGTTGAGAGCGGAATATGGCCGAGATGGATCATAGGACCGCCGTAGCCGGAGTCATCCATGTTTAACCCGCTGTAGTTTAAATTGAGAAAAACCACTGTCGACATGGTGTAAAACCCGTGGAAAGTGATCTGTACTTATCAAACCATGTTTCTTTCATTTTCCGCATTTTACTGCAAGCCATACTGTTTGTACTATCCCCTTAGTGCTGGCATGCAAACGAACCAGCACACTCACCAAAGACCCATGGCAGCTGTCAGGAGAGCGATCGCCTCTCATATCATAATAATACTACCCAACAGCAAGCGCGAACTATTAATAAAAAATTGGGCAGCAAACGATCGGTCCTGACTCAATGGGATCCCCAATCTGACTCGAACCTCTTTTTGACAACGCCCGAGGATTGTGCATATGGGACAGTTGCGCTGAGAATTGATGCTGTACTCATCTATGAATACTAGCATTGCAGGAATGCGTGCTGGACACGATCCGCAGATATGGACACCGGGCCGTCAACTCAACACCCGACCACATGTAAAGAACGACAGTATGCTTCTTCCCATGGGTTTCGCTTTCCAACATGAGGCCGTCGATCTTGGGCTCGTGGCGACAATCTTCGGGGACAGCGGCAGGGCCGGAAGAATTAGCTCTTGTCATATACATTGGCAATAGATTGAGAAGACCGCGCTGTCAACGGCCCGGTCATCTTCCCGGACCCAGCAATGACGCTCGCCGGTGGAGACGTCGGGAAGGCTCGCAGAGCTACCGGTAATTATCTGCCCAACGATCCACAAAGGGGTCCACCGGCTTCTACATATAGACAGGGTTTGCGAACCCATAGATCGCAATACTTTCTTGCGTGGACGGGACCAGGCATACCCGGATCATGCATACAGTTAGTTGCAAGTGTATCGTGTCCTAAAAGTGGCTTCGACAAAGGGAAGAACCCGATCTACTATGCATGCCATGCTTCCCAGGTGGCTGGTTGGCTGTGCATGCGTGAGCTCGAAACGGAACCCAATGAACTGATCTGGGGCAAGTGCGACGCTAGCGACAACGGACAAGTTCTCTTTAGGAAGGCCATGGGACGTTTGCACGGGAGTGTTATGCAGCACCGGCTAGTTTCGTGTCGCGTAGGGCTGATTTATGATGGGACGGTGTTTGTCTTCATCCAGGAGGATATTCGATCGCCCGGGCTGGTGGACTGCGCCCTATACCACAGCATATCTTATGCAAAAGTGAGAGTCAGGACGGTGGTACGGAATGCGGCGTGCAGCCGTCCCAGCCAGCCGGTCAGAGGGCCCGATCTTGGCAACGGAGTAAGTCGTGCTCTGCTGGAGGATCGGATGCCGTAGTGGGAAATAGACTCGAGCCATGCACGTACCTTTGAAACATTGCCCTGGTATATCCGCGCTGCGCCGTTTGGGGTGTTTGGTTTGAACCAAACTGTGTTGATCTGCTTGACCGGCCCACTAGTCTCGACACTCTCACACACAAATGGCGGTCACCGCGCGGTCCAGTGGCAGATCGCGCGCCGAGCATTCTGTGCTGTTGACAGACCACAGACTGATGCATCACTTTGAGAGCGCGCGCACGCCCTACTAGATCCCATGTAACGACAGGTCGTACTCGCACGAACCACCGGTCGGGACTATGGTTCCGTGACCCGTTAGACTCTACAAATCACAATCGTTCGGACGGGTTAGCTCTCGCCTTGCAGACGACCTAGGTACACATGGCAGGGGGTGGGGAGGAAATTACGGAGCTGTGCCGCCGATCATCAGATCATTTTATAACAATAAGCATAAAAGCGCCAACTCCGGGGCGACAGGACCAGAGGACATGGGAGCTCAGGGCTGGGCCCCCGGGCAGAGCGATGCCGTGTTAGGAATCTGGATCGTTGCTGGCGCTGTCGAGGAAAACAACTGTGGGGAATTTCCTCGTCGACAGGCTTGACAGGCCCCAAGACTTGACTCCATTCGGGGAAGACGGGGCGACAGGGATGGGACAGCCAGCAAGATAACAAAACAGTCAAGACTGTCGACCTACCGTACCCAGACCCAGCAGGCAGACCCAGTAGGACCCAGACCCAGACCCAGACTGGCCCCCAGCGCGAAGGCGACCGGAACTGTCCATCCTGCCGCTGCGAATGCACGTGGAAATAGCTTGTCCCTCTCCCCCCCCCCCCCAATCCATTCCCATAATGTATCCGAGCCCCTCATTCACAAGCCACGCTTCTCCCCTACACTAACTACTACTACCACTACTACACACACACGCTCTCTCACACTACTGGCCGGCACCGCCGCTACTGCCGCTGCACGCCTCAGTCGCATCAGTCTCAGGTCAATACCACACTGGCATAGCCCGATGGAGACACTCTCGCCTTCGCCCGCACTCTCACTTCTATTCTCACTCCCATCGTCGCCGACCCCCTTTGCGCCTCACATGTCAGCCACCGTGGAGACGGAGACGCGCAATCTGCAGAGCGAGATTACGCCTCTCGTGCAGCCCATCTGATCAGCTTGGTCGAGCGGGCAGCAGCAGCAGCCGCCGCCGTGGAGTGGGCGCGAAGAAACCCCCGCCAGCACACGCTGAATCCACCCGTGGCGTTCTGTCAAGCCCACCCCCTCCCCCACGGACCGGACCCAGCTTGCATTTACCTGCCCTGTCCTGCACCGTTCTGCCCTGCTCTGCTGCCCTGACACACACTCAACACTCACTCTCTCACCCGTTGCCAGCCTGCTGGGTCGCGTGCGTGTGTGTTATATGCATGTCCGTTGTTCCTGCCTTGCCCAGCCTTGCGTGCATTGCTGTGCTTCAAACTGTCAGGTCTGAGCCGCCGGGCCAGGCCCTTGAATCAGGGAAGTCGGGAGGTTTAGATTCGTCTTCCCCGGTTTTAACCAGCAACCGAGCGAGACCACTGGGGTGACATCATCTTCACCCACCGCAGTCCGGGCGTCTTGCGAGGCGAATTACAACTGCCTGATCCTCCAGGGGGCCGGGGCATAGAGAGCGAGACGAGAAGACAAGACACAAGGAACACAAACAAGAGGCAGACCTCGGGAGGCAGGCAGGCAGCCACACAGACAAGAGCGCGCGCGAGAGAGACGGAGACAGAGGGAGAGACACATGCAGATTCTCTCTCATCCTCCAGCCACCTTCCGCATCCATCTATATACATACATACATCCATACTTGTACATACATACGTCCTGTACACACCTGCAGATCCCGCCCCTCGCACTGCACCTGCACTGCATCCACGACGGAGCACAGGGTCGTCGCCCAGAGTCGAGCCGCGTCGAGTCGAGTCGAGCCGTCCACTGCCACTGACCCATCACTGACTGCCTGGACCAAGGGGGCCTGCTGCCGCTCGTCCGGCAAACATAACGAGCGGGAACCGTCGTGATCCACAGCGGCGTGGAACGGGCTGGCCCGCTCGATCGATCAGTTTCCAGACTGAATCGGCTACTCACACGACAACGGCGGCTACTACTCACGAGCGACACACACACACACACACACACTCTCACGCCCACTCTTACTGCACACCACACTCACGTTGGCGATAGCGCCAAGATAGGGCCGGGTAGCTACAGGTACTTGACCTCTCTCTCCTCAGGCTCACCCCCTCCTGGGCAAGTTGACAATGGTCAACACCGGGAAGCCTTCGCCGGGCTGTTTTGCCTGCAGGTCAAGGCGGATCAAGGTGAGCGAGTTCACGAAAGTCTTTGTTTCTCTCACTGTCTCTATCCCGACCTTGTTTCTGTGACACTCGCCAATTCCTCCCCAAAATGGACTGTCACTGCCTTTTCTGACCATCATCAACCCCCTTCGTCGTCAATGCATTTCCCTTCTTTTCGTACAGCCCCTTCCCACTGCGCACATCCGTATTGACGCCCCAGCAGTGTGACACAACACGGCCTGAGTGCAGGAAATGTCGGAAGAGGGGCTGGAAGTGCCCGGGCTACCGGGACCTCAACGCCCTGAGGATCGTCGACGAGACCCAGAAGCAGTTCACCCGCTTCTCGGGCGACAAGGAGAGGGACGACGACGGCCCGGGCGTGTCGCCGAGCAAGGACATCATCATACGGCAGTACATCCCGCCGGGCGAGCGGTCATCGCCGTCCAGCGCCACCACCACCACCACCACCACCAACACCGCCGCCAGCATCCGCGGCAGCAGCACCAGCAGCACCAGCAGCAGCCCCGTCGACGGCCCGTACCCGTCCCCGGTGTCGCAGGCCGCCACGCCGCACAGCCCAAAGAGCCCGCTCAACTACGCGTCGCAGTGGTCCATGGAGATCCCGCGCTGCATCGGCACCCCCGTCGGCGAGCAGGTCTACAGCTACTTCCTGTCCAACTTTGTCCAGGGCACCTCGCTGCGCAACCACGGCTACCTCGACTTCCTGTTCCCCCTGCTCGCCAACGAGCCCCCCGGCAGGGACCACCCGCTGCCGCTGGCCTTCTCCGCCACCGCCATGATCGCCTTTGCCGCCCGCCAGAAGGTGCCCGACCTGCTCCCGCGGGCCGAGGCGACGTACCTGCGCGCGCTTGAGGCTACCTTCCAGGCTATCGGGGACCCCAAGAAGGCGCGGGATAACTCGACTCTTGCTTGCGTGACGTTGCTGACCACCTTTGAGGTATGAGATGCCCACCGTCCTGCTTCCTAGTCTGTGGTTTCTGGCAGCCACAGCTTATTAGTGTGGAAGAGCGTACACTGATGAGACATGTCATATGCAGCAACTGAGGCCTTCCCGGCCGTCGTATCAAAAAGCAGAGGCGTTTGGTTCTCATCTCGACGGCGCAGTGGCGCTGCTCAAGATGCGAGGCAAGGACGTCTTCCAGACGGTCGTCGGCCGCAAGATCTTCCTCATCCTGAGGTCGTTACTCGTAAGTGGCTTCCGACCCCAGAGACATCAGATCCTATCACCACAACGTCAACTTCATGGACACATGACCTCCACAACACACCCACCCCCCATGCCTCGACCAACTCACTCACACCCCCCCCCCCACAGGTATCAAGAAGCATATGCTACGCCACCCCCCTCGAGCCAGACCTCTACCACCTGACCGAGGAGTTCGAACAAGACCCCTCCCAGCACCGCTTCGCCGAGCTCTCCCTGCGCGCGGCCGACCTCCGCGTGGGCGTGGAGCGCGTCCTGGGCGGCTGGGGGCTGGGCCACGCGCCCCTGCCCCACCCTCCCCCGAGAGCGACCATCGAGGCCCTCCTCCGCGAGGCCGACGCGCTCGAGGCCGACTACGAGGCGCACGTGTCCGCGCTGCCGATCGCGTGGAAGGGCATGACGGTGCGGTGCATGACGCGCGCCGACCCGGCCATCATGGGCGGGATCGCGTACGTGGGCCGGGTCGACGCCTACATCGACATGTTCATCTGCTACATCCTCAACTGGGCGCGCGCCGCGCGGCTGTACGTGCGCAACACGGCCATGCGCTGCCGCGCGTGGCTGCTGGGGCCCGAGGGGGACTACCGCGAGGGCCCCGGGTACGAGGCCACGAGGGTGCTGTGCGAGGCGCTCATCGCTGACATCGTCGCCTCGGTGCCGTACGTGTTTGGCGCGGCGAGGGCGAGCTCGGGGCATAGCGAAGGGGCCGGGGGTGGGAGGTATCAGCCGCCGAGCCTGGCGGGCGTGTTCTGCATGTGGCCCGTGTTCGCGGCGGCGAGCTCCGACTACGCGACTGAGACGCAGAGGACGTTCATGAAGAGGACGCTCAAGTACATCTCGGAGGAGATGGGCATCGGGCAGGCCGCCATCCTCGCAGGGGTGAGTGTGGACGATTTCTTAATTTGTCACTTGACGCCTCTCTCTTGGGAATCTGTTCCCCCCACCCTCCAACCGTCCGCTGCTACATACGTGTGACACGACGAGCCTGACAATCGTTTACCAGTACAACCTCCGATCGCCGTCCATGCCCATCGCCTTCACGCGCATGAAGCAGTTCGAGCAGCTGGGCAAGCCGCTCCACGGCGCGGCGGTCGGCGCGGCGGCCGGGTCGACGATGGCCTCGGGCCTGCGGGACATCGTCAAGACGACGGGCACCATCATCTACTCGCCGCCGCCCTCGGCCCGCCCGCGGGTGGTGCCGCTGCATATACACCAGCAGCCCGAGCTGGACTAGACACGTGATGGCAGGTAAGGGGTGTATGCCAAGTTCTAAAGGGGGGTATATCGATTGCTTGGAGGGAGCGTGGTCACTTGTTTTGGGCCCGTGGTACTGGGCGGTTTGCGATTACTACTACCTCGGAAGAGGAGGGCTGGGATTGGATTTCAAGCAAGCAAGCAAGCAAGCAACAAGGCGTCACGGCTGGCTTTGGATTCGGCTAAGCACGCGCATGCATAAGGTATTCCGGGGCCAAAAGGGAAAAAAGCCTTTGATTTGAGAGCAGTATCGACCGCAGCAGCGAGAAGACATGAATACACACAGAGAACAGCGGGACTCGGGCCGTTGGGTGTGTTGCTCACATGTGCACACGTGCGAGGCCGTCGTCCGTCGATCAGACCCCCAGACCCCCTCACGCTACTGCTCCCCCTAGCCCGAGCCCGGCCGACACTACCGGTTTAGGTTTGCCTTGGTGATCACGGCCGTTCGAGCGCAACGTGCGGCGTCGCATCTCTGGGTGCAACGTAGCCAACCCGCGGCGGGAGTCGGAAATGGCGTTGTATGGTTTCTCGGAGCATGCTCCGCTGCAGAGAGATCACTTGCCAGGGCCCGCCAGTTTTGCCCACCAAACATATGTATTCATGTGGCCACTTATTCTCGTGAAAGGACTCGTGGCAAGATATGTATATTATTAAAAGCCACCACGAAAGTCTGTTAATACACTGAGATGAGTAAATACACAAAACTGAAGGTACTTTTTACGTGTCCATGTTGAGATGTCGCACAATGCTTATGTACTGCTTCCTTCCCTGTCCTGCTCCCATTCCTTTGCCTTGCTCTCCTGTCCCCTTTTCTCCCCAATTGACCCAAGCAGCCACGTTGGAGTACCGGCCGACAGCCTTGCGGGCCTTACGCGCAGCATTGATGCTGTTATCCGACTGCTCTCCGCCGTGCGCTTCCTAGGCGGCGCCCACCTGCGGCTCGTAGGCGGTAAGGTCCTCCTTGCCGCGCGCGGACTCGCCAGTCTCGACGAACTCGAGCGCCTTGCCCTTGGCCTCTGGAGCAGCTGGCTTGGCCTTGGCCTTGACCTTGCGCATCTTGCGGGCGAGGACCCCGACCGGGCCGAAGCGTCGCAGAGCTTTCTCAGCCGGTGCCTTCGAGGCGTTAGCGTCGCCGGCCTTGACATCGCCGGCCTTGACATCGCCGGCCTTGGACTCCTCGCCCTGGGGCTCCTCGTCCGGAACCTTGATGGCGGTAACGACACTGCCGTCCGCCCTGTGCGATACGGGCACGCCGCCCCCCTTGGGCCGCTTCAGCAGGCGCTCAGGCAAGGCCCCGAGGTTGATGGGCGCCGCGCGCTTCTTTTTGAGCCCGGTCGGGTTCGGGTACGGCTGCACCACGTTCAGGGCGTACGACGGTAGGCCCCCACGGCGGCGAGGCTCGTCCCCGCGCAGCATGATGGTCGACGGGAGTCTGAAGGCGAAGACGCCGGTCGCCATGGTGGGCGGCTCATCTCCTCCCCCGGCTGGCTGTGCTGCGGGGGCTGCTGCGGGGGCTGCTGCTGGTGCGGCGGCGGCGGCGCTCGCCTGGGAGGCCCTGCGGACGCCGAGCGGGTTCGGGGGCAGGTACTTGGGGAGCTCTAGCGAGTCGCGGATCCTGCCCTCGGAGATGCCCTGGCCGATGGCGCTGTGGGACCGGACAAGACAGACCGACGAGGCTGAGGCCGGGGAGTCGACCACATGTTGTTCGAGTCGGTGGTCCACGGTCCCGGCGTCAGGACGATACGGGTCGATGTCATCATGCAAGAAAGGCCCAGGGACGACGACGGGTCCCGTCCAGTCAACATTCCCGAACTGGATGTACGGTCCGCCGTTGCTGCCGCTGTCGTCTGGTTCATCGGGCATGGCTGCGGTGACAAGCTTCGGTCTCCTAAAAGAGGTAGCTCTCCTAAAAGAGGTAGGTCTCCTAGAAGAGGTAGAGAAGAAGAGAAAAGGAGAACTGCTCCCGGGGGTTTGTTGCTCTCGTCCTTGGCGGGAACGCTCCCTTTAAGTGTAAGGTACGCACCTCCAATACGCCATGGTCTTGGGCCGTAGTCTCGTGCTATCCGCTTGCCCTGAATATGGCTGTCGGCGTGCTGGGTATAGCTGGTTGGGCCACGACGCTATGTTCTCGAATCGGTGAAGCTTTTCCCGAGGTTGTAAACAACAAGCTTCCCGACGAGCTTGATAGCTCTTGAGCTAAGTGAGCTTGACATGTGTCTGGCGGGGAGCTATGTCTCAAGATGAGGCCGGCTGCGATGTTGACGAGTCGCGTCGCGCGACGGGCTCTGGATCCCTGATAGCCCTGTGCACTGGTACATCTGTGTACTGCTTGACGTCGACGATTGTCAACGTTCTCAAGATTCCTCCAATGTTCGACGGGGCCCGAGCTAGATAAAAAGGACGAAGTTCCCAGAGCCATATTCGGACCGTTTGAACTCTAGGATTCGCCACTCAGTCGTGCTGTTCTAACAGTCAGTGCCAGTATCTCGATTAGTATACTCAAATTCTCACCAGGAATCCCTCATACAAAGGCCCTACCCCTCCTCCACCCCCAGCAATGCCCGGATTGTTGTCTCTGGCCGGGGCGTCTGCCCTCGTTGCTTTGCTCTGCACGAGCACAAGCGCGACGCCAATAACACACTTACCCGAGCTGATTGATGGCGGGCAGCGACTCCAGCCAAGAGGGCCACCGTGCTCGCAGGACCTCCCCTACGGTCGCGGGCCCAACAGCAGCTCGCTCGTACCACTGGTGTATGCTGAGCCCTAAGCTCGACACCCACGACCCCTCCATGTCCCACCCCCCCCCCCTCTTGCGTGCTGCTCTTACTCTTCACTATCGGCCAACTTGGGCCAGCAGCCAAAACAAGAGGCACTGGTGGTGCACGTGCTGACCAGGTGAACAACCGAGCAGGCCCGACACGGCGGCGTCGTTCTCCAGCTTTCCGCCATACGCCGCAGCGGCGCTGGCGCCGGGTAGCCTCCTCGCGCCGGGCTACGTCCTGGTCGCCACCAACCAGGCGGCCATCGCGCAGAAGGCGACGTCGTTCACGCTGAACTGGATCAACATGGGCCTGTACGACGTACCCGGCTGCGCGAACCAGTGCTCCAGCACGGTGGGATGCCGCTCCTTTGACATTTGTGAGTGATCTCCGCCTGTCGCTGTTGCCGCCTTCACGTAGCATCATCCACTGCCTGGCTTCCGTTCTGCGGGTTGCTCCAGCAGAATGGTGTTGGTTGTGTCACCCGAGGCCTGACCCCCCCCCCCCCCCCCCGCCAGATTTCCAGCGCTCGCCCACGGTCGCGCCGAGCACCGACAACAGCTGCCCCAACCCGCCGTCCCAGTGCCACATTGTCTGCCTGCTGTATAATGGCACCTTCGCCGCGACCGACCTGGTCAACACGGGCGAGTGGAGGGGTCAGTTCCAGGTGGTCATCGCCGGTAAGTCGCGCGTGCAACCCCAATGTGGAGAGAGCCAGGCGAAGGGCTGCTGATGAGGATCGCAGGTTCCAATCTTTTCAACAAGGTCGGGCCCTAGTCAGTAGTCTCTGGAGACACCGACGCTGGGGATGAGGATGAATGAGATGGCAGGTCCGGAAAAATTGATGGTGCCGCAGTGTTGAGTGATGGACGTCAAAAAAGTTGGAATCGCTCGATATGTGCCGATTGGTCGTCGCTTCCCCCCCAATCGGCGCTTGCGTCATTGAGACGGTTCAACTCTGTGCAGATGTATATTCAGTACCAGACTTACAACAAACCAATTTTGTACACATATCTCCACCGAATTTCCTGTGCAAGGCTGTTCTTCTGTCTATTCCAGATTTAGCTGCTGTCTTGCCTGTCAACAAAGCTCACCAGACCGAACACTTCCAGCAACACACTCTCCTCCGCACCAGTCACCACCGCCATGCCCAACCCCTGGCCACACGGCGCCAAATGCGCCATCTCCTTCACAATGGACAACCTAGGCGAGGCCCAAGCAGTGCACAACAAGTCCTGGCCAGCAGACAAGCCAACAGGCCAGGACCCCGCGGTCCTCCAGACCCTCCCGCGCATCCTGGACCTCCTGGCGCAGCAGCACGGCGGCGAGCAAGGCAGAGGCATCAGGGCGACCTACTTCGCCGAGTCCTGGAGCCTGGGCGTCTACCCGGGCGCCGTGGCGGACCTCCAGCGGCGCGGGCACGAGGTCGCGTGGCACGGGTTCCAGCACGAGCCGTGGCACTCCCTGTCGGCGGCCGAGGAGGAGGACAGCTTCGAGCGGAGCCACGCCGCCGCGACGGAGGCGGCGGTGCCGTACCGGGGGTTCAGGCCGCCTGGGGGGAGGGTCAACGGGGAGAGGACGCTGGACCTGTGCCGGAGGTATGGTGTCGAGTACGTCTCGCCGCTGGGGGGGTTTGGCGTCCAGGCGGGGGACTCGGGACAGGATGTGGTGGTGCTGCCGTTTGAGTGGGAGGCTGTGGATGCTTTTTGGTACATGGAAAAGTTCGGCGGGATACGTCTGGAGCACGGGGTCCAGGAGGAGCCGCTTGGCCCCGGGGACTTTCGGGAGTATTTGTTGCGGCGCATTGAGGAGGTCAAGGGGGAGGGGGGTTACATGTCGATCCTATTCCACCCCTTCCTGACGACTGATGAGGCTCGAATGGCTGTGCTGGAGGAGGTTGTCCGGAAGATTGGGTCGGATCAGGAGATCTGGTGTGCGCCGTGTTCAGAGGTTGCGACGTGGGTCAAGGATCACAAGGAAAGCTTTGGATTTGACAAGTGAGGGAGTACGTTTTCGATGTATCGCATTCTAGGTTTAAATGTCGCCAAACTCCCTGTTTTCCAAATCCCCCAAGTCGACTTTCGGAACTTGCCCATCCTTATTCCCGCGGGAATTTCTCCATCGCAGCACGAAGCTCACCAGCACTGGCGTCCAACAGCCCCTCGACACTTTTATAAGGCGCCTTAACACCCGCATCCTCCCCCTCGTCCTCCTCACGCACCCCATGAGGGATGAAGAAGACAGACCTCTCAAAGTCCCTCGCCATGTCCTCGCTCTCCTGCCCGCTGAGCACATTCTCGATGTTCACCAGGTCAACCCTCTCGACGTCGCGGATGTGCCGCCCCAGGTGCGTCCCCAGCTCCTCCAGGGCCGCGCTGAGCTTCCCGTCGCCCGAGACGGCCTTCGCCGCTGCCGCCTCCTTCGAGAAAGACCGCAGCGCATCTCTTAGCTGCGCCATGTCGCGCTGCCTCTCCTGCGCCGCCTCGCTGCCCTGCTTGGCGCGGTGGGCCGTCCCCGGGAAGATGAAGAGCTCCATCGCGACCAGGTGCCGGGCCAGCTCCCACGAGAGCCGCGAGCATAACGCGCCCTGGTTTTCTGAATCTGTGTTGGGTGGCGGCGATACCAGGGAGGCGTGGAGCCTCTCGATGAGGCGGTGGTCGCTTTTCACGGCGTCCGAGATGTAGCGGATCCCGATGGACGGGCTCTTTGGTGGGGATGGCATCTTGAGTAATTCTGGATCTTTGAAAGGCTGACTTTTGGTGGGCTCTCTTGGCGATGGGTCTCTGCATGTGGTGATACGTGTTTGTTGAACTGTTTTTTCAAGGCGTTATGAATCCTCCCTGAGTTCGTGCACTCTCGACCAGTTGGGCTGCGATTGCGTAGGTCTAATAACCTTAAACTTTCTCACGCGCCATTGCCGGCCTTCAGGTCGCTTGTTGAAACAGCCGTCTTATATCACTTCGATAACGAAACATATCCCAGGCCGGTCAGGTGGTCAGACTCGGGTCGAATGAGGTAACCAGCGGCGGTGCCTTGTTGGGGGCCTATTGTGCGACGTGTTAGGCTAAGAAGTGTAACCTTTCTGCGCACAGAAACTGAAAAATTTGATTCAATGGAATGCTTGAGAACCTTCGCTTCTTCTATCAGCTGAGATTCCTAAGAGAGACGGTGGCAATCCGCTGCGTTAAAGTATCCTCTGTGAGCTTACACCGGACCATAGCTTCCGGCCAAGAAGAGGCCATGCATAGGAATGCGTCCGTTCGAGTGCGACCAGATCCCCGTCAAAATGACGTTACGATTACCTTCAAAACATGGAATAGGATCAGAGAGGCCAATTTGTGTGGCTTTGCCAGCTCACGGGCCTATTCTTGTCAACTTGTGTTCCTGCCTGCGAATGGACGGGGCTGACGGGAACACATGGCTGACAGGGCCGGGTGGAAAGGCCCCCAAGACCAGGGCGCCCTTGCCCAAGGATGTCTCCGAAACGGCCCCCAGTGGTTGCTTGTGCCGTTGCTTGGATTGCGACCAACGGGAGGCGTACCTTGGGACACAACAAGGGACCTGTCATTTGCGCCAAGCTCCGGAGCAAGGTGGTGGTTGATTAGCAGGGTTCATAATGATATCAGCGCAGCCTCTCCCAACAACCCGATCAATCAAACCTGACTTGGCTTCATACTTGATCGAGTAAATGAACTGCTCTCGGGTTGACTGGGGGCTGTTGAGGCCGGAAAGCGGCACCTTTTATCACCCAAACACAGGAGCGGCGTCTTGGGAAGTCTTCCAGGTGCATTGGCACATGCAAAGGCTGGATCTAGGCCTCCTTGGTGGTACTGTACAGTCAACAGTATTCTATTTCGCTCGTGATTTTCATCTTTCATAGACCCTTTAGACCCGCTCTAGCCGAAGCCTGCCAAGCGCCTCTACTTGGAGGGCCGCGCCTCACCCGTCTTTCCAGTTGGGATGTTGAACAACACCACCTTCTTCTCCTCGCCCTCCTTGTAGTCCGCAAGGCCCTTGTCCACACGGTAATAACCCCTCCTCTCCAGCTGGACGATATCGTCCTTCTTCAGGCTCGCGACGTTCTCGTCACACCATGCCTCCTCCATGGTGCTCGTGTTGGGGTTCAGGAAGTCCTCCAGGTTGTCATCCTCCTCGAGCTTGTCCTTGGTGATCAGGTAGTCGAAGTCCCATAGCTCGGCCGGCACAAGGGTGGTGCCCTTAGTGGACAGCCATGTCACCTTCTTCTCGGTTTTCTTGACGTCACCGGCCAGGTTGAGCTCGACGGTCGCGGTCTTGATAGGCGACGAGCCGTCGATGGAGCGCACAAAGGCGTTACCCCAGGTCATGAGCGTGATCTCCTCGTCGGGCTTCATGAGCGCCAGATCAGCCTGGTCCAGCAGCAGCTCGTCGGAGAAAATGACCTGCTTGAGGCCAACATCCTTGTTCTTAGGGTGCTTGGGCTTGCTCTCTGTGACGGGGGCAGCAGGGGCGTCAGTGCCCTTGACGGTAACCTTCACGGCGTCCTTTCGCAGAATAGCCGTGAAACGAGGCGCGATAGGGTCGATGACCTTCTTGTTGTTGGCCCAGAACACGGTCCAGTCCATGGTGGTCACGTTTCGGCTGGGTCCCTGCTTGATGATGAAGTCGCGCAGAGCCTCCACCGTCATACCTCGCCTGCGCACACCACGGATGGTAGGCATACGAGGATCGTCCCAGCCCCAAACCTTGCCGGTGTCGACGAGCTTGGCCAGTTTCCGCTTAGACAGGAACGTCTTGACAAAGTTCATGCGGGCGAAGTCCCACATGTGAACCTGGCGCAGCTTCAGAGTGTCGATGAACCATTGGTACTGAGGGTTGCGGTCGGTGTACTCGGTCGATCGCAAGGCGTGTGTGACGCCCTCGTGACTGTCAATGACGGGGCAAGCGAAGTCGTACATGGGGTACGCTTTCCACGTTGTCCCAGTCCTGTGATGGGCATCCTCGATGTTGCATCGGTAGATGACAGGGTCCCTCATAGCCTTGTTTGGGTTGTCGTACGAGACTCTGGCGCGGATACACCACTTGAGACCCTCCTCGGACCCCTTCTTCATCTCTTTGAAGATGCGTAGTGTCTCCTCGACGGGCTGGTCTCGGTGCTTGGACGGGATGCCCTTCCATCGCTCGTCTCGCATTTGCTCGGTGCCTGTGTCATCGGCGTATGCGTGACCCTCAGAGATGAGTCTCGTGCACATGTCGTACAGGTACTCGAAGTAGTCGGAGGTGTAGGAAAGGTGGTCGGCCGTAATGCCCATCAGGGCGAGGTCCTCGATGATAGCATCCTGGTACTCTCCCTTCTCCTTGGACGGGTTGGTATCGTCGAGACGCAGTCGCAGTTTTCCCTTGTAGGCAACATGGCCAAAGTAGTCGGCAAGGAGGGCAGCTTTGGCGTGTCCAATGTGCAGGTATCCTCTTGAAGTGAACGTCAGAGCATTGCGTCTTTCAGACTGGCTGGCCATGAATTGCCAATTATATAGATGGGTACTCACGACGGCTCGGGCAGGAATCTGGTGACAACGCCGTTCTCGGTGTCTTGCAGGCCCAGGTTGAAGTTGCCTCCAGCCTTGCTGGCGGCAGCAGTCTTCTTCCTCTTCTCTGCCTCGTCGGCCTTGATAGACTCCTGGATCTCGGGGTGTGTGGCGTCGACGAAGGCGTACCACCGCAGCAGGTTCGCGAGGGCGCCCTTGATAATGTACGAGGCAGCGGCACGGTTGGTACGGAGGGCTGTCCAGATGGCCTTGTCGTTCTCGCCGAGGTTGTAGCCGTCGAGGTAGGTCCTCAGGATGAGATGCTTGTCGAGGGCGACCAGATGGGGCTCGATGGTCTTGAAGTCCTTGCCCAGATTGGGCGTAATCGCCTTGAGCTCGTCTGCCTTCATGATTGTTTGGTGTCCTTCGAGAATTGGACAGAAGGAAGGTGACACTTGCAAGGAAAATTCAAGGTCTAGGGGAAGGAGTGTCTCGTGAGTCAACCGGCAAGAGGTGGGAGGCGGACATGCAGCAACAGCTAGGAAATGCTGGTGGGGTGAAATTTCGAGGAGGGGTCATACTGGGCTGGATTGGACCACCCCCCTTCTGCCCCCCACCCTCCATCCATCCCCGTTGTCCCAACCCTGGCGCTTCCGTCTTGACGAAATTTGAGCTGTCCTGCTATCAAGTCAAGAGCTCCGTTTCCACCAGGCAGAGAGACGGACGCCAGCCCGTCACTGTCGCAACACACATCCACCCATCATGGCCTCAATAAATCAATGCCTGGCCTCAATGGCGAGGCTCAGTCTCGCCACATCATCCAGACCAACAATACAAGCAGCGATACCACGATACCTTGCGCCGTCAGTAGTCACAGCCGCACAACAAACACGAAATGCATCGGGACGGCCAAGCGGCGCCAGGAAGAGGGAGAAGAAGAGGAGGATTTACAAGGGGTTCAGGGTCGACAGGCTCGACAACATGCAGCAGTTCTCGCTGTGCGATGCTATCCGGTATGCGACAGTCTCTCCCTCTGTCGCCATGCGCCCGTCTCTTTGGGCGAGAGTAGGACAATGCACTAACGAGCTGTTGAACAGATACACACGCGCCTTCGAGGTCGGCCAGAACCCCCAGACGACCAAGTACGACCTCGCCGTCAAGCTCAAGACCCTCAAGTCCGGCCCCGTGATCAAGAGCCGCATCCGCCTGCCGCACTCCGTCAAGTCGGACCGCCGCATCGGAGTCGTCTGTCGCGAGGGCTCCGCGCTCGCCATCCAGGCCCGCGAGGCCGGCGCCGTCGCCGTCGGCGAGGACACGCTGTTCCAGGCCCTGCGCGACGGCACCCTCGAGCTCACCAGCCTGATCTGCGACCGGGGCTCCGCCGACAAGCTGGCCAAGGCCAACATGGGCCGCGTGCTCGGCCCCAAGGGCCTGATGCCCAGCGTGCGCCAAAAGACCATCACAAGCAACGTGCTCGGCCTGCTGAAGGAGATGGCGGGCGCCGACAACTATCGCGAGAAGGACGGCGTCGTCAGGCTGTCTGTGGGTCAGCTGGGCTTCACGCCCGACATGCTGGCTGCTAATGTCAAGGCGTTTGTGTCGCAGATCAAGGACGACTGCTCAGGGCTGGATTCCTCGTTTAACAAGGAGGTGCATGAGGTCGTCATGAGCAGCACGCACGGGCCGGGGTTCAGCCTGAACGGCGGGTTCATGCCTACTGAGGAGGGTCTGACGCCTGCTATGTTGACCAGCGCGATGTAAGGAAGGATAGGGCTTTGCGCGGGTGTGATGCCGATGTTGACACTGGCTTGTAGAGGCATGGCATGGCGTGGCAGGGAGAACAATCTGTACAATCAATTGATGAAGACATGGTGTACACTTCAAGACATTGAACGGCGTATCGCGCATAATGGGTATCATATTGTGGCATTGCTTTGAAACGTCATCGAGGAACAGCGATGACGGTTGCGACCTGGATTATTTCTCCTTGAGTGTCTTGACTCCCTCCGAGTATGCGCCCAGCTGTCGATGCACTCCAAGTAATCTGACGGTCCTCTCCTGCTCGCCCGCTTTCCGCGCCTCTTTCAGCGAAGCACCCAGATCTACCAGCAACGTGTTCCTACACCTCGTGATCCTCTCCTCCATTTTCCTGACGTATGGCAGGTCGCGCCCGAGGGCATTGGCCAGCCTGATGATAGCATTGTATTCCCTCGCCATCTCGACCAGCCTCTCCTCGTTGTCATCCACACTGTCGTCATCGTCTTCCTCCTCCCCGTCAGGACCACCGCCCTCCAACCTCCCAAGCAACAACCCAACCCGCTCATCAAGCTCCAGCATCCGCCTCCCGGCCTCGACCTCCCCGCGGACAGCCCTCAGCTCGGCCCCGGACCGCAGCACGTCCTCCTTACGGCCCCGCACGCGCGCCTGGACGTCCTCGACCTGGCGGCGGAAGCCCAGCAGCGCGACGCGCACGTCCTCGGCGCGCTCGCCGCCGCCCCGCAGTCCGTCGCCCAGCCCCAGGAACGCCGCGTAGTTGGCGTTGACCAGCTCCAGCAGCTCGGCGCTGATGGCGCTGCTGCGCTCCCGGAGCTCCGCACGCAGGTCCTCGAGCGTCTGGTGCCGGTGGTACGCGCCCGTGCCCGTGTCTTCGGAGGAACCAGAGGGGAAGAGTGATGAGAGGTAGGTGGCTGCGTTGAAGTCTGGGGCGAGGAAGTCGCGGCGCGAGAGGGCGGTTGGGAAGGGGAGGGGGGCGTCTGGGTCGAAGTCGTCGTCGTCTTCGTCGTTTGGGGGTTTCGTTGGGTCGTGCTCGGTGGAGCTCGAGGAGGAGCTGCTTGGGAGCTGGAACTTGGACCTGGAGCCGCTGGTCGAGGGGCGCGAGGCCGGGGTTATTAGGCCCAGGCCGCTCGCCATGGTTGTATAAGGATCTTGTGTGGTCTTTAAGCTGGCTGTGTTGCGAATCTGGTCACTGCTCGTGTGTCTCGGTGGATCGAGGAAACGGCGGTCGGCTGCTTCAAGATGCGCAAGCTCGGAATCCGGAAGGCAAGCAACTTTGGTGGGTATCTTGCTCGATGGCTATGTCGTTTAACGTGGATTATCTGTAAGTCAATCACAAATCCAATGCCCGCTGTTCTGAATGTGTCTGGAGTCCTTCGGAGACGTAGTACAGCATCCCAGGGCAGCTTGTGGTTGAGGCCCAGGGCACAGGCCAGATCGAGGTACTCTCACTTGCAATCAATCGTATCAAAATGGCGCTAGTAACTCGCAGATAACATACCATACTAAAAATCATATATACTTATTATGTTATTTATTAATACTGTTAATGTTATTAATTTATATATTAATTAAGGTTACTATTATTGCTAAAAGCTTATATATTAATTGCTATATATAATAATTATCCTTAATTATAATTTCTTACCTTTTAACTTATTATTAAGGTTTATAAAAACCATTAATACCTTACTAAAGCTTTAAGGAAATATAGTTAATACTAAGCATTATTTATTTATATATAATTATAATTAATAAGAGTATTTATATATTATAAGGCTTTTAAATAAGGTTATTATTATTCTTACCTTAAAGTTAATTTTATATAATAATTATAAGCCTTTAAATTATAATTCTTACTATTAATTATAATTTTAACTTAAACATTATATTATTTTTAATAATAATCCCTTAAAATTAATAAATATAGCATTTATAAAAAAGAAAAATATTATCTTTATAATATTTAATAATTTTCCTTTAAAGAAGCCTTAAATTATTATTAAATTAAAGGTAAAGCCTTTTTTAATATTATTAATAAAGCTTATTTAAAAGCTATTAATAAAAAGAAAGCTATTATTATTAAAAAAAGATATTTTTAAAGCTATTATTATTATTATTATTATTAAAAAGCAGCTTTATTAAAAATAATAAAGAAGAGTTAAATCCTTTTTCTTATAATAATAAGGATTTTTTTATTAACCCCTTTGCTAATTTCTTTATTAACCCCTTTATTATTAAAAATAATAATATTTAAGAAATTATTAAAAAGGCTATTATTAATAGCTTTTTTAATAATAATATTAAGATTGAGTTATAAATAAATATAAAAGTAGCCTTTTCCTTTTTTTTAATTAACTTAATTAATTAATTTAAAGGTATTATTATACTTATTTTTTTAATAAAATACTTAAAAGGGTAATATAATAAATTTAGCGATTTCTTTATTAATTAGCTTGCTAAGTAGCTTAAGGAGTTTAAAAAGTAAGTTATTATTAACTTTAAGGGTTATTAAGTAAAGCATAAATTCCTTAATATAATAATTTAATTAAGGAAAGGCAACATATTAAAACTTATTTATTTCAATTAATAAATAGTAAATATAAACCTTAAAATTATATAATTATTAATATATAATTTTATAAAGTAAGTTAATAGCAAAGCAATATTTATTTTAAATATTATATATCTTTTTTAAATATTTATTATGCTTTATATTATTTTAAAGCATTAATAAAGTTTAATTACGCTATTATTAACTTTTAAGGGCTTTATTAACATTTAGTTTTATAAAATTAAAAAAGCTATTATTATAAAAATAAAAGAAAATAACTTATTTTAAATTAAGCAGTTTAATATTAAAATTAATAACATTTTTTAGCTAAGCAATTAATTAAGTTTCTTAATAAGGTTTATAAGAATTAACATTATATAAAAGGTTATTATTGCTTAAAGGAATGTTAAAATAAAGCTATTTGCTTAATTAAATTAATAATTAAAGTATTATAATAAAGGATGTTATTTTAATTATAAAAGGGAATTAAAATTAATAGCATAATGCTTTATTAAAGAAGATAAAATATATTTAGCCCTTATATATAAAAACTTACTTAAATAAGTTAATTTAATAAAGAAAAAGTAGGAAAAGGCTTTTTTAAATTATATTCTTAAAAGTATATATAATTAAGTATTATTTTAATTAATTAATTAAAAGCAAAGCAGCTAAGCTAAAGTATTTAAAGTTTTCTTAACCCTTAGGCTAAATAATAATATTTTCTTAGCTATATTAAGGCGCTTAAATAAAGCTAATATGCTTAAGTTAAGAAGGGATAATATAAGTAATGGGAATATTATTAATATTAATAAAGGTAATAATAATAATAATTAGCTTATATTAATATTTATAAATACCCTTAATAGCTATTTAATGCCTTAATAATTAACTTTATTATTATTAGCATTATAAGCAGTTAAATATATATATATATTACTTATAACTTTTTTTATTAAAGTATTAATAATAAGAATTATATTGCCTTTATTATATTATTTATTAATATTTTCATTATCCTTAATAATACTTAATAGCTTTAAGGGTAATGGATTATTAAATAACTTTCTTTAATATATATATTATTAAAGGGCTTAGCATTATTAAGAAAAGTAAGAAATAAGTTACTTAGCTATAAAGCTTTAAGATATAAGCTTAAATATACTTAGGAACCTTTTAATACAGCTAAATAGGTAATTTATTAATTATTAATTTAGGAAGAATTTAAAAAGCTTTCTTTATTAATATATAAAGAACTTTATATAAAAATGTAATATATTAAAAGAAGGTATATTAAGCTTGCCGGTATTTTTAAGGGTAATTAAGGGCTTTAAAAATAACATTATTATTAAAAGTAATTAATTATAGCTTATTTATTATATATAAAAGGATATTTTAAGTATTACTTTTATTATTATAATAATAATAAGTAAAAAGTAATAAAGTTAATATTAATACTTATAATATAATAAGTTTTGCAAATTAACTTAACTTATTTATATTTATTATATTTTAATATAAAATATTAATTTCCTTTATTAATATAAAGTTAATTATAATAATAATAATATTATTAAAAATATAAAGTTTAAGATATTTAAATATAAAAGTTATATTATATTTATAATTTCTTTTAATAAAGTTATAGTTATATAAAGTTAAGGGTTAATTTAGCATTAAAATTAAAAATATAAAGATATATGCTATATTTAAATACCTTAATATAAAATATACTTTTCTTAATAAAAAACGCTTAATTATATAAATAAAATTATTATTAAAAATAAAAAAATTAAGCTTATTTAATATAAAAGTTATATTATATTTATAATTTTTTTAAATAAAATTATAGCTGTATAAAGTTAAGTATTTAAATATTAAGTATGCTATGCTTAGTAACCCCTATATTAACTTATAAGCCTTATCTTTATAATGCATGCTTATTATAATTATATAATATATATTTAATGCTTTAAGGTATTGCATTAATTATATAAAGCTATTAATAAAACGTTTTCTTCCATTTATTATAACTTAATTTTAATTCTTTAGCTTAATTAATAAAGCACCCATTATAAATAATCATTTCATAACTTATATATATAAATAAAAAGCTATTAATTTAATTTCAATAAGAATTAAATATTTCTTTTACTTATAAAGATAATTATAATATTATAAAAAGAGCATATTAATATAAATAAAAGGTATAATAAATATAATAATAATTATATATTATCTTAGCTTATTACTTTAATTTTAGCTTTATAATATTATAAGTAATATTATTAAATGCATTTTAATGTAATAAATATATTAATATAGTTTTTATTTAAATATAATATTATATATTTAAGTGATTTATATATTTAAAATAATAAGTAAGTATAATTATAATAAAATATTATTTTATATATTAAGCATAATTAATTATCTTTAAGATAATTACCTTTTAATAAGTATTTAAACTTAAATAATATATTATTTTATTTATTTAAATAAGCTTTTTTTTATAATATACTTTTTATTTATAAAAGCTATATAATTATTAATATATAATAATTTATAATTAAGGTATTATAATATAATTAATTAATATATATAGTAGTATATATTATTAAAAACCCTTAAGTTACTTATATATTAAAAACGAGCCACTTAAATAAATAGGGGATAGGTTTTGCTAAATTCTTTTAAGGGCAACTTAAGGAAGAGCTTTAATGTAATAAAAAGGAAAGATAGGAATAAAAGAAAGTTAAAGAAGGGAAAAGGTAAGTATTTTAAAAATTCTTAAAAATAAAAAAAGCTTAATTAAAGTATTAAATATATAAGAAAAGAAAAAAGTTAATTTCTTTATAAATATTTAAAATAAATATAAAAGCTAGCTTTTTATAATTAATTAAAATTTAACGTAATATTATTTTTTATATATTTTTTTGCTTTTATTAATATACCTTTTTTTAAGCATTTTATAATAAATATTATAAAGATTATTAAAATAAGGCCTTGCTATCTTTAATTAAGCTTTTAAGTTTTAAAATTTATTTTGTTATAATTTTAATTATTATTATTATCTTTAATTCCTTATTTATTTATTTTATTATAGCTTTTATTTTTTTATAAAAGCTTTAAATATTTATAAAACTTACTTAATAATATATTTATTAATTATATTTTTTTAATTATTAAAGTTTAATTTAATAATTAATATTAGTATAATTATTAAAGATTTAAATATTTTTTATAAAATAAAAAATAATTTTTTTTAATTATTATATTAAGTATAATATATTGGCTTTATTAATTTTTACTTTTATTTTTTATAAAGCTTTTACTTTTAAGTTTTATGCTTTATATTTTATTATTTAATTAACTTATTTATAAGCCTTTTAAATTATCTTTAAGTAAACTTAATTATTGCTTTAATTACTTAGGATTAGTTAATATACTTTAAGTTTTATTTATATTTATTATTAAAAAAGGTAAGTAGGAAAGATTTTTATATATATTAAGATAAGCATTTTTTATTAGCTTTAAAATATTTTATAGCATAATATTTAAGTTAAAAGCTTATTTAATTAAAGTT